GTCATGTTCTGGCACCAAAAAGAAAAAAATTGGAAAATGCCATTTGGTTATATGTAATACGAAAGAGGTAAAAGGCCACCTAAAATAAAATAATAGATTTTCGATTTGTGCAGATAAACCAGAGATAAGGATTTTTGAAGAACATATCAGAATTTGCGAATAATGCATCAGAATTTCTGAGTTAGCGCAGGATTTCTGTGATACAAATTGTAATTTTTGAAAAATAAGTCAAAATTTCTGTGTTAAGTTAAGTTAAATTTCTGGGAAACAGTTCAGAGTTAAATTAGAATTTCTTGCTCTCTTAAGGGACAGTGACAGTTTCTGAAAAACAAATCGGAATTTCTGACTTAATGCAAAATTTATGAAAAATAAGTAAGAATTTCTACTTCAAATCAGAATTCCCTTAAAATAAGTCGTAATTTCTGAGTTAGGTAGGAATTTCTGATAAATAAGTCATTATTTTTCGATAGTTAGTCAATTTCTGAATTAAGTCCGAATTTCTGAAAAATTGCTCAGAATATCTGACTTAAGTCAATATTTGTAGAAAATAAGCCAGAATTTATGAAAAATAAGTTAGAATTTCCGAGTTAAATAAGGTTTTTTGAAAAACCAGTCAGAAACTACTGGACAATAAGTAATAATTGCTGCGTTAATGTAGAATTTCTGACAAAATAGGTAAGAATTTTTGACAAATAAGTCATAATTTCTGAGCTGATGCAGGATTTATAAAAAGCAAGTTTGAATTTCTCGAAGAATAAGTCAGAATTTCTAAAAAACAAGTCAGGGTTTTTTTTAAAACAAGTCAGACTTTTTGGCAAATAAGTCATAATTCCTGAGTTAATGAAGAATTTCTAAAAACTTACGTCAGAAATTCTGAGTTAAGTCAGGATTTCTGAAAAGCAAGATAGAATTTCTGGCAAATAAGTCAGAATGTTTGACTTAAATTAGAATTTTTTCTTAAAATGCTTGAAAGATGGGAAGGCACGGGGAGCAATAAAAAACCAAAATTGGACAATAAAAACTTTGGTAGTAATATAAAAAAAACTTTCACTCATTCCAGTTTAGAGATTGCCCTATTCTTTTTGGATCACCTTGTACATGTGATGTTTTCATTCGTAAAAATTTGTAGTTTTCCAGAAGTTTCGACTTATTTCTTCGAAATTCTTAATTTCTTTTTCAGAAATTCTGTCTTATTTTCCACAAATTTTAACTTAACTCAGAAATTCTGAGTAATTTTTCAGAAATCCTAACTTACATTTCGGAAATAATGACTTGCTTCTCAGAAATTCCGACCTAACTCAGAAATTATGACTTATTTTGCGGAAATTCTGATTTAATTTAGAAACTATGAAAAAAATTGAGTTACTGAAGTAAAATCTGTATTTCAGCGCTTTCATAATCTAAGCGGGTAACTGCTGAGTAATAAAAAGTGGAAAATATTATACGGGGTGTTATCGAAATGACGTCGTATAATTTAACGAGTTAATCGGGGCACCGCCCTGATGCCGAATCGATATCCCTCAGGCAGAATTCTTTCGAAAAAAACGCTGTTATTCGGAGAACTAGCTCGCAATGCGAGGTACTGGTTAGTTAATTTAAACTAACGAAAGAAAAAAAAGTGAGACTCTCGATTCGGAGACGGAGGCGGCGGGAACACCCCCTCAACCTCCTCGAAATTCTTTTTTTTTTTTGCCCGGGCCGCTACAAAGTATTATTTTTTTTGACGCGATTGTGTTGCAGCTTTCCGAAACGATTCGCCATTCGGCCCGGCGCTTTTTCGACAATAAGTCTGGCCGTTTTTCCGCCGGAAAACGTTTGTTCGGGAAATCCGAAAATTCCGTTTTTGTCTGACCCGCCTCCGGGCTGCTGCCGCCACCGGATATAATGAGAGCGGCTATTATACTTATTACGCGGAATTACGTGAAGTTTACAAAGAAAATGTTTGGTATACGGGGCCTGTTTGGTCCGAAAAATAGTTTTTTTTATTGATTGGTACTCAAACGCTCCAAAAAGCGTCAAGGCCTATTGTAATAAGTTTGAAAATGTTTACTGCAGCAGCATACCAGCACGCCACTGCTTTTTTTTGCAAGTGAAGTCAATAATACATAAAAATACATAAATAATAAATGAAAATAAATTATTTTTTTTGTAAGTTTCCGCAGTGGTCGCTAGCGGGCATATTCCCACACTTTTAGTTTAAATCGCGTTCTTTGAGAACAATGTTGGGATACCGTTTAAAACTCGGATAAATTCGAGCCATTTTCGTCAAATGAACCTTGGAGTTATCATTCGGATTGGTTTTATCGCCGCTGTAAATAAAATTAATGTTATAATATTAAATGTAACAGTATCACTTTTATTGGAACAAAGGTGGCCAAAAAACGGTCCAGCGTGCTAGTAAAATCCGCGTTTCGAAAGCTTTTTGCTAACCTATACATAAAAATACAAATACAAATACAAAAAACTTTCTCCGGAGATATACATATTAGAAGTTTGTTTATGGGTGTATAAAAATAAAAATAACTTACAAAAAAAAAACGGAGGTTCTCACTACTATAATACACGTAACCAAGACTGTTTCTCAAATGAAAAAAAAGGACTAGAATTTTCAAAAAAAAACTTTCTCCAGAGATATAACGTGTACATATACATATTAGAAGTTTATGGGTACATAAAAATAAAAATAACTTACATAAAAAAACGGAGATTCTCACTACTATAATACACGTAACCAAGACTGTTTCTCAACTGAAAAAAATGGACTTGAATTTTCAAAAAAAAACTTTCTCCAGAGATATAACGTGTACATATACATATTAGAAGTTTATGGGTACATAAAAATAAAAATAACTTACAAAAAAATCGGAGATTCTCACGACTATAGTACACGTAACAAAAACTGTTTCTCAACTGAAAAAAATGGACTAGAATTTTCAAAAAAAAACTTTCTCCAGAGATATAACGTGTACATATACATATTAGAAGTTTATGGGTACAGAAAAATAAAAATAACTTACATAAAAAAACGGAGATTCTCACTACTATAATACACGTAACCAAGACTGTTTCTCAACTGAAAAAAATGGACTAGAATTTTCAAAAAAAAACTTTCTCCAGAGATATAACGTGTACATATACATACTAGAAGTTTATGGGTACATAAAAATAAAAATAACTTACATAAAAAAACGGAGATTCTCACTACTATAATACAAGTAACCAAGACTGTTTCTCAACTGAAAAAAATTAACTAGAATTTTCAAAAAAAAACTTTCTCCAGAGATATAACGTGTACATATACATATTAGAAGTTTATGGGTACATAAAAATAAAAATAACTTACATAAAAAAACGGAGATTCTCACTACTATAATACACGTAACCAAGACTGTTTCTCAACTGAAAAAAATGGACTAGAATTATCAAAAAAAAACTTTCTCCAGAGATATAACGTGTACATATACATATTAGAAGTTTATGGGTACATAAAATTAAAAATAACTTACATAAAAAAACGGAGATTCTCACTACTATAATACACGTAACCAAGACTGTTTCTCAACTGAAAAAAATTAACTAGAATTTTCAAAAAAAAACTTTCTCCAGAGATATAACGTGTACATATACATATTAGAAGTTTATGGGTACATAAAAATAAAAATAACTTATATAAAAAAACGGAGATTCTCACTACTATAATACACGTAACCAAGACTGTTTCTAAACTGAAAAAAATGGACTAGAATTAAAAAAAAAACTTTCTTCAGAGATATAACGTGTACATATACATATTAGAAGTTTATGGGTACATAAAAATAAAAATAACTTACTTAAAAAAACGGAGATTCTTACTACTATAATACACGTAACCAAGACTGTTTCTCAACTGAAAAAAATGGACTAGAATTTTCAAAAAAAAACTTTCTCCAGAGATATAACGTGTACATATACATATTAGAAGTTTATGGGTACATAAAAATAAAAATAACTTACAAAAAAATCGGAGATTCTCACGACTATAGTACACGTAACAAAAACTGTTTCTAAACTGAAAAAAATGGACTAGAATTAAAAATAAACTTTCTCCAGAGATATAACGTGTATATATACATATTGGCAGTTTATTTATGGGTGTATAAAAATAAAAATAACTTAGAAAAAAAAACGGAGATTTGCACGACTATAAATACGTAACAAAGATTGTTTTTCAACTGAAAAAAAAGGACTGGAATTTTCAAAAAGAACTTTCTCCAGAGATATAACGTGTATATATACATATTAGAAGTTTGTTTATGGGTGTATAAAAATAAAAATAACTTACAAAAAAAAACGAGGATTCTCACGACTATAATACACGTCACAAAGCAGAGCAGAGCAAACAGAGCTAAATTTCTTTTCTCCTAGAAAACTTTTTTGTAATTTAAACGAGTATTTTACCTATTAATATTTACCATCACTATGTAGTTGAACCCTGTTATATATTTTAATTATATAAATCTTTTATGTAATTTTCTGCCTGATATTGTGTACCTCATTTTGACCTACTTGACTAAATCCATAATACACTGATTATATTCCAAATGTAGGGGATAATAAAGATATTATTATTGTTACTATTATTATTATTATTATTATTATTATTATTATTATTATATGCAATGCAATTCGTTTTCATTTGTAGCAAAAGTTGATTTCGTTTAAAAATATTTTTTCGTCTGTTTCATAAATATTTTCTGCGTTTTCTGCACTGCACGTCTTCATCATCTTTCCAAATTAGCTTTATATCATTTAAAAGACAAAGGCAATGTATCTTTTTTTTTCTGCATTGGTTTCGCCATCGATTTAATTAATTAATTAAATTACATTAATCATATAACATTTAATTTAAAGAATGGGTAAATAAAAAGACCCATTGCCTGAAACGTTCGGTGCATTGTGAAGGGGATATTTTATAATACCGCTATTTAAACGGTGCTAATAATTTCTCCCTTCTTTTTCAGGGTCCTGTCTGAGTTATGGCCACGCGTGCTGGGGAGGTACGTTATGAAATATACGATATACAGGGTGTCCAAACTAGTTGTTGAATGTAATAGCGATATAATTTATTATATTCAGGACAAACCTACACTAAAATACGTAAACTTGCTTACAAATATATTGATAATAAAATTGAATTAAATTTAATTCATTAAATTCAATTAAATACATATTCAGTTTAATTAAGGAAATATTTAACCGACTTAATTAATCAGCTTATATATATAATATATAATAATGCGAATTAACGTTTAACTAAATCGGTTAATTAAAATTGTCGGGCGGACTTTCAGCACACGGGAAACGCGGCGGTCACGTCGAGTACTCCGATGAGTCGCCGAACAAGGACGAAACGCGGGCGAACCTGTTTCTCTCTAAGCTCGTGAGTCCCATAGACCTGCTCTATTATAGAGGGGCATGGAACGCGGACAAGCAGTTCAAGAGCGACGACGCCTCCGAAGAACTATCACGTGACTTAGACAAGGATCCCGCGAAAAGGTGAGTTCGTTGATCTGCTATCTACTATCCGGTGTTGCCGGATTTCTTCGGTAAATGCGCGGTGAAAGATTCGGTAGGATACATTTATGAGGACACGGACATTTTTAAGGAGTAAAGAAAAATGCTTCGCAGTAACATTTCCTTTAAAAAAATGTCGTGCACAAACAAGACAGGAACACGGAGTAAAAACAAATAAGTAACGACAATGCGATAGGCATCTGCGTTACGTAAATTTGGCGTCTCTTTTGTAAAATGGCCGCTAAACACCGTGTTCCAAATGACACTATCGACTATAAAGTTCAGTCGGAGAAATTGTGCAGCGACGTCATAGGATGACATCTTTATCTGCTTATGACTGGTCATGTCATGTAGCCCTGAAAGTTGCATTCAAACAAATCTTTATAGTTATAAAAGCGTTCGTCTGTTGAAATCCGTTTAATCATTTTTATGTTCTATGCAATGATAGGTGAAAATTAGAGGGACACTTAGTATGTTCCTTTTTTTAAATAGTAGTTAATATCAAGTTAATAGCTTCAATCGGTTCCCTTAGTTAATTGTTAACAAAGCAATCAAATGTACAACCGTACAACAAAATTAGTCTACAGTTTAAATAAATTAATGCTGTTTAAAAACTACGCGCCATTCGACTATAGTTTAAGTCAGTAGGTTGGATTAAGTTTGGACAATGAATTTGAAAATTTTGGATCTAGAATCAATGCTGGGCAATATTCGACTATAGTTCAATTCAGTAAGTTTTTGTTAGTTCAGTAGATTTTGGTTAAAGAATTTGAAGATATATGCAAAAATATAGGCTGTCTCATCTGCAATGCCTCTTAAAAATTACCCAAAAAGCGCTTAAATCGGTTACTTGGGTTAATTTTTAACAAAGACTTTAAAAGTACAACCAAAAATATAGGATGTCTCATATGGAAATCTAAACCACGCAAAATTCGACTATATTTTTAGTCAGTAAGTTGGATTGAATTTGGACTAAGAATTTTAAAACATAATATAGGGCGTCTCATTAACAAATCTCAATTTAAACTCTTTAAAATTGCCGAAAATCGACTATAGCTTAAATCCCTTACTTGGCTTAGATTTTAACAAATGATTTTTAGAACAACCAGAAATATAGGATGTCTCATGAAAAATATCAAATTAATGTTGCTTAAAAGCTACGCAAAATTTTACTACAGCTTAAATAGGTAAGAAAAGTTTATATTCGATACAGAATTTTAAAACTTTTAGCCTAAAAAAAAATGCTGCTTAAAACTAGACAAAATTTGAATATACTTTAAGTCAGTAAGTTGGATTGATTTTGATTAAAGAATTTGAAAATATAAATAAAAATATAGGGCGTCTCATTTACAAATCTAAAGTTAAACTTTTAAAAATTACCCAAAAATCGACTATAGCTTAAATTAGTAATTTTACTTAATTTTTAACCAGAATTTAAAAGCACAACCAAAAATATAAGACGAATCATTAAAAAAATCTTAAATTAATGGTGCCTAAAAACTACACAAAATTCGACTACAGCTTGAAAGGTAAGAAAAGTAAATTTTTGACACAGCATTTGAAAATCTTGGGTCTAAAATTATTGCTGCATAGTTCATTATTTTATCTCAGATGGCTCTAGAAATAGGCAGATCTAATGAAAAAACTTTACAAGCGGCAACGTTGCCTTATCTAAGAGAAACTGCGGTCCCGACCCGAAAGCCTTCTCTATTATGCGCCACGGTAAATCGCGTTAACACGCAAAGCAATTACTATTACAATTCACCTATAGACGCCGACGTTTCGACTATACGGAAGTCGCCCATCTTCGCGCTATATCGCCGAAACGGTTACCAAGATAATTAGTCGCGAAACTGTTAGCTCCGATCGGAGATTTTGGGGGCCGCGGTGTCCCCCCACCCCGCCCGGATCAGAGGCGGCGAATATTTCAAATTATTCAAGGTCGAAACTCTCGGTTTTTCGAATTTTCCTCGAAAACGGCAACTTTTATCGGAAAAACATCCCAGAGGCAAACTGTAGCCGGTAAAGTTATCTACGACAAGGGTTCTTATACTTTTGTCCTAGGAATCGTCTTTCCTAAGATAACGCGATTTTAAAGACGATATGACATTCATAGTCGGATTTTTCCGAGAAACGAACCACTTATATTTTTTTAAAATGGTGGCCCTGTATATTTTTGGATGATGCGATCGACTATTTCGAGAGCATTCCAAAAATACGTAAAACTCTGGGTTAGGTTCGTTTTTGTCAGTCGGATCAGAAGCAAAAAAAAAGCGGTTTGAGTCGACAATTCGGTTGTAAACATAGGTGGTGCGTTATCATATCTAATCGTTACCTACTGGTTAGAGTAGAACTGCTTAGCTTAGTGTTTAGGTCGTTTTGCAACGCCACACAGGTCCCGGGTTCGATCCCAGCCGGACGCAAAAAAATTCGCTTTGAGTTGACGCTTTTTCCGAGTATAATGAATTAATGTATTATTTGGTTTAAGTCACTAAATCGGAGTCGGTCGTGATCTGTATGTAACGTTGTAAAAATGGGTAGCGTGTCATCATATTTAATTAATTATTAATCGTTGCCTATAAATTATTTTATAGATGGTTAGCTTAGTGTTTAGGTAGTTGCTCAACCACGGACGGGGTCCCGAGTTCGATTCTTGCCGGTCGTAAAAAAAAGAGGTTTGATTTATCACTTTTTCCGTGGATAATTAATTAATAATAATAAATAATTAGGTTTTGGTGTTGAAGAATCGTAAACCTAATAGTATTGTCCAATCCGATAAGACAAGCCAAAATTATCTTATAACGGTTTTTATGTTTTCTTTCAATGCATTTGAAGGCGTATAAACCGTTCTATTTTGTGGTCTTTGAACAAATAAAATAATTTTAACTAGTGAGTAGTGCGCTTATGTTTGTGTTAATTGTATTTCTGTAAAAAAAACTTGGACAAAACAGTATTTTTAACCTTAAAACAAAGACTTAAAAGTTTTGTGTTCGTGCTGCTTATTAGCGGTGTTATTAGTTAGGAGGTAAGCTCAAAATATTACACATAATAATATATAGGTAAAGGTAAGAAATGCATTTCTTTTACCTTTTTCAATGAGATAAGTTACATCCAAAAATAGTTCGGTATGCATAGAACGAGGTGCAATAACAACTATTTCCAAAGGGAAAGATCTAGTATCCCGAACTATTCGGAACGAGTGGATAGTTCGGTGTAGAAGAGAGGACAAACTTAATCCAGATAAAAGCTATGTCTTCTCAGTTCATTTTACGATTACGAAAGAGACTTACAAAATGAGTTATTAGAATTAGTTGCATCACTAGCACACTAGCATCACTATCCTTATGTTCAAAAAGGGAGATAAGAAAGTACCCTCAAACTACAGAGGTATAAATCTCTTAAGCACTGCACTGAAACTTACAACAAAAATTATAGCAAACAAAATCAACAACTTAACACCCTTAGCCGACGAACAGCAAGGATTCAGATCTGGCAGATCATGTACAGATGCGGTTTTTGTCATAAGACAGATAACAGAAAAATCAATTGAATACAACAGACCGGCATACATGTGTTTTATTGATTTGGAAAAAGCGTTCGATCGAGTGCGATTAAGAGACGTTTTACACCTCCTTTACAACAGACAAACTCCACACAACCTCATCAAAACGATAGTAAATATATATGAAGCAAACCAGATCGAAGCAAAAATAAATGGGATCCTGACTGAACCAATAGCAGTGGGCCGAGGTATCCGACAGGGAGACTCCCTGAGTCCCCTTCTTCAATATTATCATGGACGAAGTAATAAGAAATGTACGATTACTGAGAGGATACAGAATGGGCGACCATGAAATCAATATTCTGTGCTACGCTGATGACGCCGTACTGGTGGCTGAAAGTGAAGACGATCTGCAACGACTATTACATCGATTTAACTGCACTGCCAAATCACTTAATATGATAATATCGGCCCAAAAAACTAAATGCATGACAACATCAAAAACACCATTAAGATGCAAATTAGAAGTTGAAGGCAAAATCATCCAGCAGGTAATGAAATTTAAATAGTTGGGCATAGAAATCTCGGGTTATGGTGATGTGGAGGCAGAGGTCAGAGAGCAAACAACAAGGGCAACAAGAATAGCAGGATGCTTAAGCGACACAATTTGGCGAAATAAAAACATTAAAATCGAAACCAAATCGAGAATTTACAAGGCAATAGTAAGACCAACCATGACATACACCGCAGAAACCCGACCAGACACAGCGAAAACTAAACAATTACTAGTGACAACCGAAATGAGGATACTTCGTAGAATAACTGGAAAAACGCTCTTTCACAGAGAGAGGAGCGAAAATATAAGACGAACATGCAGGGTGGAAAACGTTAATGCGTGGGTATTGCGTAGAAAGAAAGAATGGAACGAGCATATTAGTAGAATGGACAATAGAAGAATAGTCAGAATTGCACGCGACAAATCACCATTGGGTCGCAGGAGCTTAGGTCGCCCCCGAAAACGATGGAGTGACAACCTGGTAGTGGGATAGGCAGAGACGACGAAAATGAACAGGCAATTTGCCTAGACTAAAGTAGGAAGAAGAAGAAGAAGAAGAATTAGTTGCTCAACGCCAGACAGGTCCCGGGTTCGATCCTTGGCAGTCGCAAAAAAAACAGCGCTTTTTGAGTTGATACTTTTTTCCGATTATAATGAATTCGTTAATAACAATGAATAATTTGGTTTAATTCTCTAAATCGGAGAGTCGGGTAAAACTCATCTCTAACATTGTAAACATAGGCAGTGTGTCATCAAAAACTTGCGTGCATAGAAATCGACCCATTGCGAAGTTTTGATTTTGAATTTCATTATTTTTTTTAAAAATTACTGATTAGATAAAAAAATATGGTGTTTGAAAGACAATTTAATATGCTTCAATACGAGTTTAAATGTTTAACGGTCATCAAGAGGTTTGATTCGTTACTTTGTTCAAGGATAATTAATTAATTAATAATAATAATGAATAATGTGGTTTAGTACACTAAATCGGAGAGTCGGTAAAACTACTGATCTCTAACGTTGTAAACATAGGTAGTGCGTCATCATATCTAATCGTTACCTACCAGTTAATGCGCAACCGCATAGCTTAACGTTCGGGTAGTCGTTCAACCACGGACGGGTCCCGGGTTCGATCCTCGCCGAACGCAAGAAAAAAATCGAAATTTTTTCTTAGGAAAATAAATAACGTCTTTGGATTTGACCGATGCAACGCGAAAACGCCTCGCTCTACTCATCGGTATCTTCATTTCCGTCGGAACCCAAGCTCGAACGGCTAATCAGCATGCAAATGTCAAGCCGTTCGACTTTTTAATTAGGACACCGGGCGGCCATTAGATAGGAAGTTGGCCCGACGAACTTCTTCGACTATTATATAATAGTCGAAATTCGGAAAGCTTTGTGCCCCCTTCAATTACGGAGTTTAACGACCTAACCTCAAAAACGGATCGCGTTACGTCGGAGGGTGTGCTGAAAATCCGTTTTCGTTTTCAGCGACCGGGCGGAAGTGGAGGCGTTCTTTGGCGGGGCGGCGAGAGGCGGCAGGCAGACGATCGAGGACATTTTGAAAAACGACAAGTTTCTTGTAAGTTCTATCTTTATTAAATGTAAATTTCAATCATTAATAGAGGCCACACAAATTTGCGTACTCCATTCTACCTTGTACTGTAGGGTACTACTACAGGGTTAATTACGAAAAATAGAAAAAAAGTGCAAATACAAAAGTTTGAAGATGTCAAAATAACAGAAACATTGTTTATTATTACCTTGCATCGTACAGAATTATATACTAGATTTATATTTATTATTTGGCGTTTTGACTAGTTGTCAAAAGTAAAACATTGTTAAAACAATTCCAAACATAGATAACTTGGTTGCTATCATGGCAAACTTGACCATTTTTAAACAATATGGCTATTGTCCAGAAATCGAATGAAAATTATTTTTAAACTGAAATATCTTAAAAACGGCTAAATCAAATGTCAATAAACTATATGTTTTTGGAATCAGGAAAAAAAGAAATACGATTTAAGCCAATAATAAATAGAGCATTCCATTTTAAACGAAGATGTTGCTGCCATTTTGACAGCTTGCGATCGTAGTTTGTTTTTCTGACATTGACATAAGATAATAGAGCAAAAATCTTCAATCTTTTGTATTTACACTTTTTTTTTCAATTTTTCAAAATTAACCCTGTAAGTGATTGTCAAAATATAATAAATAACCCTGTACCTGCTTATATACTGAATGAGGGGCGGGGCTAAAAGAGGGGCATGAACATTGCCTCGGATGACTGACAATATTTTTGGTGACCTTCAATTTTAAATTCAATTTACAGCAAGGCCTGACATTCACATAATATTAAAATTTATCTATAAGGTCTGAAAGCTTCAAACCTGAATATTTGCAATAGCCTTGGATGAGAACTAAAAGTTCAGATTTTCACGGAATTATTTCTGACCTCCTCAAGTGGCCACCAGAGTGTCAGAGGGCGTAATCGCCATCTTCAATACTCGAAACTTAGAGTGAACGCTGTTTTAAGTCAGAGACAATTTCAAATCTTTTTTTGTTAGATGCTTCCTACTGTTTCTCTAAAAGGAAAGTGGTGTAGATTAACTCCAAAACGCTTCCCCTTACTTATTTTTAAAACGCGGCGTTGCCAAGTCCGACAATCTTTCCCCGAATTCGCTGAAGACCGTTTCTGTTTCAGGAAAAGCAAGATGGCGGCCGCCGCGTCTAGTTCGGCCGCCGTTTCGAGATTTTCCCTTCCCGCCGCCCGTAGCCACGCCCCTTCGCCCTACAATTTTCCTCTCCGCTACTTCGACGTTTGTTTATCGGGGCTGGAAAAACAAACGGCCAGAAGTTCGGTTCTAGAGAAGATTTTGTGCGACGAACGGCCCCCACCCCCCGCAAATGCCGCCACCCTCCGCTCCCCGCCCCCGAAACAGCCATTAGCGCTATTTTGTATTACTTAATTTTTATATATACATTTCTTTTTAAATATTTTCAGGGGGGTTGGGGGGGCCCAAACAACTCGTTATGTTGTCGATTTGTGTTGATCTATATGGAGTTGCTGCTTCGGCAGAAATAATAAACATAAATATATATAACTAAGCGCCGCGTTGTTTTACTAGGACCGATTACGTAAAAATTTAATAGAAAACGGTTAGAGCGTGCCCCTCCCCGTCGCTACCTCCTCCCGCACGCCGTAAGAATGTTATTAAAACCGTAACTCCGGGACCCGATAGATAATCTCTCGACCTACATAAACGTCTCCATAAAACGCGAGCGTATGACGTCATAAAAATGGTTTCCTCACTCGAGCGTCGTAGACGATCGGCATCTTTCAAATGCACTAAATTACGAGATTGGACATACAATAGAAGCGATCGATAATCGATAATGAAAAACAAACATTTCAAAAAAAATAAAAAAATACATAGTGATAATTACACATACACCCACTGGATGTAAAAAAGAAGAAGAAATACGCTTGCGTAGTTTATCTTAGTTTTTGACGCAAATTATTGGTTATTAACAGGTATATAACCTAATATTTTGAGGTTATTTTGAATTCAACAGTAGGATTTAAAAAAGAATTTAGGTCTCCCGTAGGGGCAGGTCGTAATGTCAGATTAAAATTTTTAAATTTAAACAAACCTAGCATTTAGACAAGTCTACTTAACGGGGCAAAATTAGTATTTATGGATAATGATAAATTTCTGCTAACTAACTAACTAACCTAAACTAAGCTTAAATAAGAAGTTCAAAAAGATAGTAGCGTTTCAACTTCAAGAAGAGAATCATTCGCAAAAAATACGTCGTGATATTTATAAATATACTCACCGAATGATCCTAGCAATCCTGGCCACTTTGAGTAAAAAAGAAGAAGAAATCTTGGCTTCGGACGCAAATTATTGGTTATTAACAGGTATATAACCTAATGTTTTGAGGTTATTTTGTATTCAACATTAGGATTTAAAAAAGAATTTTGCTCTCCCGTAGGGGCAGGTGGTATTGTCTTGTTGAATTTTTTTAATTTAAATACACCTAGCATTTAAAAAAGTCTAGCTAACAGGGGTAGGTACATTAGTAGTTACATATAACGCTAAATTTGTTTTTGATCATTATCAAAAAATTCATCGTGATATTTATAAATACACTCACCGAATGATCCCGGCAGTTCTGGCCAATGGGAATAAAGAAGAAGAAATACGCTCGAATTTATCAATAGGTATCATCTTGACTTTTGTCCCAAATTATTGGTTATTAATGGGTAGATAACCTAACTTTTCTTGACGTTATTTTGAATTCTATATTAGGATTTAAAAAAGAATTGTCCCATTTTTGATTTTAAATTAAGCTAACAGGATTAAATTGGGAGTTATGTTTAATGATAAATTTTTGTTTGATGCTTTTGATAAGGAATAAGAAGTTCAAAAAGTCAGAAATAGATCGCACGACTTATAAATACACTACTAGTAGTATTGGCCGATACAAGTAAGAAGGAGCAAATTACACTACAGTACAGTGAAGTACATCGTTAGGACCAGTGTCTTAAATGAAAAATTTGCTAATGCGAAAATCAAAAAAGATCTTAGCCGCGTTTGGCTAGTAAGTAAATTTTCTGGTATCTTTTCTTCTTTTTAATTTTATAGGCCAAATCATTAAAAAAAAATCAACTTCAAAAAACATTTCGACACACTCTCGTGCCAAAATACTTTTAAAATAATGCGAATGCTGGTTGGTAGTTCGATCGACCGAAAAAAAAAAGGACAAAAAATATTCCCCTAATTCGTTTCCCGCGTTTTCGACAGAAGAGGAACAAAATAAAAAGCGAAAAAAAAATTATGACATTTAATTCCTAAAACGGACAACGTAAGGACAACAAATAAAAAGAGAAAACGATAACCGATAAACGTTTCATTCCTGCCACGGTGTGAGATCGAGTGAAGGTATTGTTGCGCCTGCGCAGTCGACGAATTCGTTCCTAAAGACGTCGAATAAAGTTGAGCTGAGTAGAAATAAGTAGATATGGCGTCGCTCAGCCTTATAAGTCTCTTATGCTTCTATACCTCTCCTATACATCCATATATGTGAGGTATAATGCGATAAATATACATTTCCTATAGCAACATATCACTTCTTCCTATACCTCTCCTACGCTTCCCTACCTCACCTATGTGTCCGCATATCTCCTCACATATAACTTCATATATCTCTCTTATACCTCTATACGTCTCCTATTTTCTATACGTATGTTAGCTATAATGGGAAATATCTTATCTCTAAACCTCTACCTCCAAGAGGAAGAAGAAGATGAAGAAGTTGACCACCAACCATTCAACAAGCCCTATATTGAGTTAAGCTGATAGAAAATTTTTTTATGTACCATGGAGAAGATGTAACTCTCGCAGAAATGGTGAAAATACAAGCCAAAGTACGAGATGCGTATTGGCCTAAAAAAATTTCAAAAGAAAATGGCCGATTATTTGAAACATTAAATGTAGTTCTACAAATATTGTTATTTTTCAAGTGCCCATAACTCTTTATGAAGAAAAAAAGCAGTCTCTTCTATAAACTCATATTCGTGCCCTATGCCTCCATACCCCTTTTATACTCCCATATATCTCCTCTAAAACCCCAGATATACGAGGTAGTTCAAATGTACCGACCTCACTAGCCCGAACGACGCCATAGCTAATGAAAGGACGCGTCTTACCCCGGCACATCCGGTTTCCTAAAGGCGTGGGGCGCCTGCCTGGAAAGCAATATCTTGTCGCTGTTGTCGCAGATGATCCTCGACATGGACGCCCGTCTCAGCTCTCGCAGTTGTTCTACAGGATTTTTGTTATTATTATTGTTTATCTGTTTCTATTTTTTCGATTATTATTTTTTTTTAAATTTTACAATAGTGTTGAAGCCTCTATTCTGGCAATTATATATTTCGACGAATAGTTATAATTAAATTTAAATTTAGTGACGTTGAAACGAAACGCATGATAGTAAAAACCAACCAAATTAGAATTTTGTTTATTTGATTTGTTTAATATTACATAATTTTATACTTATGGTGTTGCGTTTATAAGGAATGGTATTGAAATGGGAAAGAGGAAGAGGAAAGTATAGAAAAATGCTAAAACAAAAATTATTACTGTGTATTAATATTTTATTTGTTTATTATTATCGTTATTATTTTGTTTAATTTTTAGGTATTATTATTGTTGTTGTTTAGGCTTTCTGTGTTTTTACAATTTTTTCTGTTCATTAATTTTGTAAAATTTTTATTCTTAAGGCTTATAATTAACTAGTTAAAATTAAATGTAACTGTAAGTTCAACAGAAAAAAATTACATTAACGTCAAATAACTTCATTAGGTTTTAATTGTTTATTTAATTTGTTTAATTTTATATAATTTAATACATATCTGTAAGTGTGTTATAAGGAAAGATAATGAAAGGGGGAGGAATAAAGTATAGAAAAATGAAAGAAAAAAATGTATTAATTATTAACAATAATAATTATTTATTAATATTGTTTAATTGTAAATTTTATTTATTTTAACATTGCCTTTAAGATATAATAGGATACATTTTGATTTTTATTGAAGCTTATAAGTGGCTAAAATTAAATTTAAAATTGTATAAATTTCAAATGAAGAGAAAGATTGGAAAGGAGGATTACTGAATTAGGTTTTTATTGTTTATTTCATTTGTTTAATTTCATATCATTTAATAGATATCTGTAAGTGTGTTGCGGTATAAGGGAAGATAATGAAAAAGGGAAGAGGAAAATGTAGAAAAATGTAAGAAACAACTTACTAATTATTATTTATTTATTTTTTCTATTTATTTATTATTGCCGTTATTATTTCATTTATTTGTTTTTCTTGTGCCATTATTGTTGTCGGCTTTCTATGTTTTTACAATTTTTTTTATTTATTAATTTAGTTTAATTTTTATTTTTATTTATTTTAACGTTGTCTTAAAATGACACATTTTCATGCTATTAAGGTTTTATTCTTTATATAATTTGTTTAATGTTATATAATTTTATACATATCCAGTTTTGTAAGTGTGCTGCGTTATAAAAAAATACTGGTATATTTTTTGTTTTTTTTTTGTGTTTTATCAGTCCGAAAGGAAATTTTACAGTTTTCTGCCGAGGCCTGTGTATTATTTTTAATGCGAAAATCGCATTAGTTAAAAATTTACTGCCTCACGCTGTAGCGTCCCATTCTATACGATACCTGGTTCAAAATGGCCGGGGTTGATGCTCGGATGGTTCTCGAAAAAGTACCGATCGCCCCTCTTCAGTCTCATGAATTGATCGCCGATGATCGCCCTGAAGGTGGGCCCCACGAGACTGCCGGGGTATTTAGGTTCCAGCAAACCCCCCACCCATAAGTCCACGTCATCGACCGATTTGTACACGCTGGCCAGTTTCCCGCCCATCTACGCAAAACGACACGGTATATCTCTAACCAAACCATAAAAACGACTTGTCCATTTTTTTACAGACAAGTTTCTGATTAGTGGACGAGTTGAAATTTTTACACCGGGTCACTGGAAAACATGGTCATTTTAACTTGGAAACCACCCTGTATATTTGCCTCTATGACATGTATATATAACATAAAAGTAATTCTGACTACCCCGTATATTTACGTAAATAGAACGCGTGTACTTACACTTGCAGAAGAGAAATTTCCAGAGGATCAAAAAGCATTATTATACCGGGTGTTTCAAAAAACAAGAAACGAACAGAAATATTCTGACGCAATAGTAGCTTCGAAGTTCGGAGCTAACCTGTATATTTACATAAATAGTCAACAATAATTATTATCAACTTTTATTATTTCAAAATCCAAATCAGTATAATTACACTAATTATAGTGACATATTCTAAGAGAATAAAAAAAATTCCAAAAAAATCAGTGGCGTTCACATCTCTGTGACAACACTATTCGTTAAGATGCCTACCGGTACGGTCATGGACTATGCAGTTTTAATCCAGTCAAAGCACAACGACGTCGTCAATACTCACAAAATCGGAAGAAAACTATTAACATATTATTAAAAAGCCGTTGTGTTTTACAAAAAATATTTTACGCTCCGTATCTTAGAAATTAAGCTTATTTGGACCCACACTTTATATGAATATTTTTCTTTTATTTTTAAAACACCCCGTACAGGTAAAACCATAAGACCGCACTTTTGCGAAGCGAATGAAAATGTCGCACTTTTTGAAGTCGCAAATGTTTTAAACATACCATCATCCAAAAACAATTAAAGAATTGACCTTTATTGAGGGTACCCCCTGGCTCCCTCCTGTTTGCACGCCAAACTTCAGCCAGATCGTAAATTTTCACTTTTCAATTTTCACTTGGTCGTAAACTTTCTCCAAAATTAAAGTTTTTATTTTTCTTTAAATGCCAATATGCTGACTGAAAATCAATGTGTTATACTCCCTCCCCCTCCTTCTATCAGGTCGAAAAATTAAAAAAAATTAATTGCCTCTAAACAGATGTTGGATGGTGGAACAAAATCAATTTTGTTTTCGATTGAGGTTGATATTTTTCGATAGGGCCGAAATTTGACATGAGGGTAGGGGTTCGAAGGAGCACCCTCAAAAAATGTTAGATTTGCGACTTCCAAAGCTGCAACCATTCATTCGCTTCGCAAAAATGAAGTAAAATAGACGTTCTACATCGACGTCGGATTTTAACATAAAAAAAAAAAGGACAAAAGACAAAAACCTAACCTCTACTCGTTATAGTTGAGACATTTGCGACTTCCAAAACTCCGACATTTTCATTCGCTTCGCAAAAGTGAGGTAAAATGGACGTTCCACATTAGAGCCGAGTCTTAACCGACTAAAAAAAAACAACAGACTGAAACCTAGCCTCAGCCAGCATAATAAAAGCAATTGAGACTTCCGAAACTGCGACATTTTTATTCGCTTCGCCAAAATGAGGTTGGATCATCGTATCACAGTCGAGGTAAGGTTTTAGAAGGCAAAAAACCCACAAACCGAAACCTAACCTTATACGGTATAGGGAAGAACATTTGCGACTTCCGAAACAGCGACATTTTCATTCGCTTCGCCAAAATGAGGTTGGATCAACGTTTCACAGTAGAGGTAAGGTTTTAGAAGGCAAAAAACACCACAGACCGAAACCTAACCTCATACAGTATAGTGAAGAAAGGACTTCCGAAACCGTTAACTTTTCATTCGCTTCGCAAAAGTGAGGTCGGATCTGGTTCTGAAAAAAAAAACACCGAAACCTAACCTTACCTCAGAGCCGAACGAGGCGAAATCCTTGAAGCGTTCGAGGCCGACGAGTTCCCTGTAATCGTTGTAAGGTCTGAGGCCGTGGTCGCGACCTCTCTGCACGTTGATCGAGGCGAGATCGACGCCGAAAGGATTCCCCGCCCGGAACATGTATTTCGTCAACTGGAAAAGTCCAGAAAAAAAAACCGCTGGAAGCGATATTAAAAATTCCATCTAGGCATTCGCGGTATCCGAGATTATATTCGAGAACAGTAGGGGAACATAAAAAAAACGACCGGAAACGAAATTGGCTCGGATATTTTCGGCACTCCATTTTATACGGAGCGATGTTTTTCGGATAAAATAAAAATAATTACAAATCGAACATTTTTCTTATTTTTTTTTAGCATTTTTTATATATATTTTATATATATTATAGAGCATTAAAGGTTCACTTAAACTTTCACGCACAACTTTGGGAGCCCTAAAAAGGCCTAGGCAGCAAAAAAAAAAAAAAGAAAATATTCCAAAATCTCTTTACGGGGTGATAAAGATACGAGACGAAGTTCAAAAGAATAGCCGTGGGTGTAGTTACCGATAAAGAGCAACAAATATTTATATACCGGGTGACACAATACAGACTAAATGTAATTATTTTGACAATAAAACGGTACTCTTTTTGCAACATTTTGCCAACAAAAAATCCTTTAAAAAATAAGTTCACAGTAAGGAAAAAAATACAATTTTATTTTTATAAAAACAAAATATCACCATCACCATCAAGTCGACATGACTGAAAATTCTGACAGTTCGTACATTTTTATCTGATTTTCGATTTTGTCGTGTTATCAATTTACAAAGGAAGGAAACGCTGATATGTTTCTGAATGCATGAAAAACTCTGCATTTTATGCAGCGTGGTATCCGGGAAGTCGTAATATTTTGTTTTTATGCATTTACTTATTAATAATTTATTACATTAAATGCTGTTTGCCATTAAACAAGTTTCGTTTACAATTTTTCCCGTGATTTTCCCAAAGTTCAGATCCCCATCTCAAGCCGCTTAAAAATTAGAAAATCTTATTTAAATTTGTCAGAAAAAAAAAAACAAAAAAACAATTTAGGCATATTCTAGACGTCGACAACATAACCTATATTCCATGTCAGTGGTGTGCGCACGTCGGACGCACACCCGAACACACCCGAGCGTACCCGAAGATTCACGAAAATTAAAATTTTCCCGCCAAAAGTGGCTTCGAACCGGCACTACTATTCTACTCAACTAGACGATTACAAAATGGCGGCGCGGAGGAGAAACAAAAAAGAAAAACTCACCGCGTCCGGCATGAAAGTGTCCACCTCTTGGATGGGCTCGGTGGTGAGCGTGCTGAGGATTTCGTCCATGAAGCGCTGTTGCCGCATCCGCGCAGGATAGAACATCACCTCCGGTATCGCAATGACCTCCTCCAGCTTCTTCGGTCCGTACACCCTGTGATAACCGAAAATTTGACGAGTTAATGCCGGATATGTCGACAACCCTAGAAATACGGACGTCCGAAGTCTAAATTTCGAAGAAATCGCAAAAAATGGGCGAAAAAAATGTTACCTAACAAATGAAAGTACCCGAAGTGCGGCCAATTCCTTTGATTTCCGCAAATAGCATAAGAAAATGGAGAAAAACGGTATTACACAGGCAAATTCGCTTTTTGGCAAAAATCGCAAAATGAAGAAAAAAAAAGAGTTATCACACAGTGAAATTTGGAGGAAAAGTACCGGAAATATCGACAAACCTATAGATACAATTACTCGAAATATGTCAATTCATTTAATTTTCTCACAAATGGCAAAAAAGAAATGAAAAGGTTTGTCCTGTTTAAAAAAAAATCGAAGTCGTCGCTACTTTTCGGTAGATGCGGCAACACTGCAAAACCGAAAATATTCCGAACCGTCTAATGTTGATGATAATGACCATGATAATAAAAAAATAAATAAAGAACATTTAACATTACACAACATTTAACACAACAAATAAGGCAAACAAAAGAGAAAAATAAAAAATATATAAAATAACAATAAAAATGGCAGAGAGGTACTCAGGTACTGATGGTCTTTTTTAAAGAACAAATACATACTGAAAACTATATCGAGAAGCGTATTAGAAAAACGCTACTATACAATGAAATTTTATTCTAGCAACTAGAAATATCGGCACCCCTATAGGTATGGGTGCGCGAAGTCGCGTTAATTGACGTAATTTCCACAAATCCCCACAAAAGAATCTAAAAAAATTATCTAATTTTTTCAAAAATCGCAAAATTAAAAAAAAAAACTTATCACACACAGCGAAATATTTTACAAAAATGATCAGAAAACGACAGAGGAGAGAAAAATAGAACAATATACGGAATGTCCGTTAAAAAAGTCAGAATCGCCGCTATTTTTTGGTAGAAGCGGCAACGCTGCAAGACCGAAAATATTTTGGATCGACAGAGGAAAATCAAAGAAGCTTTTTTCAAAACGTCTAATGTTCCATCAAGAGCGAGACACTCTTTAAATGACGATGATAATGGTGAATATCTAAATAAATTTTTTTATTGAAAATTTTCTTATTGACCCAGAGTCGCGTTAATACATCTAATTTCCGCCTTATAACACAGTTAAATTTCGCGAAAAGGAGAAATATCTGCAACCCTATAGATAAGGTAGCTCGAAATCGCGTCAACTCTTCCAATGCGGCAAAAAAATTGGCGACAAGGTATCGAAAATCTCGACGACCCTATAAAAACCGGAGCTCGAAACGAATAACGCAAAAAAAAATTATTGGAGGGAATTCTTACTTCATGGTACCGTCGACGATGGAGTGTCCGAAACGCAGGGCCGCCGCGGCGAACTCGTTCGTCACCGACGGCTCAACGGCGACGTCGTAGTCGTACGAATATTCGCCGTCGTCCGACAAACGTATGCCGAACTCTTCGAGGGCGTCGTCGCCCAAAACGGCGGGCAAAAACTCCCCGTAAACGATCACCTGCATCTCTGCCATGACGATCTGGCGGGCCTCCAAGAAGATCTGTTCGTCCTCCCAGTGCGGATTCAGCGAACCCAACGTTTCGGCTATCCGATTGTGCTCCCTCAGGAACAACGTGTGCAGCACCACGAGGCTGATCATTTGGTTGGTGCGGGTGTCACCTGCAAGAGACCATTGAACCATACCCTACAATAAGATAGCATACCGTACACGTGCTTAGAAAACAGTCCGTGCGTACGGCTTTCTATCACAAGTATCACAACTTTCATATCATAAGTGTATATCAAAGTCGATGTTACGGGTTCTTACATAAAGCGTCCATCACAAGTACATATAAAGAAATGCCGAAGAGTGGAGTTTCTTATAGCGATTTTTTATTGCAACTATATATCATAAGCTTATATCACACCTTCGTGATCGTATTTTAAGTCATAATCCAATATGTCGGTCATAACGTTTCATCGTAGGCATATAAGCAGAAAATCTACCTATAATAAGTCTTTTATAGCCACAAGTGTTAATCACAATTAAATATGATAAGCGTATATCACACCTTCACGTCAATATTTTATACCGCATGTCGATAGTAACATAAGACGTACCTATCAAAAAAATCTATTAGTGTTTTATACTTTCACGTGTTTATCAAGATTATATATCATAAGTTTATATCATACTTTCACGAAAATAGTATAACCACATTGTATGTTATAAACATCCATAGAAAACGCATAACAACAATCTGACTATGATAAGTCTTTAATGGCAGCCAGTATTTCTCACAACTATATATATATCCTAAGTTTACGTCGCAATTTCACGTCAACTTTTTGATTTCCCCAAGTCCATATATACAAGTTCCATATTACAAGTTTATATCAAGTTTCACCAAAAGAGTCATAGTCACAAGTTTTTATTGCATCTATATATTATCACTTTTACGTTCGTATTTTATGAGACAATTTAATATTTCTGGTATATACCATAAAGTTCCAATGAAAGCTAGTAAATATCATAAGCTTATATCACATCTTCACGTCACTATTTTATGTCGAATGTATAATAAGCTTTCATCACAAGTACCTAGCAAAAAATGTATCTGACCATAATAAGTTTTTTTATACATTAATATCATGTATTTATCAAGAGCATATATCATAAGATTATCACACCTTCACATAAATATTTTAAACCACAATCTAATATTACAGATATATATATTACGAACGTCTATCGAAAGCACATTAAAAAACTGCTTATGATGTTTTTAATAGTCACACGTCAATCTTTTTTTCTCTAAGTCGTATATTACAACTTTATACATGTTTATCAAAAGTATATATCATAAATTTAGATCACACGTTCACTGAAATATTTTAAACCATAATCTAATATTACGGATATACATAATCGCTCATGGAAATCACATAAAAAAACTGGCTATGATAAGTTTTTATCACACTTTTCATAATTTATTATTACGGAACTTTGTGATAAGCCTTTTACACTTTTATAGCGTAAGTGTATCTCAAGAGTATATACCACAAGCTTATATCACACTTTTACGAAAATATTTTCATCCACAATCTAATATTACGGACATATATTTTGAACGGTCATCCAAAGAGCACAATAAGTAAAATCTGCCTATGATAAGTCTTTTACAGACAAAAGTGCTTATCACGAGTATATATCATAAGTCAATATTTTATACCGCAAGCCGATATTACATGGTTATATGTGAAATTTACATCAAGCCTGCGTCACAAGTACCCATAAAAAAATCTGCTTATGATAAGTCACGACTTTCAAGTCATAAGCTTCAATTAGTGTCAATCAATAAATGTTTATCATAAGTTTATATCACATTTTCATGTGCCACAACCTAATTAGTTTTCGATTCTTTTAGTACCACACTTCAGAACTCTACATCAAAAGTGTATATCATAAGTATACGTACCGGACTCGAAACAGGCCGAACCTTGTTCCATGGTGAGACAGGCGTTGGGGTCCCTGGACAGGGGCAGCAATTGCCTGCCGTAGTCGTGGAAAGCGTTCAGCTTTCCACCGCGGAAACTTCTCAGTTGGCTCGTCTGTTCCGGCGTAGAACCGTAGACAGACGAAGCGTCTACGAAATGCGTCAGCTTGTTCATCTGAAACGCGTCGATTTCGTCGATCTCCGAGCCCCCAGGGGGCAATTAAAGGGGCGCGTATACCTGGTTAGCGTAGCCGAGGGTGCAATCGTAACGGGGTGCCAAAACGGACCTGACAAAGTTCATGCAACGCTGACCGAAACGTCCGTAGAAAGGGTCGCGTTCTGGCAAATCGACGGGCATGCAAGCGTAGTGGGAGGAGCCGGCAGGTAAGCTGGACGTGCCGTCCGCCGAGCAACACGAGATGGCGCTGCCGTTGCCTTGAAATGGGAACTCGAAAGGTACGGAGAGGGAGCAGAACAACGCCCGACTCACCGTACTTGGTGTCTATCGATTGGGTGAGGTCGTGGGACATGAACTGACCGAACTGCATCAGCAGCAGCGTGAAATCGTGATTGTAAGAGTCGACGTCGGATATAATCGTGGTGCTGATGGATCTGGGGCTAGGCAAGGCGGATCCGTCGGCTCGCGATACCCTCGGGGACCAGACACCTAAAAGGGAACATCCGTAGGTCTAAGTTCCGACAGTATGGCGGCGCGACGCTTGCCGTCTTCGTAGCTAGGGGGCAGCAGCCTGGAGTAAGGCGTGAAAGGGGCTCCCCAGGTGGAATGCAGGACGTTGTTGCATGCGCCGTCGATCCTGCGGTACTTGTCCGGTACCAGGGGGCAATAGGGCAACGTCACGCAGGCGTGTCCGAAAGACGTGGGCCGCAAATCTTCGCCGTGGGTCAGTCCCATTTCCAGCTGGCGGTTCGTCAATCCCTGCCTGAATGATTTGAGGTTAGGCCCGGCGAAAATTACTTTTCGTCCCTTTCCTCGAGTTCGCCCTTGACATGATACGATCGACTACCCGAAATTGCCCCTTGCCCTTTCCGCAAGAGTTAAATAATTAAGGTGCGGCTGGAAAGACCGCTTCAATCAAATGAATGCGAGCAACCTTTCATAAGCGATGGATTAAAGGTGGTGTATTACAAATGTTTGACTTTCATTCTAATCCAAAATTAAGCGGACATGGTTGCAAGCTTCAAAACAAAAACAGTTCGTTACGAAACATGTTAATAGGTATTTTCGTAGTTTCGTAGTTTTTTCAGATTGGGGAAGCAAAAATACCGGTTCTTTTTTGTCTTTGCCGTTTTGTCGTAAGTACCTTGTAAAACGGAGCATTCAACATAAAAACATATTAACAACAATTTTAATGTAAGTAATAATAAACGCACCAAATCTCATTTTTGTTGCTCAACCTAAAAAAAATAGAGTATATTGATTGATGCCTGTGCAGTTGTTGGAAATCGATTTTTGGACATTGTGAAGTCCTCCTTTACGAGTGGAATTGCTCAAACATTATAAAAGCAGGTGCAGAGTAAAATGTTTCAGTTTCAGTTTCAGTCAAGCTCTGAAGAAGTCAACATGATGACTGGCGAAACGTTGGCTAGTTCGAGTCAACAAAAACCTTACTACAGAGAGAGAGAATAAAAACTCGCCTGTCCTTGAAGGCCCTGGTAGCGATCGCGATCTCCAACGCGTTGTTGGCTATGGTGACGACTTCCGATAAATCTGACGCGTCGAACGTGCGCGAGTTCCTGAAATGGCCGTAGGTGGCGGGCCCGGGAAGCAAAATGGCCGCCTCGCGCATGAGCTCCGCCTCCCGCGATCTTAGTTTCGACATTTCCGCCTTGGTCTTCTTGTTCAGCGCCCCCAGCGTCTGTTTGTCCAGACGCAGGTGATGGTGGCCGCGATCTTTGGTCGCGACGGGCCCTGCAAGGCACGCGTTTAGTTCCGGCCATAGAAATCGCCCGATTCGTATAGTACGACCAAAAATATAGTGCTTTTATTGTATGTGCGGTACCTTGCGGTAAAACCTATCCCCGCATTAAGTATAGTAATAAGTAATGTTTGTAGAGAAGAGTTTAAACAACAACTGGGGTTAAACATAGATAAGCCTGTCGAAGATCTTTTATTCTGGGCACCTCCTTAATGGCAATTTTCTAATATATCCTCTAACAGCCGGGGTCCGGTTCTCATTGTACGACATTTAAATTTCTAACATATCAATCTTTTCCTCTGTGTTAAACATAATACGCAAGCATCATTCTAGCACTTGTTTAGTTTGAACGCCGTCATAGCCACCTTACACTAACTGAAATTATATGGCAACAGCAGTAGGCAGTAATAGGCAAAGTTGATGACGTCGTCGGTTATAAAAGCACTATATTTCTGGTGTCAGTATACCCGTGTGATTTTGACCGGTCGCGCAGCGCACCCCCTTGAACCGGCCGTTGATCGTGCAGGTTTCCGGCTCGTTTGCGGTGACGTGGGCCGGACAGCTGACGTAGGCGACGCACGGACTGCGCGCGCGGGACCCGATTAGGACGTCCCGCGCGTCTCTGGCCACGTGACACGCGACGTAACGCGCCAACGCGGCTATAATTACAACGATATGGCTGCGCATGGCCTGCAAATGTCAGAGAAACGTCAAATTAAAACCGAAAATCACGCTGGTACCTATGTAGATAGTATATCTAGTATAATAAACCAAATGCGTCCGAAAGTAAAATTGTATGTTCAACATAAATTTCAAAACAAAAGTGGATAACCCCTGTGATAAAAGAAATGATTTATCAAAGAGACTGTATAAAAGAGCGGTACTTGAACAAAATGATGATACATGGCGTGCATACAACAAAAGAATTCTTCCCGATGAGTTGCAGTTTGGCCAGCGAACTGTTTCATTTAAGCAAGTCATAGCTAATGAATTTAATAGGTATTTTATAGACAGTGTTAAAAATATTTTGAGGGACATTCCGCCATCCCGGGCTGTGAATGATATACTGATAATATACCAACTTATGGAGAAATAGATCAGTTTAATATCACAACTATGCAGAACCTAAAAAAAATAATAAGAGAATTAAAAATGTGACTAGCGATGAGTGTGGTATCTCAAAGAGTGTATCGATTGATGTCTGTGCAGTTGTTGGAAATCGATTGTTGGACATTGTGAAGTCCTCCTTCCGGTGGCATGGAAGACATCCCAACACCAATCTATGTCAAGAATTTAGGTCAATTAATACCGTTCCAGTTCGTGAGAAGGTTCTTGAGGTTGTGGTGAAACATCAGCTGCAAAGTTATTGTGACGTAATCAATATTTTAGTGCTTAACCAGTTGGGCTTTCCCTCCAAACATTCATGTGAATCTGTCTGTGATGATTTCTTGAGGGCCTTGGGATTTTAAGCGTGCTTTCGAAACACTAAGTAGAACTAGACTGTTGAGAAAATTGTACAAAATGGGTATTAAGGGAACAGCGTATAAATGGCTTTGTTTGTATTTAACAGATAGATTGCATAACTGTAGAACATGGTGTTCCTCAAGGGACAGTTTTGGGACCATTGTTGTTTTTTATGTATATAAACGATCTTGTAAATATTTTAGATGATACTAAAGCGGTATTATTTGCGGATAATGCTATGATTTTATTATGTTTGTGAAAAAGTTACCTTTTTCAGAGATATTCATTTTTACAATACAAGAAATTGTGGTAATTTTAACGACTTTTAAGACGCCATGTATTGTCCAAATTCTGATTTCTGTGTGCTTAGCTTTTGGTTTCCGTTTATCTGGAATTTTATATTTTATATTTAGAATTTATATTTTGTATTTTTTGGGTAGCATAATGCAAAATAAAGATTACATTATGATTAAAACCCGACGGGGGAAAACTTCTTTAGAGATTTACCGAAACTGGCATTAGGGATTAATTTTGAAGAAAACTTTTCAAAAATAAAATATATTTTTTCTTATCGGCGAGGGCGAGCTTTTCATGATTTTTGTGGCTTAATTATAATTATTTATTAAAAGCTATTTAATAAAAACAAACGTTACTGATTGGTAACTATTTTTCTATCCATTAAAAAATGCGTTATTGCTATTTATAAGATTTTCGAAAGCTCTGGCCTTAGGCTAAATCAACAGAATTATCCAAAAATAATAAAATGGAATAGCTTTTTTTTAGACATTTTAAGCGATCCATTCTACCCCTGGAATTACGCAAACAACTAAAATTGTACAAATAACCATAACTTATAATTACCATGACGAAATAAAAATTTGGTTAATTCTTGAGGTGGGCTTCCTTGCCTCAGGGGTGTCCCTCGCCCCACCCAACCCTATCTGTAATACCACTTTAGATATTCGAATGAAATGTAAAATACACGAGTGGCGGACGTACGGAATTTCTGCTGTCTATTTTATTAGACATCGATGGTACGCCACTGATTTCTCTTAAAATAAAAATAATTCTTAACACAGTCGTTAATATAACAGCATCCGGAGAATTATTATCATCAGTAAGAATCGTGTTGTTCCGATGTTATGTTACTTCATTAAAAACTGTCTTCTGACATATTTTTTCTGAAAAACAATAGTTGACAATTAAAAACTAGATATTTTGTTTGATACAGGGTGTCCCGAAATTAGACGTCAATATTTTAACCACGTATTCTGCGACCCAAAATAAGGATAAAAGTACATATAAACTAGGGTCCAAAAAGTTTTATACAGGGTGTTAAATTTGAGGACGTCATTTTTTAAAAATATTTTCGAAACACAAATATTTTTTGAAATAAAATTTGATACAATTACTAAACTTTTTAGGCTCCACTTACTCAAAATAAGGATAAAAGTTCATATAAAGTAGGGTCCAAAACGTCTTAGTTATTAACATTAGTTATTACATTGACAAAGAAATGTTTACATTATGATAATTCAGGACAATCGAGGACAGGTAGATGTATATGCCGACTTTAGGACAAAATTCATGACTTGAGAGGTTTGGATTTGCTGCTGGTGTAGTAATATAAAATTCCTGCATGTAATCAATTCTTCTCCCAGTTCCGAACAATTCTACGAAAGAGAATGCGAGCCAGTTTCAGTCAAGCTGCGAAGAAGCCAACAGAATACACACTTTCTTGTCTAAGAAACTTGCTTTACATGTTGCCTACCTATGAATGATACAACGGATCTTTCGTATTAGAGGCTTCTTATAATAAAAAAAGAATTCCACTAAAAGTCCTTTATTTAACAGCGTCATGATGTTCACACATAAGAGCGCGAGATACTTGACTGAGAGACTGACATTCAAATCTCTCAAGACCATAGAATCGGAATACCACAGACCACCGAATAAAACACCAAGATAATACTTGCTGGAGCGTATTTAGCAATCATTAGCCACGGCACTTTTCAGACGTCAGGCCAAAAATGACAACTTGATTGAAGTATATTATCTCTAATTATCTAATTCTAGTCCATAGGTAACATCAAAAATAAAAAAAAACGTGTTTTCTAAGGGCTTACGAATTATCTCGCTGTCGAGCTCTTTTTGAATCGCTTTATAATGAATTGTATGTTCAAAAGCCAGCAGTCAACGTATTTCAACAACCGACAAGTTTCGCAAATGGTGTTTAACGCTTAACGAATTTGTGTTAAGATGGCCGTCGCAGAACATGCGGCGAGATACGTTTATAAAACAATTGACCGGCTAACAATGCGATTCCATAACTGCGCGGCGAACTAAAAAGATTGCCGAAGCGGAAACCCATTAAAGCGGCCTTTGTCGAAATAGAGCATTTAAGAACAGCGGGAAAATCAACTCAACTGCCAAACGCAGCAATATAAAACGGTTTTTGTCTGGCGAATGTTCTAGAAAATTTCAAACTTGACGCCCACACAGCACCTTGGATCGATGTCGATCGAAGGCGTCGGCGGAAACAGTTCATTTTCCTCAAATAGATCGGGGAAAGGAAATTTGTCCACTTACCTAACCAGAAACAAAAAAAAACACTTAAACGCACTACAAATCAAACTCTGCTCGCTCCGATCGGTACCGCAGACGCACTGGGTTGTTCGACGCGAAAAAACAGCCGAAAGCACACGGTTTTTTCTCCAAATTTGAACCATTTTTTCATCGCCAACGGACACTGGACCCGGAACGACGCGAGCGGCTAATCTACCAGGCTCGCGGTCGGTAAAAAAGGTCGCCGCCCGGTGGTTTCGACCGCGCGCCGCTAGATGTCGCGGCTCGGCGACGTGAAATAAAACGCACGGAATTTCGCGGAGAGTGTTTATTGATGCGACGACGATTTTCTATCGACGCTCACAGATCCGGCGTCGTGCGATACCAACACGGTTTCGTAGACGTGGGGCGGCTGGAATAAAAACAACGGGTCGAGGAAGACGAAACAGGGGTGGATATTGCGGAGGGCTGAAAAGGAGAAGACAGATCGCGGTGTTGCCAAGTCTGTTGGAACGACCTGCCGACTTTTTTTATTGATTAAATATGGGGTCGAATTAAATTGCAACTAAGACGTCCACCTAACTGAGGTTGTTAATCAGGTTATAGATAAAGCTATAGATAAATTCATAGAGAATATTGTAAGAAAAAAATTTGAAATTATTGTCAAATATAGAGCGTGATCCATAAATATAAAAATGCGCCTATAAAGTAGTCCAGTTATTTATACTATACATATACTGAACTTACTTAGTTTGAATCGTTTATACAGGGCCAGAAAATAAAAATAAATAGCTAAATGTTTAGTTTCGTAGAAAAAAAGGTTTCCTTTCTGTCCATTAACTTCTAAACGCTGAAAATTGAAATTAAAATAATTTTTTTGTTTTAAAGTTATGCATTTTTAAAGATATGAAGAAATAAAGGTATATAAGTACGTATTTTTAGCAGTTTGCGTTTTCCATTTTGCAAAATTTGTCAAAATTAAAAAGGAAAGCTGACTAAAGTAAAAAATTGAATTAAACGCCGCCATTTAAGAATTCTTCCGCTTAAATCTAAAACCGGTTTTGGTTGTTTGAAGATGACAAGCAACGCTTCCCAAATATCAACATTTTTGAGAAATTGGTAGAAAAACGATTTCTTCGAAAAATGCAGGGCTGCGTCTTTTAATTTTTATCTCGAAAACGAAACTTGATAGAAAAAAAGGGGACGGAACGAAAAAGTTTCGTATTCCATTCGCCGATGTGAAACAAATATAAAATCTGCAAAAAGCCAGTGGCGTGCCTTGATTTCAGCTAATAATATAGATAAGATCGGGCAATGGCAGGCGACTGACGTGAAAGGTGAAAGGTTTTACTGATTTTTTTTTATTTTGACTCTCCGTATCTCGAAAACGACCGGAGTTACGACAAACTCGCGTTTACTGTATCCTGGTTTTTAGCCCTCCGCGGCGTAAAATTTTACGATAAACTGCTTCAGCGGCGGCAGACGGGACGGCGGCAGTTTCCTGAAAGGCTCGCAGACCCTCCCGCAGCGCAGCATCGCCAGCAGGAACCACATGTAGTCGCTCCTGATGGCTGCTTCCTCGACGCTGTCGCCCATCTTGTCCAGCTTGTCGCACCACACTTGCACCATCTTGCGATCTGAACGTTAACTAGTCAAACATCGTAACGCGTGGGAGTAGGGGGGCGGGGAACCACCGTTCGGAGGCAGGAACTGGAGCAGCGCCGCCGCCAGCTTGTTGTTGTACTCGAAATGCTCGTTTAGGGTTTGCATCGCTTGACTTTTGACGTTTCAACGTCACTCCGACGTAAAATCAACCATAATATACAGGGTGCTTTCTAGATGATGATATCCTGGAGAAAAGAAAAGAAAAGATCGTGGCCACTTTTTTGTTGACCGGCAGACTCAGCAATTTTCTTAGAGGTGTTTCACCCTTACAACGCCATTCCATTGATTCTTTTTTCGATAGAGGGTCATAATAGAGAACCATAGTTTCATCTCCCGTCACAATAGTTTCTATCGCAGGCTTCAGTTCCGACCCACAGAGTTCCAAAAAAGACCGCGCACACTCGACACGGCAATAGCCGAAAGGTTTTTAGGGACCCACCTTGCACTAACCTTATGCGTACCTAAATGATCATGCAGGATTCGACGAACACTCGTATCAGAAAGCTTAGTAATTTCTGAGATTTCCTTGACCTTTAAATTGCAACAAAACTAACCAAATCAGTTTCAGTCGAGCTCTGAAGAAGCCAACAGGATGATTGGCGAAACGTCAGCAATTTCGAGCCAGCAAAAACCGACGCAGGAGGAATCCAGAAGTTTGGCAAAAAGTGAGGAGGTAAAAATATCCTGGGTGAGTAATTTGAGAGACTCTTTCGGTTGCAGCTGAGCACTAAGCTTTTTGCAGCCTTCGACAGAAGATGGAACTCTGAGAAGAAGAACCTGTTGTCTTGTCTTATTAACAATCTACTATGTTCTAAACAATCTACCTATTCCTTGTTCTATTGTTTGTTTCGAAATTTTTGACAGTGACAGGCAGCTAAATCTCAGTGACAATGGCCGGATCCGAGCTCAATTTCTTCTACAACAGCATGCTCGCGAAGGCCCTCGTCCAGCTGGTGCCAGAATGCGGTAAGAGTGAGGCGAAATCGTCAACGTTCTATCCCCTCCGCGTTACGCGTGGCGCCCAAAGTGAAAAACCAATAATCAATGCGCAATTGACGATATAATTGTTGTGCTTTCGATGACACGGGTCGTCGGCTACTCGCACATCAATTTTTAACGTCTGCACCGTACAAAACTGAGCGATAAGCAGACGAAAATATCCCGAAACGCGTTTGTAAACATCGGTAGACGAAATTTGATCGCTTGCGGTCTATTTCCTGATCTGTTTGTCATCTACCAATGCCTTGGTGTTTACATTTACAATTATATACTGTGGATATTCTTATTCTGTTTACAGAGTCGTAGAACTGTCTCAACCAGAGTCACTGAACCCGCAATTAAAACACCTTACGGCTGCTCTTCTCTCTGATAACTTCCACATCAGAGCTTCCATCGCAAAATACAATTCACCACAGACTTCTTCCAATAGCAATGAGGCCGAAAGCAATCCCACAGTTGCAATTGTTGTCCTTCCTTATATTCAAAACATCACTGACTCACAGATTAATGCACCACCTATTCTATGATTTTTTTTGTCACATCCATTTGGAAATTTGATTATTATCACTACTAAAGGGCATAAAACCGTAGAAATCGCTAATTTATGTGTAAAGGAAAGATCTTATATATTACTTCAAAAGTTAACAAAAGAGGTACATAAATTTGTATCACATTTTCAAGTAAATCCAAAATAGTAAAAAAAATATTTTGGATTTGTATTCCCATTTTTGTTAAGTCTATAGCATGTAGATTACATTGAAAATACAATATTGATTATGCTTTATTTTTTGAAAATGTTTACTGGTGGGTAAATGCCCCACTGGATTTATCTGTGAAACAAAACTTTGTTGTTGCAAGTCAGAGCATGTAGAATAAACATCCAACAATTAGCGTGTTCTTTAGTATTAGCTTGTGCCTTGTGCAGTGGACGTTACATAAAAACATGACATGACATGACATGAAGCGCCCCCTACCGACTCGTAAAAGGATTAATATCGTGATATTGACATGCCAGTCGAAGCTCCTATAAATATTCTTCAAAACTAAACTAAGTTCGTCGCCGTGAAAATCTCCGTTTTTTTGTAATTTATTTGTATTTTTATACACCCATAAACAAACTTCTAATATGTATATATAGATACATGTTATATCTTTATATATTTCGATTATCGTCATTTCTGAAAGGAACTGTTGTCAGTTTATTTAGCTGTTGGATTAGAGTCTTTATACGAGGTGTGTTCAAAAAGTAAGGTGACTTGTAATCGGGTGTACGTTCGATCTTGGATAGTTTTTTTGTCATGTTGGTACACAGTTTGCACGTTTACTTTTTTTTGCGAGACACAGGCGTTCGCGATTTTCGAGTGTCAAAAAATGGAACAAAGGCTTTCGGTGTACAAATTTTTGTTTTTAGGATGTTTACATAATGTTCGTGTTTTCTAATGTAATGTCTCAAAAAATAATTCAAAAATATTGTGTGACTCCAACTCCATAAATGTTCAAAATTCCACTGATTCTATTGATTTCAGTGACTTGAAATGATATTAGTGATCTCAGTGAACATGCATAATTTCTAATTATTAATGATTAGAGATTTTCAAAGTTGCCTTTTCGTGCTGTTAATCGATATCTACAAAATCAAGCTTCGAAACATTGGAAACATCGTTGATATCGTACGTGACAAATGTTTCCAATGTAAAATATTTCGATCAAACGAAAACATGCAATTTACGGCAACGCTGTGACTTGAAGTTCGGCATGCGCTATAGGTATTACGTCTCCTTTAAAGATAAACGCCCGCTACGCCAATGGTTCGACAAACTGGCCGACCTAAGCGACACCGAAAAGCAATTGGAAACGCGAAACGAGTACATGTGGTTCGTCCTGATGATGCTACAGTGTCAAAAGATTCGGGAGCCGTTCAGGAGTCCGCCCCCCGCGATCGTGCCGCCCCTGCGCGATCTTGTGGTACGCATGCACTGCAAAATTGAATATTCCCCTATTGTAATTCGATTTGCAATCGTACGTAGCTCCCAAGACGCAAACTTCACTTCAAACTTATAACATTTTACAACGTATTGAGCGATTTCCGGATGAATTTTTCCCTGCACTCTGTATAACACACATACAGCCTCATTTTCCACCGTTTTTTATTAACGGCTCCTCAAAAAATTTTTAGCGGACCTGTCGGCGGCTAAATGTATTCGACACGGGCGCATTCACCCTTGGAGACTTAGGGAACCCTCCGCGACGGACGCTCGTCAGTTAAACCACCGCTTTCTTCGTTAGCAAAAAAGCGGTGATTGCTTCGCTTTTTCCAATATCATTTCGACGAAAGTCGAGCGTTCGACTCGCCTCAAAATTCTCTATCCTTAAAAGTACCACCGGTGAACGCGCCCGGTCGTTACGGCACGCGACGCGCTACGCGCCCTGCTTTACCGGCAAGGGTCGGTAACGAAGAGCGCCGGTTTTTAACCGTTTCGCGATGTTTCGCAGCCGCCGCAAGTGTACGAAGAGGTCCTGGTGGCGAACGACGGCGACATGGGCTGGTTGGACAAGAGCGTCGCCGAGGAGACGCCCGCGGGGCCGCCGAAGACGGCGCCCGCGAACTTTTTCGGCGAACAGCCGATGCCGCGTCGCGGGATCGTCTGCTACGTTGCCGCGTTCAGCGATCGCCGCCTGCTTTGACGCCCCGGCAATTAACGTAGACGCAATAAAAACGTTAATCCCTTGCCGCTTTGATTGTTTTGTTTGGTGAGCCCCGCGATTCTTCGACTGTTTGCGTAACGGCGTCGGCGGTTTATTTGCGCGCGCGTTGATAAAGAAGAAACGGCAGAGGTCAACGCGATGCAACGCCGGCGTTATTTTTAGAACTTTTGACCGCGAGTTGGGTAGGTGGAGGGGGGGGTGGAAAAAAAAAGCGGTAGGAACCGGCGTAGGCCATTGCGTAGCGAACCGTGCGTTCGCTCGATGACGGATCGATAGAGATCGAAGCGGCCGGTGGAGTGAACTCGTGACCTTGTGTGACGTCGATGTTGATTCATTATTTGCCGAAGTTGCTGGCCGATCGAGGCTCGAGCATCGATGGTTTCGAGTGTTCCGGTTTGGTGGCGGGTGCGGTGTTCGTTGACGTGCCGGTGAGTATTCTTTTTTTTTTGACTGGTGTGACGCGTCGATATCAAACGTCGTTTGACGTTTCACACAAAAGTGACGTTTCTGTGCAGAAAGTTTCACCGCGATCGGTAAAAATCAAGGAAATATTTACGGATTCGGGTTTTATTCCAATTTTGATCCAAAAGCGTATTTATAGTATTTTTGTGTATACATGGTGTTCCGTTACCAGAACAGTGGCGCAGTTTATTTTTTTTAAAAGGAGTGTTGTGAATATTTTTAAAAATTCATATTATTCCCTTGATCTGGAGAATTTTTTGTCATCATCATCGAAAATTTGAGTGGTTTTCGAGAAAACTGAACTTTTTTTATATATTTCACAGGGCGGTCACAAACGAGCATCAAACAAGTGTTTTTTATAATTAAAAAACGCAAGTTTTTTAAATGGACTGCCCCGTATTTAGCAATTTTACTGGGTTCGGGATTTAATTCTCTGTCGTTTTATATACGGCGTGTCCCACTTAAGAACTGTACACCCGCGTAAAATCTTTGTTTACGGTTCGTAAATATCAAAATCATACTGTTTCCTTTGTAAAAGCAATTTTGCGAATATTCGACTGCCAAACTTTTTTTTCGATTACTAAGATTCATTAATGATATTGTTTTAAGATAATACTAAAAAATAAATGTCCCTCGAAACATCTTTTTTAGCATTATTTTTGAAATTTGCAAGTTTGTTCATTAGTCTAGGTACTTCTAGGTAGTCCTGAATACGAATATGTTGCCATTTTCAATATAAAAACATCTCTTAGTCCATGCTGTATGATAAAATCATTTCATTTCTCTTTAGTACGATCCATCCAGCAAAACTGAGCCATAAACAGGTATAATGTTTAAGTGAACTTCATGGAAATTAGTATAGTTAGGTTTTATGTACTCCTGAATAAAAATAAGAATCCATCCATCTTGATATTTGCCATAAATTTTTTTTCAGAAATGTTGGTTACTTATGATATACTCGTAACGTTCATTTTTTAAATAAAACACCTCGTATATTATTACACTTTTAGATTCTGCGAAATATTCTCGAACTTTTTTGAACTGAGGTGGCTTTTACTTGATGAAAATCCATTTCACAAAATAAATAGGAACTAAAAGTTCAGATTTTCACGAATTTATATATTTTCACATGACAATTTTCCTATTTTGTTGTTAGTTCTGAAAGTTATTTTTAAATCACATTTTGACAAATGTTTTGAAACTTTTTCACTGGGTTCTCCTATTTATGTAATTGTTCTAAATTGTTCGTGTTCTGTATTAGGTTTCGGATAAATAGAGTTTAGTGTTGTCTGGATTTGTATTTTATTTATAATTTTATCTATAATGGACGGATTGTAGCCGTTGTTCAGTGCAATTCGTTTAATGACATTAAGTTCTTTGTTGTAATTTTCTGTTGAGAGTGGCGTATTAAAAATATAAGTAATTAAAGTTTATGGGCTAACTGACCAAGGTAACAAATTTGAATAAATAAATATAAAAAAAAGTTAACTAAAAAGTCTTCGTTAATTTGTTGGTTATGAATCACAATCTTTCTGTTTGTTTTTGTTGTTTTTCATATTCTGTTTCAAAAGTTCATAGTTTGCAAGTTTTTTGTTAGTTTATAATTTATTATATTATAAATATATGAAATTTGTTTAAGTGTGTAGTATAGAGTCTATTTTTCTCATAATCTCCACGTATTAATGGACACCCTGTATGTTAGCAAAAGGTTATATCTGGAGTGGTATATCTTTAAAAGAAATAATATCGTGCCTTTGTTATTTAAAAAATAACTAATATTGCCAAGGAGTGACTTAATGTGGGCAGCTTTAAATTCAACAATAATTTATACGGGTATGATCTAAAACCTTGAGATTTTGTTAATTGAATTCGCCAAAACGGCGCCACCACCTATTTGGGACACCCTGTATAAGCTGAGGCCCATCTGTCAAACTGATTGAGCAGCGTATCATCTCCTTAGTCTGCGGTTAAAGTTTCGTCGCGATACCTCAATCAGTAGCGTCACAACACAATTTTATATAGGGCGATCAAAATATGGAAAAACAACACACACCCTCCATTTACGCCTACACTATGCAAAATTCGTTTCGTTATATACGGGGTGTTCCATTTAAAATAACAAAGTTGATGTCGGGGGGGGGGGCAGTTTTGGGCCGCCCTGTATCAACAAAATTATAATATTTAAAATCTTCCCTCGATCGTTATCACACGAACCATTTGCCTGTTTAAATCGCAACCAGGCCAAGATTAAAACCTTCGTTCGGAACGTCAGTAATGCCAATGTCATTGTCTGCGTGTTTACCTGCGCGTCCGCCAGAGGGCGCGCTCGGACGAATACGAACCAAGGCGACGTTTGTTGTTGACGCTAGACGTTCGATAAGAGCGTCTCCAAACAAACGCTCAGACGTAAAAAATTTCCGTTTCTTCAGTCCAGAAAGATGCCTCCGAAAGACCTGTCATTCAGCGTGTATGCGGACGTTGACTTGGAGGGTGAGTGTGGGGGGAGGGGGCACGGAGGGTACGGGTTCCTATTCGGAGCTGTTTTCGCTTCGCAGGTTCCGAGGATTTCGTCGAACGAAGACACTGCGACTTCGAGACGGCTTTGGAATATTCCAGTGAGTTTCAGAATTAAATAATTCATTATTAAGTTGATTAATTTAATTGATATTTTGCTCACGTCATCATTGCGTGAAATGTTTTTAGTTTTGTTTTATTTTTCAGTTGGAGCGATCGATTCTATTACAAACAGCTCACCCTAATGTTCAATTATTGTTTATGTTTGTTTGTTTGTTCATCCAAAAAAAGTAATTCAACTTTTTCTAGAGGTTACGCCCCCTAGCGGTCATTTTTTGAACTTGAAATTGATTTCCAGTTTTTTTCCAAGCTATAGGACTAACGTTTCCTGAGATTTGACCGGCCTCCTTTATTAATAGGCCACCCAGCACATATCGTTCCATTTAAAATAAGAAATTTAATTGACCACCTTGTATATATAGAAATGCATTATTTTATAAGTGAATCCAACAATTGGTATCGTAAACTATCCAGCCGGTATATATTTACTTATAGGCGTTTTTTGATTTGCATAATTTATTTTATACAGGGTGGTGGAACAAAAGACAAATTTTGTTACAAATTTCGTGGAACAGGCGATTTAAAAAAAAAGGTTTTTTTTTTTTGGTACTTTGATATTTTTTGACTTTAAATTTTATTTTAACTTAGGCAAATTTTTTAGAAATAAGTAAGAATTTCTGAAGTAAGTTTTCTTAGAAACATATCAGAATTTTTTTATGGTATCATTTTTTTTGTTTGTCGAGTTCTGGTTGAAACATGACGGAAATTTGAAATAAATTCACTTATCACTTATAAGTTTAAGGTATTTTTTCTATTTTTTTTCTAAACAATTTTGGTAATAGTAATGACAAAAACTTCCCATCAAATATAGGGATTTCATAATAGTTACAAATTCTGCCTTATATCAGATAATCTGACTTGTTCCTCAATTAAATAATTAATATAATTAATAAAACAAACAAAAATTTATTTTTTATTTTTTTGTTACATGAAACGATTGGAGCTATTAAAAGTAAAGGTTTGGAAGGGAAAACTCAACTTTCAGGTGACTTTCTGACCTGCTTTTCAGAAAATATGACTTTACTCGGAAATTTTGCAGAAATTCTGATTTGTTTTTCAGAAATTTTAACTTATTTTCTATAAATTCCCACTTAACTTAGAAATTCCGGCTTGTTTTTCAGAAATTCTGACTTATTTTTCAGAAAATTTGACTCTAGTCAGAAATTCTTACTTAAGTCAGAAATTCTGACTTGTATCTCAGATATTCTGACTTATTTTTCAGAAAATTTGATTTTAGTCAGAAATTCTGATTCATTTTCTGGAAATTCTTAAGTCAGAAATTCTGACTTGTTTCTCAGAAATTGTGACTTATTTTTTAGAAATTCTGACTTGTTTTTCAGAAATGTTGAGTTTTTTCCTAGAACTTCTGACATATTGTTCAGAAATTCCCTCTTAACTTCGAAATTCTGACTTAGTTGTTTCCGGATATTCTGGGTTGTTTTTCAAAAGTTCTGACTTCTTTTTCAGAAAATCAGACTTTATTCAGAAGTTCTGACTTATTTTCTTGAAATTCAGATTTATTTTTCAGAAATTCTGACTCAAAAATTTGTTTCATTTTTAAGGGCTTTCGTACATAAATGGGTTCTTTTTTTTTAATATAAAAATAAATAAATTTGTAGCCACCGAAAGTAAACGCCTAGAAAAAAAACTGGATTTCCCGATGACTTAGAACTTTGAACGTTTGACTTTATTCAGAAAATTTCCAGAAATTGTCACTTGTTTTTCAAAAATTATAACGCAAAAATGTTATTAATTAAACTAAAACCTATATTTTATTTTTGGTAGCTTTTAAGCACTTTCGCGCAAAAGCGTGTGTTTTTATAAATACCTCGGAGCGATGAAAAGTGTTTACTTTTTACTTTTTTTTTTCTCTAAACGTTTGTTTAGAGAAAAAAAATCTCGACCTTCGGATGACCTCTACGCGATAGATGACGTCGACGACTCAACGAATCAAAGTAGGCCGATATCTTTCCGCTTATTAATAACGATTTTTGTTTACTCTCGCAGAGGTGGGAAAATTCCAGTGGCTCCTCCTGACGATCAGCGGCGTCGTATACGCTACGTGCGCGATAAGCTCGACCGCGCTTTCTTTTGTTTTGCCCTCGGCCGGCTGCGACTTCGCGCTGACGTCAGCCGATAAGGGCAAACTGACTGCGATATCGTTAGTGGGTAAATAGTGGCGGAATGTGGGTCACCGCCGCCGACACTGACCCGTATATACGGGCTGTCCACTTTTCGCGCGTTTTCCCCTATATACGGGGCGTATATAGGGGTTCCACAAGGTTCGGTTCTTGGCCCTCTATTTCACTCCTTTTATGTGCTAGTCGATGTGTCATACACCCATGTTTATTAAATTGTTTGATATTTACCATAGTAGGGGCTGTGCGCGGCCTAAATGTGTAAATAAAATTATTAAAAGAAATTTTTTTTACTTAAAATTTTTATTAATTAAACTTAAAATCTACATCTAACAATATATATAATTGGAAATGAAAATCTGAACTTTTAGTTCTTATCTATTATATTTTCTACTCCACAGCCATTTTTTTTAGATGTTTAACACACCCGCATCTTGGAAACTCACAGGGTGACAATTTTTTCACGAAATCTAAATATTATCGAATTTTGGAGAATTGGACGGCCCGTATACTTCGTTCAAGGAAAATAACGGGGGTCGGGGTGAAATTTTTAGTGCGATTTTGCAGGGATGTTGTTGGGGTGCGGCGTGTGGGGCTCGATAGCTGACAGTCAGGGGCGGAAGGTGGCGGTCATGCTGTCTCTGCTGATGGACTTCTTCGCGGCCGCGCTGTCATCAGCCGCCCAAAATTTCGACGTGTTTTTGGTTTGCCGGTTTTTCAATGGCTTCGGGTGAGCGATCAACAAATTCGCAACGGATCTTTTTATCCCACTTTTTTTTGACCGCCCGGTATATCGAGTCAATTTTTAGGATAATCGGGGCCACCAGTATAGTATTTCCGTACCTAGGGGAGTTTCTGTCTAACGGCGACAGGGACAGGTACCTAGGGAGGCTAGAGGTGTTTTGGAACTTCGGCATCATCATCCTGCCTGGTAAATTGTAAATTCTTCTGGTGACTCAACCAAAATTTGCAAAAAAAAATTGCCAGGCGAAATCATAAAATCCCTCCATTTTGCCAAAAAAAAGAGAGTTAGATCGAGGAATTTGAGTAGAATTTAAAGAGTAAATTTCTCTGAGAAAAAAAAAAGTTATTGAAATTTGGTGTTTTGTGTGTAACTCGATTGATAAAAATAGAATAGAATTACATTTTCTTGTCACTCCAACAAACTACTTTTTAAAAAGGGAAAATTTTTCCCAGGTGGAGATTTCAAATAGCTCCCATTTCAACGGATTTTTATTTAAAAAAAGACGTTTTCTCGTATCTCGAACTGGTATCTGAAAAATGAAATCCAAACTTTGGAATGCGATTTTAAATTTGGGATTTTATGTAAACCCATATCACAATCCGAAAAAAAAATCAAAAGTGACATTTTGTTTGAAATTTTACAACTCGATTGGGCTTTCAAAATAATGGACAATTAAAAAAGTAGTTATAAAAAATTGACATTTTTTTCCATGCCTCGAACTGCTACAAAGAAAATAACTTATGATTCCAAAAACTATTTTCCACTTAAAAAAAATTAAAAAAAAAATGGACCATTTCAACTCTTTTTACTCCAAAAACTATTTTTTTTATTGAACTTCAACGACCGTTAAAAAAAAAGGGAAAATGATAAAACTTTGGAATTTTACAACTCACGAACTATTATTTCAAAAATAATGCGATTTTGAGTTTTTATTACAACTTACTAAGAGAAAATCATTATTTTTTTTGCATTTTCTCATAACTCAACTAGGATTTTTAAAAATATGGAGTAAAAAAATGATTTTTCTCATAAATTCAACTACTGTTTTAAAATGAAGGCGAAGCTTTTTTAATTTGACAATGAGTCATACCAAAAAAGGAAAAATTTGAAATTTTATAACTCTGTTAAGGCTAAAAAAGGAACATTTTCTCATAACTCTATTACGATTTTCAAAATATAAACATTACAAGAAATTAACTCTTATGAATCCAAAAAATTTAAAAAAAGAAGAAAATTTATATAATTTTGGAATTATGCAACTTGATGAAAAAAAAGTTTATAATAAATTGACATTTTCTCGTAACTCATTTATTTCAAAAATCAGCGGACAATTTTCGAATTTGAGTTTAAATTTTGGGATTTCATAATATGACCGTTTCAAAAATTCTTCTGTATTACGATTTTCAAAATATAAAAATTACAAGAAATTAATAGAAAAAATTTTATAGAACTTTGAGATTATACAACTCGATAAAGAAAAAGGTTCTAATAAATTGACATTTTTCTGCCATACCTCAATTAAGATTTTAAAAAATAAAAGGAAACGATATTTTCTCGCTGCTTTAAAAAAAAAACGGAAAATTCTTCTACAGAAATTTTACCAGATTTTAATTTTAATAGATATTTCCCGATTAAAAAAAAAAGAAAACTAATTAAAAAAGCTGTCATTTTGTCTTCCTTACTGTTTAAAAATAGGTGTGTGTGTGTTCTTTGAGTTTCAAAATGTTATATCTCAAAATCATAAAAAAGAAATACTACTTCTCATAACCCAACTAGGATTTTTAAAAAAATGGTAAATTACTTGGACGTTTCTCCACTTTACTCTACCCTTCACCGGGTCAGGTGTGGCATGGTGCCTGCTGAGCAAGAACATGGTCGACCTCTACGCGCCGAGCGTCACCTTGAGCCCTTGGCGCATATTCGTGCTCGTTTGCAGTCTGCCGAGCCTAATCAGCTACGTGCTCATCTATTACCTACCAGAGACACCCAAGTACCTAATGGACCACGGGAAATACGAGAAAGCCAAAATGGTGTTCCAAAAAATGTACGCCTTCAACACGGGAAGACCGATGGAAACTTATCCGGTGAGTCTTGTACACCGTCGTCCTTGTCTTCTTCTTGTTGAACGACTGATATCTACCATTTTTCCTTTCAAATCGATGAAAGATACTTCTTTAAAGCCCTTTAAACTGTCAAAATGAAGGGTCATCGTTAACATGTGGGTGGTTTTCTGACGAAAAAAATGTTTTACTTTTCGGCAAAAAAAAACAGATCAGTAAACTTACCGTCTGATTCGTCGTCACATAAGAATTTCGTCTCCGGTCAGCCTATTGGGCAATTGTTGGTCTTTCTGCTGACGTAGTTTTGTGTGTTTTTTTTTTTTCAAGACCGAGCTGTTTGAAGACAGTTTTATCATCCTGTTGGCTTCTTCAGTTTCGGTTAAATTCCGAAGGAGCCAACGGGATGATTGGGGAAACAAAAATCGACGCAGGAGGAATCCAGTAGTTTGGTGAAAAGTACTCTTCTAACTCTTCAATTATCAGACGTACCCTTAGAGATCGCGTTTCCAGATCTTGACCTATTTGATTAGTTTAACACTTAACATACTGTAATTAGTTCTTCAAGAAATCACAACACACCAAGTGCTTTATTTAATAACGTGTCTGAAAATGGCCGAGGTCGCTACTCCATAGCGTATATCCTGGTCCATTCCCTTGCTGTCGCGACCGCGTCGCCCTCCCTAGTTTTCCACAGCGTTGCCACATCGTTGGCGAGCGGATCGTCCGGGTTCGGGCTGCCTAGCAGCGCCTGGATCGACAGCAAGACGGTTCTGATCTGTAGCGCCGGAGACCACTGAGCCTTGAGCAGGTCCAGGCAGATCCTGCCTAGGTTGTCGATGTTCGGGTGGTAGATTCTGGTCAAAAACCGCACCCCCGGCGGCGCGAGGGGGTAGTTTTCGGGTAGGAACAGCTCGAGCCTGAACAGGCCGCCCTCGTAAGGCGATCCAGCCGGTCCCGCCATCACCACGTGGAAATACCGGCAGTTGTTTTCGTCGGGGATGGCGCTTATACCCGGGGGCGGGTCCCTCGATAAGTTCCGCGTCTCCACTAATATCCGTCTCGTTAAACCGTGCGTCATGTCACGTCTGTCGTGCTGACGTTTCGCATCATTGCAGGTGCGCCGTCTCGAAGGGGAGGCTATCCACCAGACCACCTGCAAGATGCGGAAAAAACCGGCAGGGTATTCCCTGTGGCGAAGCGTCGGCAACGTCGCGGAGCGGGTCAGAGCGCTGGCCAGTCAGCAGTACCTCAAGTACCTCGCGATCACGTGTTTCGCGGACTTCGGACTGATGGCGAGGTGAGTGGGTGGGGTCTGGGGGCCCGCCGCTGTGTTTCAATTTTTTTTTGTCAAAAATCGAGGTTTTTTCTATTTTTCTTTTATCTCTACGAAAATTGTTCGGGCACTTTTTTTCTCACGACTCACCATCGGACGTTCAATGTAAATAAAAATAAGAAAGAGACATTTTGGTCATAACGGTTATACTAATATGAAAAATATTATTGATTGATTGATTCTATTGATATCATCACTTTTTCTGCCTGTCAGCATTTGTATCGTGTGTATTATCAAGTTCAAGCGTGGCTAGGCAATGAGCTGAACCCAGAAGAATGGGATTGGAGCCAATCCAAGTTCTACTCCCCCTTGCTCCAGAAAACCTGATCAATTCTATTTTCTGTGATTGCAAGACGGGTTCTAGTAAGAATTGTGGCTGTCACAAAATGGTACAACAGAAGAAATTATTTATGATTCTAATGAAGAGACAATTGATGCATCCATCCCTTTTCACAGAACAGCTAACAGGGATTCTGCAAGATCAAGAAAATGAAGATGAGGAAATAATTGTTCAAGTAGAAGTAGACAATTATCTATTGTAACAACATTTAGAAGAAATCCTATTTCGCTTTGAAAGTTATCAATATTATCAAATTTTCTTCATTACATTAGATCGTGACGTATATATAACTACCAAATATGCATATAACTGCAAATGCAGAAACTCATGAAGCAAATATGTAATTTTTTTTTGAGAAAGTCCGATAGACAGTAATTTTCAAGGGGTGTTTCTTATGCTTGTTATAATAAAAATTCAAATTGTAGCTTAATTGCATTTTTATATTTCCGGCGATTATGCAAGTTTGTGAGTGCGGTGCGGGGCGATATTGATACCAAAAATAATTAATCAATCAATGAGATAAACGTACGACGCCCTAAAGGGAATTGATCTGAATAAATAAGAACTAAAAGTTCAGATTTTCACGAAATTATACACCGTGTCTTTGAACTGAACTTGTAGTTCTTATTTATTTTGATAAATGGATTTTCATCAAATAAAAGCCACCTCAGTTCAATTTTCGAATTGATCTGACTTTTTTTTTATTAATGTATCCGAAAGATTTTTTTTGCGGGTTTGTAGCGGCTTCAAATACGATTTGCTTCGTTTTAATTTTTTTTTTGCGAATAAAATTTTTGACCCAGTCGGGGTTTGAACCTGGAGCGAACGGGTGGATTTTCGTCGCCGTGATGGCAGAGCCAATGGCGATCACGCGTATACCCATATAACCACTAAGTATGCATATAAAAGTACGAGGGGAATTGAACTGAATTTTTTTTAATTCATATTTCCGGAACAGGTTTGAGAGAAATGTTGGACCGCCGGATTCTTTCATTTTTATGGCACTCTTCCGACATTTCCCTGCCTCCCCACAAAAAAAAACCGCTGGCGCCTCTGTTCAAGGGCGTCCATCTAGAAATAAAAAAAATTCCACATTGCAACTCCGGCCAACCAAATATTTTACCAGGTAAGCGTCCTCAAACACGCCGTTGACAAATATTTAATTCTTTTTTATTTCGCGAAAAGGCGTTCAAATAAATTAAATTACTCAAACATGTTATTTCGATTGCGTGATTTTTTTTTTGGTTTGCCATTCGAAAGAGCGACCGACTTTAGCTTTCACTACGACTTGGGTCTACACTTCTTTAAATGCCAACGACACGAGCAAATAGACCGCCCACCCGATTTACCTCTGCGGTCGAGGCGACGTCACATCACCCGAATATCCCGGGTTCGAACCCCAGCGGGGTCAAAAATTTTATCCGCGAAAAATGACGTAAATCGGACGGTATACATTTCCCAAAGATATGCCGTTTTTACGACATCATCCGGCAATTTTATGAAGGTCTAACCTCAAGTCTACCTCTTTGTAACCCTCAAACTTCGGTACTTCGTGCTGAAATCTGTTTCATCGGTGAGGTTCCTCGATTATTATTGGTCCATGCAGGGAAAAAAACATTCTAACTTTAAAATGTCTATTATAAATATAAATGAAAGAGTAAACTTAGCTATAAAACGATGTTAGAATATTTATAAAAAAAAAGCTATTCTACATCAAAATAATCACTATCGTCGCTGGACTCGTCCCCCACCTTAATAATTAATTCTGGTACTAGTCGACTCGGATTTTTCATTGGTAGAAGAATTGATTACATTCTGCACAGCTTTCGACTGGATGTCGATTTTATCGACCAAAAATGCTCTAAAATGTAATGACTCTAAAATGCGAAAGGGAAACACTCCATCACGAAACCAGAAAAAACACAGCAGACATATGAATACATACATCAATTGGCCATTAATTAACCTCTTACAACAGACTCCTTGCAACAAATATAGAACCACTTGTTTGCCATTAGTAAATTCTGTAGATTAAGATAATAAAACAAAAAAATATTTACGTAAACCATGCAAGGTTGTAAGAACGTGATATTGTTGGGAGAACTCTGATCTAATGTACCGGAACGATCGGTATCCTTTTGACACCTTCCAGCTACTACACCCTCGTACTGTGGTTCCCCGAGATTTTCGAACGGTTCAACTTGTACGAAACGAGGCACCCGGACAAAACCGCGGGCATTTGCGCGGTCTCCCAGATCCGCCCCACTCGCCCCTCGCGACCCGGCCAGTGCAATTTCACCATCGGCAACACCGTATTCCTCGAAACGTTGGTGATCGCTCTGAGCTGCCTGCCGACGTCCGCGTCGCTCAGCTGTTTCATGCACAAGTTCGGCAAGAAATTCGTGTTGGGTGAGCTCCGCCTTATCCGCCCCCGCCCCCGCCGCCATGTGTGTTTTTTTTTCAGTGTTCGGGTTGATTTTGTCAGGGCTGTCTGCCCTGGCACTGGACCTGGTGCAGAACTCGACGCAGACCCTCCTCGTGTCCAGCGTGTTCGAATCTTTGACGAGCGTACTCGAGGCGGTCCTTTTGTGCGTCGTCGTCGACCTGTTTCCGACCAATCTGAGGTAATTTTCACCGTAATATACCGTTTAATCATAAATACGACGCGAATCCGACGTCTATTGTTCGTCAGAATAACGTCTTACGTATTGCGCGACGTAACCTACGATACCGTACGTCGATTGTCCGTCGAAAGCACGTTACTTGGTTATTAGTAATGACAAAACTTCTCCCCTTTCGTAGAATTGGTTCCTTGGTCAATTTTCCGTCCTAACCTCGTTCTATTTTCACGTGGTTAATGAATCCAGTTCCGAGGTTTATGCGAAAAATTTTACCTTCGTTGAGAAGCGTTTTTATAACGTCAAATTTAGGTCACAAAGTTACCTAGAGGTCGTAAGAGTCACCTTGGCATCCGCGGCTCATACTTCGCGCCACAACGATACGACAAAGTCTTAATCCCATGCAACGTCGCAACAACGTCCAGGGAACGTCAAAAAAACGTCCCAGGTTAAAAATATCACTTTTTAATGATGAAATCGCTTGTAAGGTTGTAGTAGACTTTTTCGAAAGGTCTTAGCTCGAGTGATGAAACGATGGTACGTCTCAAATTGGTTAGTTAGTTAGTATAAGCATTTTTCCCTCGCTGTTTCGACAAAATCGAATCGAACTTTTGTTAGGGTTGGTTTCTTTGTTTTTTTTTTGTCTAGGGCGTTAGCTTTATCGTTAACGGTGACCTGCGGCAGACTGGGCGCGATATTCGGCAACGTCACGTTCGGGTTGCTTCTGGACCTGAACTGCGTCGTGCCGATCTACTTGTTCGGGATTTTCCTGATAGGCAGCGGCGTGCTGTGCCTCGCCATACCCAGAAGTGACGGTTACGCGCCGATGTGACGACCGCGCGCCTATCGACCTTGACTGTGTGCGTGTGTTCGTGCGTTCCTATTCTAAGACGTTGTAAATAATTTGTATTTTCACGCGAACGGTATTTATTTTTTAGTTTAATTATATTGACGAGTTGACGCAGCGTATTTTGTTTTTCTTCTATATATATATATATATATATATATATATATATATATATATATATATATATATATATATATATATATATATATATATATATATATATATATATATATATATATATAATATTCTCACGTATTGATTCACGGATGGAAAAATGTGATGACACTATATTCCGGGATATCATCCGTTCGCTCATTGAACTCCGACTGGAATCCTGCAGACGTTTCGCCAAAATCTCACTTGGCATCTTCAATGCTCGCGCTCCGAAAACACTTCGAACACTCCAGTCGGATGCAGTATTTGCAGGATTCAATGAGCGAACGGATGATATCCCGGAATATAGTGTCATCATATATATATATATATATATATATATATATATATATATATATATATATATATATATATATATATATATATCCCGGAATATAGTGTCATCATATATATATATATATATATATATATATATATATATATATATATATATATATATATATATATATATATATATTCGGATTTCTTAAAAACCGATCGGGGATAATCGACAAGCTCCGGTTGCGTACTTACGGCTGTCAAAACGAATGAAAATATATCGAAACTAACGAATTTTTTAATCGGAAACGCTTAATCTCAGAGTACGCAGAGTTTTCACAATACGGTCCTTCGAGCCGGATTCTCCTATTGCAGGGCCTGCATGTCCGTCTTCGGGAAGAACATCGACAAGCAGGCGGCACCTGAAAACCTCCGCGATTAGAACCCTTCCCCTCCCCCGCCCCGTCCCGCGATATTTACTCAGCAAAAGACCGCCGACCGCTAAAAATGGCGGCAGGCAGCCGCTCTGTATGAGAAACGGGAATATGAAACTGCCGCTCATAGCGCCCGCCCGGCCTGACATGGCGCCTATCGATATGGCGAGGGTCCTGCGCGTAAACAAATATTTTAAAAAGCAACGGCGTAACCTCAACGAAGGTCTTAACCTCAAGGTCGTGGGAAACAGGTCCACCGTCACCGAAATGACGACGTTGGCCGAGAGCGCCCCCATGGCGTTGAAAACCGCCGAAAAGGCCAGCGCCATGTCCGAGTTCTGCGCGAAATACATCGAAATGGCCGCCGCCCCTGAAATCGTCGCCGCCGCCACTGAAACACATCATTAGTGTTGACGTCGTAATTTGAAGTTAGGTTAACCGCGGTATCTAAACATCCGAAACGGTTCATTACTGTCTTTTAGGGATGCTTTTCCTTATACTTTAATGATAGGATATGTAGTATACATCAACCAAAAATATAGTGCTTTTAGACCCGACCAGTGATTAACTTTGCCTACTGTTTATTATTCCAAAACTGCAGCCCCTTTTAAAACACCCTACCGGGTAGACCCTTACCCGTAACCATTCCAGGACCGTCCTAGGAATTTATCTACCTATATTAACAGGCGAGATATAAGTATGTTTTCAATGAACATGTACATAAAAAAATGAATACAAAGTAACAATTGTTGTTGTTTTTATTGCTGCTCCTACTTCCCCTTCTGGATTTCTTATAAAAATGTAAGCATTCAAATCAATTTGTTTAGCATCCGAAGACAAAAGTGTTAAAAAATAGGAACCTTCAAAAAATATTTAATTGTAAGATTTTAATAAATATTTTTTTGTGTTCTTGTGACACGAATATAGCACATAACTTTGCGGTCTCTTGTTCTAGAAGAACGCGGTTTTTTCATTCGTGCTCCTACGGACCACTGTGTGAAATATGAAATTGAAATATCTCGCACGCCCTGTATATTTGCCAAGAGCTGTAAATCAGAAGATTTTTTACGTTTTTCATGTACAGCCAATAATTTACCCGCAAAACTGGCAGGTTAGAGCGAGAGAGAGAGTTTCTTTTAAGCTTCTTTAGATTTTTTGCCCAAAAACAAAAAAAATATTCGAAATAGAGGTTATAGCCTTGAATCTCCCACGAATTTTTCCAATAGACCAAACGGTTTTCGAGCAAATAATTCTTTTCTGGAACTATGAAGTAATGAATGTATGTAATGTAATGTAGCTATCGATGTGGCCTCTAACGCTGTTTAAACCAATTAAGCATGTTTTTTATGAATTTTTTGATTTAACGGAAAATAATTTACTCTAGAAAAGAACCATTTTCAGAATCTTTTGGATTATCGTCTATAATTGTCTGTACATAATCGAATCGGTTCAAGAATTTTGCCTAAGGGGTTAATAGTTTTCAGGAAAATATTTTTCTTTGGGATACAAAGTAACCAAAAAAATTTTTTCCAAAATGTTTAAAAAATACTTCGCGATATTTGATGGCGCCCAGTTTAAGTGTAAGTGGGAACTTACTCTCGATAGCTTCAAATTTAAGACATTCGCCACATATCTTAATATTGCACGGATTAAATTGTACACCCTGTACAATAGGGGAAAGCCTTGAATATAAAAATTTCAGCTGTCCATACAACTGACAACTGAGGCACAGCCTTCTAGTCATCGTCAATTACCATTGTTAGAGCCAGTAAATATTTATAGGGAACAATCTTGTGGTATTTTTTAGAATAAGGGGAATTTCAGTCAAAGGTGCACGTGTTTTTTCTCGATCCTATTCAAAAGTCGAAGTTTACGATTTTACTGATGGTAACGATCGGCCTGGCGAACACTTGTCTATTAATTTATGACCGAAGACAAGGGTTACTCTTAGTGCATGGTTTAAGTGGCTTTTGAAGTAGGTATTGAGTTAAATAGATGTGTTTTACTTTTTGGAAAACTGAATTTTAGGACTTCAGTATCGTTAAAGATTCGGCAGGCATCGAAGCATTCGAAGCTTGTTGAATTTATAACTTATCACTAATTATCTATCTTTGTTATATACATACTTTTTTATGTTACTTGTTTTTTTTACTAATTTGGTGAGTTTACTAAATTAAAGGATTGTGCGTAAAAATACTGCCTTTTATTTCAACGAATCGACGTGTTGCTGAAACGGGTAGTTTTGGTGACCCGACAACCGTTTTTAGGGGACCTCGATTTTATTTTTTTTTTTTTGCCAATACCGGGTTATAGTGGATTTAAACGCTCGTCGCTAGCGCCATCTAGGATCCGGTAGTCGAAGTATTAGGTTAAAATGTCAAATACTGACCGAGAACGTTCCTCTTTCCGACGATACGCATCAGAAAGACGGTAATGCCGTATCCCACGATCGACGTGCAGCCTACTATCATCGAGTTGATGTAGACCCTCTGGTTGTCGGTGTTCTAGGAAATACGTCATCGTCATCATCATCGAAGTCAAAGAAATTCGCGGATATTTACGACTACGCATGACTCCACAGTCCGATTGATCGGCACTATCGATTCCATCATGGTGCAGAGGTCCGCGGACTCCTGCAACTTCTCGTAGTCGGTCATGGCTTGGAATATTTGCGGCAGCCACAGTCTGAGCATGTTGACGCTGTAAACCATAGATAATAGAACAAATTTGTTGTAGTTTGCAGTCTCAAAATATCGTTTTTGCTTACTAGCCTTCTGATTCCGTGCAAATTTTACCCCCTATACCTCGTTACCCCCTTGCACAAGGTTGTAACGTCTTTAAATATCAATTAGCATAGCAGATGGTTGTTAGAGAAGCAGCAGATTGATGATAGTCAGCAACATGTTAGGGCTGAGACATATTCATGTCTTTTTTTGTTAGATCTTTAAAAGGACTCTAGAACAAAGTTAGGGATTTTTTAGACCGTGGGTTAGGAACGAGTAGTTTGTTTCCGTGGCCTGCCAGATTTCCAGACCTTACCGTCCTGGACTTTTAACGTTTAGGTAGCATAGAAAATAGGGTTGATTAAGAACCTGCAGAGAAAGTGAAGGACCTTTCACCTTTGCTTTTCCTCATTTCACTGTTTAATCACTTAAAGAAATTATTATCTTCCCATTAAATTATTCGTGCACATCTAAATAGGTTATGTCCAATTGAACCTAATGTATATAAAGTCGGGCATTTTTCGAAAATTAAGATTCTAATGTAATCAATCGTCTTGCCTCTATTTGACACTCGGATTGAACGAAGTCCAGGTGAGGCCAAAAAAAAGTAGTATGTTTTTCACCATCACCTGTCCCCCGGGAGAGATTTACAGATTCCCAACCAAACCAAAAAAAAAAATGGTGTCGCATAACTTTTCAGACGATTCTCGACCCTAAATCGGTATTTGGTTCGGTCCTGTTGTAGTAAGTAAAAAAAGGGCGCCTTTTCAATTAACCTCTTTCATGGCATAACGCGTTTGTTTGTTTTAATTTTGCAAAAAAAAAAGACAAAAACACGAGTTGTATTTAACTCTAATCCGCCGTGTTCTGAATAAAACTGCCTGCTCACCTGGACGCGATACACAGGGTGACAACGCAGACCAGCATCATCCTAAACAGGTGCGGCGGAAAGAACAAAGGCCTGATCTGCTGGAAGCCTTCTTTCAAGGCTTGCGCCTTCGTCCGGTGGGCGGTCACCTTGCCGCCATGTTGCGCGTTCTCGTTCAACTTGGTCTCGTCGACAAGTCTCTTTACCTTGTAGAAAAAAAATTATGAATTGAGTTTTTTAAAAATAATTTGCACAACACATTCACGACATCAGTGGAAGCGTTTGCGATTTACCCCGTATGATTTATACAAGCCTAACCAACAGCGTTAAATTACTAGTTACTAACAATTTTGTGTGTGCTAATGCTAATTTTAGCATTAAGTTTTCCTATCGTACCCACGCAATGACAATATGGCTTCGTCACATGCGTAAACCATCTCATTTGTTTTAACGTGGGGTTTTTTGAAATTCAAAATAATTTTTTTACGAAAACCGCTGGAAATAGTTAGAGGTAAATATCAACGAATATTACTGAAATTTTTTTCTTGGTTCCGACAAATAATCTGCTTCGAAAAATAACAATTTTCATTTGCCGACAAAATGGCGGTTGACGTCGGATCGCACCCCAAATTTTCAAGGTCACTGCGCGTCGCCTAGCGTTACATTGTGGCAAAATTTGAACCGGGTCTGACTGTTCTGAACTTGTACCGGTTCAAAAAAATCCCGGAGGTCCGTAACAGAGAACAGACGGTGATCATGAACCGGTACCGTTGTCTGAAGTTTAATGACTAGTGGGATAGAAACAAAGTAATAAGGACCTTCTGTCCAATGACACTAATTCAGGTATGTACGCCACTGCTTACCGGGAATGTATCGGCGGGCAGCCCCGTGTTCACCCGGTATACCGTCTCGAACACCTTCAGCGCTTTCTCGTTCTCCCCGCACATCATCAGGAACTTGGGACTTTCGGGTAGGAACGCAAAAATGGCGGCGTTCAGCAGCGCGGGAACGGCCGTGACGAATAGAAATACGTTCCAAGAATGGAAATCTGCAAAAGACTTTCACGAGGTTATGTGGAGAGGGACTACTCTGTCTATTAGGTGCGTTTCTAACCCTGATCGCTTTTGGGCGAATGTCCAAGAACGATTTGGCCTTAAAGCCGAAAAGAAGAATCACAAGCGTCAGCAACGTTTACTTTTGGGTTATGTGTTATCCCCGATTTTGGCCGAATGTCCAAGAACACCTTGACCTTAAAGCTTAGAAGAACGGCTGATTCTTGTTTAGGTCACACTCACCCAAGCCGATGACCGAAAAGTCCAGATCCTGGGGCAGCAACGCCCACGCTATGAGCGGCAGCAACACGGTGCCGAAGCTGTTGCAGCAGCCTATGAGCAGCTGGAAAGCGGGCCTGTACCTGGCGCAGTGGAATTCGGATATGTAGGAGCTCAGGGCGGAGAACGGGCCGATCACTCTGGAATTTCCGGTAGGTATTTCCGGACCCCGGACCTGGCGGGGATACTCACATGAATCCCTGGAAGAATTTGGCCGCTAGGATCAGCATCAAATCTTGCGCGAACGCGCTGACTAGGACGAAGAGGCCGTCCGCCAAGAAGCCGACGAAGATGAGGCGTTTCCTGCCGAGTACGTCGAACAGGAACCCCCAGATGGCGGCACTCGACACCATTCCTGGCCGTTAACATTAATTGAAACGCTCCGAACGGGCACAAATAGCATTTAAATTTGTGAGTGAGTGAGTTTGCGTATTCAGGTATAATGAATAAAAAATGTACAGGTTGTTTGTAAGCAGTTATAGAATGTTATAGAATGATGGCGCAGTTACGCTGTTTTGTTTTGTTGTTTGTAGGTAGTCATATAATAATGAAAAACCATTTTCTGAGTTTAAAAGGTCCATGGATCAATGCCTTGCTTAGTTTTGATTAGTTTGTTATTTAACAAAAATGTATAGGTTGTAACTAGTTATAGAATACAATAGAATAGTAGTGCAGTTAGGCTGTTTTAAAAAACTTCTAGTGGCTCCAGCTCCAGGGATCAATGTCTTGGTTAGTTTTGGTCCGTTAGGTGTTGTTTTTTAGTTGTTACAGAATATAATATATTAATGGCGTAGTAACGCTATTTTATAAAGCTAGTATCTCATTTGTTGTTTACATAGTAGTTATACAATAATGAATAATCATTTTCTCAGTTAAAAAGGTCTAGGGACCAATACATTGATTAGTTTTTGTTAGTTTGTTACTTGTTATTTTACAAAATTTTATAAGTTTTTAAGAAGTTATAGAATATTATAGAATAATGGCGCGGTAAGGCTGTTTTCCAAAAACTTCTAATCGGTCATTGGTTGTTGGTAAGTAGTTAGAGAATAATGAATAATCATTTTCTCAATTAACAAGGTTCGTTTTGGTTGGTTGTTACAGAATATAATATATTAGTAGCGCAGTTGCGTTATTTTACAAAAATATATAGGTTGTTTGTAAGTAGTTATGAAATGTTATAAAATAATATAGAAAAGACTTCTAGTCTCTCAGTGGTTGTTTATAGGTAGTTCTAGAATAATAAATCTCTCATCTTCTCAGTTAAAAGGGTCTGATTATGCCTTGGTTAGTTTGTTAGTTGTTTAATAGTTGAATAAGGAATATATTGTAATAAAGGCGCAGTAACGCAATTTTACAACACTGTAGAGGTTGTAAGTAGTTACAGAATGCTATAGAATAATGGTGCCAAAAACTTCTAGTTTCTTATTGGCATAGAGTAATGAATAATCATTTTCTCAGTTAAAATGGCCCGGGGATCAATGCCTTAGTTAGTTTTGCCTAATTTGTTAGTTGTTGTTTAATAGTTAATGGCGCAGTCATGCTGTTTTGCAAAAATTTATAGTTTGTTTGTAGTTAGGCTGTTTTCCAAAACTTATAGTCTCTCATTGGTTGTTTAGTTTATCCCCTACTGTTTACCGGCGTAGGTGACTGCATTCAGCAGCCCTTTGTCGTTGAGATCGAGGTCGAGATCGCACTGCGCAGCCACCGAAGTGTACGACATGGAGGTAGTGTCGAACACGATACAGAAACTGGCGGGTACGCACACGAAGGCCAGCAACCAGTTGAACTTGCCGAATCGGGTGGCCGAGATGGCTTCCTCGAAAGTGGCCGGCTCGTTTTCTGAAACTTCAGTTTATTTCGACCAAAAACCAATAAAAAACGGAGCTCCAGGATCCGTAGTACGATAGCAACCGCCAGCGCCGCAGTGAGCGACACAAAGAAATTAATTTTCTGGCGCTGGGAGGCGGGAAATTTGAACGACGAGAAAAAATACCAATAAAAATCAACATAACATTAGAAACAAAAGCAATATCCAATAATAATATATGAAATTATTGTGAAAATTTTAGGTTCTCGTTGGTTACTTTTGGTTAGTTAGTTATTTAGTAGGTATAGATTATTATCATTAATATTATTATTATTAAGCTATTTTCAAAAACTTTTAGACTCGCATTGGTTGTTTATAAGTAGTTGTAGAGTAATGGTACTGCAGTGAAACTGTTTCCAAAAAATTTCTCCATTCTCATAGTTTCTTTGTAAATGATTCTAGAATATCATAAAATAATGGGGCAGTTTTACTTTTCTCCAAAAAATTCTAAATCATTATTAGTTATTGGTTCTAGAATGTGATAGATAGATAGTGTGATAGTTAAGTTGTTTTCCAAAAAATTATTTGTTCTCATATTCGTAGTTATAGAGTATTATAAATTGATGGTGCAGTTAGGCTATTTTCCAAAAATGAATAGGTTATTACGATTATTATAGAATAATAGTACAGTTTTCTAAATACTTCTAGGCTCTCATCGGTTATTTATAACTAGGTACAAACTAATGTAATGTTTTTTAAAAGCCTCTCGGTTCTTATTTGTCGTTTCATAACAGGTTATAAATTAATGGTAAGTATTGGCAGTTTCTAAGTATTTATTTAATAACTGTGTTGTTAAGGCGTTTTTCAAAAAAAATCTCATTGGTTTAAAAGTAGTTGTAGACTAGTATAGTTCAGTTAGTTTGTTACAGAATATTATATAATAATGGTGCAGTTAGGCTGTTTTCCTAAAACTAAAAGTCTGTTACTGGTTGTTTATAAGTAGTTATAAACTAATATAGAATATTGGTTTTGAAATTTTATAAAACCTTCTAGGTTCTCATTTGTTGTTTATAAGTAGTTATAGAATAACGGAGCAGTAAAGCTATAAAGCTGCTATAGAATATTATACAATAATGGTGCAGTCGAGTTGTTTTCCCAAAACTTCTAGAATCTTTATGAATAATTGTAGAATAATGGTGCTGCTGGGTTATTTTCCAAAAATGTATATGTTCTCATTGGTTGTTTATAAATAGTTATGGACTATTTTAGTACTGTTAAGCTGTTTTGTTGGAAAAACATCAGCACGTTTGTAGAAAAAAATGAAAAGGAAACAACTTTTTTTTGTAAATCTGTAGATATATTCAAAAATGACCTGATTTTTGTTTTGTAAAAGTGTCAATATCAATATCAGGATCGCAATTTGAATGCAGTTTTAGCTGTTTGATTTAGCTATATGATAACCTGACTTTCCGAAATACCGAAACGGTATACAGGTCCTAACCCATAAGTTTTCTCTATAAATCCGGAAACTGGTTAGTTAATCTGGACGTTGCCTTATCAGATGGTATAAATTGGAGTCTCTCCTTATCTCGATTAGGTATAGCTGGCCAATAGACAGTAATCTTAAAAGAGGCGTTTTTTACAATATCTTCCCTTTTATTTCCAAATAATAACATCTGCGTTTTGTTAGTATTCAATAAGAAGTTGTGAGCCGCAGATACCTCCGCAACTATTTTTAGATCCAAATTTATTTTAGTACCGGCATTTAAAGCTTCACTAGCAACAAAACTGAGTATCTTGATGAGATTTACAAAATTTTGGAACAGTCGAGAATTCAGCTGTGTGGACTGAGAACAAGATAGGTGCCAGAATACTACCCTGGGGAACACCCCTCTCAAGAGTTTAATTTTGAATCCGCTGCTCTCAATAAATCGTCAGTAACATGAAGCAAGGCACAAATGGTGCTGTGAAGAGGTCGATGACCAGATTGAGTGTCTGGGATTATTTTATGATCGCATTGGAATTGACGAAGATATTTAGGTGCAATTTTTTCAATAATCTTTGAGACGGTTGGCATCAAACTTATTGGCCTAAAATCATTAATGCCACTTCTTTCTTTGGAACTTTAGCTTGCTTCCACCCCGGTCAGGAAAAAGAAAATGATATGGTCGACTAAATATGGAGTAGTCAAAAGAATCATTTTCATGTCAATATTGTCTGAGCCATGAAGTTTTATTAACTTCCTCATAGTTCTTTGCGATAACCTTTCGCGACCTTGGAGATTCCTATTACGTCGAACGTCACAGATCGAAGTTTCGCGTTGGGGTTAGGATTTCGCGCGGGTTTTTCGACAACTTACGCGCGTAGTACTCACCTTTTGCGCACTGGCGCTGCAACGAGCTGCTCGTGCTCAGCTTCCGGCTGTCCACTATACCCACTTCGCTCATCTTGCGTAGATTTTTTTAAGAGAACTTCGAGACTATAGCTTCTCCATAGCACTGTCGACGTTATATTCGGGCGGCTGGTGCGTCGCGTATATTTGTCTTAGATTTAGGAGGTGCGGGCCTCGAAAAAACAATGCTCTCCGCGACTCTATTTAAATATTGAAAAAGGCAGGACCGTAACGCGGGATTTGCTGGGAAGGGCAACAAAAATCACCGCGTGTTTGCGAGAGAGTTTTATTTTTTTATTTTCCGAACAATTTTTCAGTTAACGTCACTGCGGCGCCCGCGTATCGGGAAAAATAGCGATAGGCACGCGGAAGCTGAAAAAAAAAACGTCGAAAGTACGTTATACTGAAGAAAAAGATTTCAAAATTCTTTTATACAATGTGTTGTTTAATTCAAAGTCAATAATTAATCAACTATTAATTATGCACAGCCTGTTGCCATTTTGTAATGGTCGCCATAGTTTTTTCTCTTCAAATTGAACGAGCTGTATATTATTATATGATGTGACGTACATTTTTTTGCTTGATTTGGAGCCTTTAGATTTTCCACTTGGTGGCTAGTGTACTCTTTCCTGACAGGTACAAAATAGAGATTAACTATTGACATTTTTTTATCGTTTTCCATGGATTATTAAAAAATGAAAATAACGATCTCATCAAATTTTGTACACTCCCAATTGTTAACTTTAACTTCTTTTATGCTTCCGTGTATGGCATATATACGTTAATCGGCCATTAAGCACAATGAAAGGGGATTGTGTTGCAGAAAACCCAAGGACCTCAAATCGGGTGATCTAAGTGGTCGATTCTGGAGTCTTCCAAATCGGAAAGATGTCGAACTTTGTCAAAGTCGACGAACTTTGTGTTCTGACCAATTTTAATTTTATTTTATTTCAAAATTTTAAGCAATGTACTATGAAATTTTCCCTATGATTTGACTAGATGCTGTCAGATACTTATGAGATACCGCGTATAAAACATTATATTTTCATTCCACGCGGCGCATTCCATGACCAAGCAACTTTCATAAAATGAATCCTATTATGGAGATACAAAATATATTATACAGGATGTCCGAAGATGAATATAAAAGTTCGTACATTATTCAGCCAAACAAAAAAAGTTTAAGAACCTTGTCAAATTTGCTCAATAGAAAAGAAGTTATTACGGAAAATTTATAAAAAAAAAAAATACACTCACATTTGTCGTCCTAACCTCAAAGTGGTGGGGAACAGGTCCCCCGTCACGGACACTATAACGTTGGTAGCTAGCGCCCCCAAAGCGTTGAACGCCGATGAAAACACCAGCTCCATCTCTGAACTCTGCACGAAGTACAAGCCGATCCGGGGATTAGTTCCGCGACTACTCCAATAGATGGCGTTGATCGGATAATCCCCGTAATATCCGACAAGTTAGCAGTTTGAACCTGAACTATTTTTTAAAGAATTTAATTGAATGTGATTTCACTGAACCGGGTATACTATTAAAAATTACAACGGCGCTGTTTCGAATTTTTTGCTATTTATATTTATTAATGCTATAAAGACATGGATAATAGAGGACCAAACCATAGTTCATAATCGAAAGGGCAAGTGACTGAGCTAAAAGTTTCCGTGGACTGAAATTAAGGACAGTTCTATGCCTGTATAAATGGCGCAAAACCAAATAGGACTTTTCCACCAACACCACGAATCTAAGTCTACAATCAAATATAACACCGTTAATTAATAAATACGTTTTGGATGAAAAATTGACGATTTAACTTGAGTACAAGATACACATTTTTAGAAACAAAGAATCCAAATCATCATTGTAGCACAAGCGAGGCCTGAGTGCAGAATATTATGGAACACTTATAAGGCTCTATGTTTGAGAGGAGTTTTCACAGTCCATATTTACGATGGCGTCCAAGTCCTGGTGATTATAATCCTGGACCTTCAGTTGGTAAGCCAATTACATCAACAACTTCGGCTGAGTTTTTCATACAACGCCCATGCATTTGCAAAGACATTGATAGCCGTGACCTGGGGTATAAAAGTCTATCCGAAATAACACCCAAGTCTGCGAGTACAATTTTAATAGGCATTGCGTTGGACATTGAGACGACTTGTTTCACCAAAGCGCAAGCCTGTCAACATCTGATTGAAGCTGGATTCAGTCATCAATACCCTTCACTCTTATGAAGCGTCATCAGCGCTGTGTCAAAAGAACATGGATATTATTCATTTAGATATCACTAAAATACAACCACAATGAAGACTAATAACGTTTAAGGCCACTGTTAACGGGAGGAAAAGACAATAAATATTATGACATTGACAGGATTAAAGAATAATCCCGCAACAAATCAAAATCATCATATCGGGCCATGGTAAACAGTTGACAGGATCAAGGTACCAATCCAAAAAATCAAAAACCAAAGAAACAAAAACCACCAAACCAAAGAAGTGCTCAAAATGACTAGAACCCGTAAAATTGCCAGACCATAAAGAGTTGTCATTGATCAGGGCATAGATCACGATACCTCTACATTCACTTTCCTTTGGTCGAGATCGGGAGGCAAGGGTGTGTATAGATATTACTCAAACTTTGTACATCTTGTACATAAACCTTTTTCAGAGGATTCCGATGAAACACCCGTTTGTATCCCTCATTTTTAGAGGTTGAAATTTTCGGAGAGTCATGTAAGTTTTTTTAACAAACCATTGTTCTTCCGACACAATGCTAAGGAATGTTTTCTCGTTGTAGAATCCCGATGAAGCTTGTATACTCAGGCGAAAACTAGATTATTAATTAAAAAGGCTGAAATAGAACTGAGGTGGTTTTTACTTGATGAAAATCCAGTTAACAAAATAGATTTTCACGAAATTATATATTTTCACATGACAATTGTTTCGACAACGCCATGTCTTTATCAAATGTACCACTTACAAACTACCTGCTACTATATATACCGAAAAATGACAATAAAATATTAATTAATGTTGTGAGGATTGAGAAAGTGCAATGAAGCAGAGCTATTTAAATCTAATTCATCATTAAGCAATACATCTGAATGTCTCAGTTAATCTCCATCGCTTCCAATAAATTTAATTTTCTACTTTTTGTGGCTGTATGTAAATTATCAAAATTGTAGTAAAAATGTGTAAATATACACTATTGCTTTTAAACGCCCTTTTATGTTCGTTAATGCGTGTCTTGAAGGATCTACCTGTTTTTCCAATATAAATTTTAGGACAAAATCCGCAATTCAACCTGTAGACACCTGATTTTTGAGATTTTGGACATTTCGTTTTATTGGTTTTTTAAAAATTTTCCTATTATGTTGTTAGTTCTGAAAGCTATTTTTAAACCACATTTTCACAAACGTTTTGAAACTTTTCCACTGGGTTCTCCTATGTGTGTAATTGTTTTAAATCGTTCGTGTTCTGCATTAGGATTCGGATAAATAGAGTTTGCTGTTGTCTGGATTTGTTTTTATTTATAATTTTATCTATAATGGAGGGATTGTAGCTGTTGTTCAGTGCAATTTTTGATGACAATTTTGGTAATTTACATACGGCCACAAATAGTACAAAATTAAATTTATTGAAAGCCATGGAGATTAACAAAACGAGAAATACCTCTCCTTTATTGAACTTAAATCCTCGCAACAACATTAATTTTGAGGGGGACACAAATATGTGGCTTCACATAAGAGGGGTAGATATTTTTGGACATCAGACACTCTTTCTGACTTCCGCCACATACGCCTCGGCATTGATGTCAAGTGTCTCATATATTTCGCTGAATATAACAAACATGTTCATAAAAAATTAAATTTCTGGTGGCCGCATCGTGACTTGCAAGGGGCTCACTTTTTGCTGATCTGCATATTTTTTAAAAAGATGTAAACTTTTTCTTCATGAAAAAACTACATAACAGTAATAATTATTACTGCACTGAAGTGCACTGTATGTGTTTTTCCATAACTAAAAAAAATTTACAATATTAAATAGCAAACACTTTTTTTTTTTTGAAAGAAGTATAAACTTCTATAAATTGATGTCAAGATAAACGTTGTGAAAAGAAATTTTACAAAATTTGGCATCTAGATACAATCATAATAAAAATCATGAATCCGTTGGCTAAGGGGTATTTGATGCTTAAGTCATTTTAAGGGCCTAACGGTCCAGACACATTTCTAAAAAAATATTTTATAATAGTTACATCAATAAAAAATTCATTTGAACCCTTTGTATATTATTAAAAACCTTACAAACATTACAGGATCAACAAAAACTTCATTAAAATATCTAGATGACATTTTTCTTTTTGATGTCACTTTAATCAAAAACTCTGGAGTCCTTCAGGCTGGTCTGAGTGATCATTTTCCTATTTTAAAAACATAAATGTGTCCCAATTTTACACTGCCCCTCAGAATGCAAAATCAACTGGTCGTCCAAAAATCGTATGGTGCGGGGGGTTGTGGGGGTCAATTTGTAATAAAAATGACAAAAAATTATTATTATATTTTTTTTACCTACGACATACAGCTATTAAACTGACAAAACCGCTTTTCAATATTTTTATTAGAAATCCTTTTTTTTTCATTTTAAAAACGCACCGCATAATGCTTTTATATGGGAGTCTTTAACGAATAAACGCTTGCCCTGAAAACTCATTTTTTGTTATGGTTTACCTTGAAAAATATTTGGTTTATCAAAAAAAAATGTTTTCTATAAGCCATATGCATTGAAGATCAAAGAATCCGTTACTTTTTCAAAAGCCCCAATCCGATGGATCGCTTTTCTTAAACTAGCAATTAGATTATATTGAAAAATAATAAAAAAAAATTTAATCTACTTTGTTTCTTTCATATTCAGGCAGGGAAATTTTCGATAATTTTCTTAAACCATTACTTTTTCAATGTTTCAAACACGATCCAATCGCGTTACATCAAAGACAAGTCAAAGAAGTAATCGCTAACTCCACACTATTTAGTGAAAAAGACAAATATTTTATAACAATTATGAATCCACAACCGCCGAAATTATATCTTTAGTTATATTACATAAACAAGATATGCCCGTTAGACCATTCGTGTCTTATGTAATAGCTCCGGTAGTAAAACTCTCAACAAAATCAGTAAATATTCCACACAGATTTTAAACCAAAATTCGCAATAAAAAATTCTTTTGAATTAATCAACAAAATTAAAGATATCAAAATCCCTTCTAACCCAACACTCTTGTCTTGTGATGTACAAAAACTTATTTCCCAGTATTCCACCTATGGATGTGATAGATCCAGTAGATTTCACTCAGTCAGCCGAGACGGCGTTTATGCCCCTCATTTAGCTCCGCCCCCCTCAAACAATATGTAAGCAGGTGCAGAGTAAAATACGAGCCAGTTTCAGTCAAGCTCTGAAGAGGCCAACAGGATGATTGGCGAAACGTCAGCAAGTTCGACTCAGCAAAAACCGACGCAGTGCTAGCGCTCAGCTCCCACTTCAGGACCATAACTAGGGATTAAATAAAACTAGTACGTGTTTACGAGAGAGTTTTATTATTTTATTTTTCAGACTATTGAGTTAACGTCAGTGCAGCGCCTGCGTGTCGGTCTTTGGGAACAACAGCGACAGGCACGCGGCGGCTGAAAAAAATAGAGTTTTTTTTTACCAAATTTGGCATATTCTTGATTGGATTTACTTCGAAATAGTTAAGGGTCTCTGGAATTAATTAATTTAGCGCCTGCGGATTTTTCACTGAGGCAATTAGTGCACTCTTTCGAGATGAACTATTGCAATTTTTTTATATTTTTCATCGATTATTAAAACGCTCTCGTCAAATTTTGTAAACCCAAAATTGATAGCTGTTATTTTTATGCTTCCGTGTATGACGGTAAACACAATGAAACACAAGGTGGTCGGTTCTGTAGTCTCCCAAATCCGTAAATAAAACCGAAAACATGTCAAACTTTGTCAAAATCGACGAACTTTGGATTTTGATTTGATTTTATTTCAAAATTTTAAGCAACCTACTACGAAATTTTCTCGACGATTTGGTTGGGTGCTGTCAAACACTTATGATATACCCTGTATAAAATAAAATATTTCCATTCCAATGACCAAACAACTTTTGTATTAAAATTTTTCCATAAAATCAATTTTATTATCGAGATACAAAAGAATACTCCACTATGTCGACAAACAAAAAAGTCTAAAGACCTTGTTAAATTTGGTCAACGGAACCGAAGTTATTATGGAAAAATTTATTAAAAAAAAAACGCTTTTTTTGACACTCTGTAAATTCGCTTTTTTTTAAACGCCTCGTATAATCTCACCAATCAAAAGTCCGCCGACGACAAAGAACGGTGCCAGACACCCGCTCTGCAGCAAGAAGGGAAATACGAAGTTGCCGCCCATCGCACCAGCTCGCCCCACCATGACCCCCATCGATATCGCCAAGGTCCTGAAAAAAAAAAACGGTCGCACAGACTGGTTGAGAGTGGATATTGTGGAGGACTTGCATGGATCATCATTTCCAATTACAAACACCAAGTTAAGATATTCAGATCAAGTGTTTGGATTATCTCTGGTATAAGGAGATAATTGATATTTATTTGCTATTTATTCATTTTATTTGTATAATTTGTATCAATAAGCAAAATTTGTCGTTGTCCTAACCTCAAAGTGGTGGGGAACAGGTCCACCGTCACAGACACTATGACGTTGGTGGCGAGCGCTCCCATCGCGTTGAACGCCGACGAAAACACCAGCACCATCTCTGAACTTTGCGCGAAGTACAGGCAGATGCTGGCCGATCCGGAGATTAGTTCCGCCGCCACTGCAACAGATGGCGTTGGTCGGAAAAGGCCACCAAACGACACGCAAATAGCTCATTTTTCATATTACGTTTTTACCGATTCGCAGATTAAACTTTCCCATGGTCCAGAGATAAAACAAACTCCGTTTTGACTAACCTGAAATTTATTTATTTTGCAGAAAAATGGCCATAGTAAATCACAACAAGATAAAAATAATTATGACAACTAAAAAATTGACGGTTTAACCTGAGTAGAGGATCACATTTTTAGAAACCAAATAATAATCCAAGTCATCACCGTAGCACAAAGCCCTAAGTGCAGAATATGGAACGCTTACAGGTCTCTATGTTTGAGACGAGTTTCCAGAGCCTCATATTTACGACGGCCTCCAAATACTGGTGATTACAATCCTGGACATTCAATTGGTATGCCAATTGTCTCAAGAGCTTGTGCTGAATTGAATATGAAAGTCGAGTCTATCCGAATTACACCAAAGTGTCTGATTTGCGAGCATTTTTTCACATTAAAATCAATCCCATCATTATTTCACCAAAGCACAAGCCTGTTACTATATGATTGTAGCTGGATCCGCTCATCAACACCCTTCACTCCGAACAAAGTCACTATGTTGAAGTGGTCCAAGATGGGAACCTTGCGGCACCCCTGAAAACACTTTTATTTTTGCAGGACTGATAATTATTCAACCTAGCAACTTGAGAGCGATTGGTCAGATACGCGATTTTACGGAGGTGAAAATAAATAAGAACTAAAAGTTCAGATTTTTCACAAAATTATATATTTTGACTTGACAATTGTTTCTTTCCTATTCAGACCGGGAAATTTTGGCGCTGCCCTCGTATATATCGAAAAATGACCATCAAAACCTTAATTAATATCAATAATAAATAATAATTATTATTATTCAAATGTATTGTTTAACGATCAATTAGATTTAAACACCTCTCCTTTATTGAACTTAAATTCTCACAACAACATTAATTAAGGTTTTGATGGTCATTTTATGGTATATATAGTAGCAGGTAGTTTATAAATTTGATGAAAACACGGTGTTGTCGAAACAATTGTCATGTCAAAATATATAATTCCGTGAAAATCTCAACTTTTAGTTCTTATTTATTTTGATAAATGGATTTTCATCAATTAAAAGCCACCTCACTTCAATTATAGAACTTGAGCCAAAGATTAAACAGATTTGAGTTGTACCGAGTTCCGAGTAATTTTTTTGAACAGTTCGAAAAGATTTCTCTGTCTCTGTCTACAGTGGCAGTTGCTTTTGAATATTAAAAAAAAAATAGATATAGTTCAATATAAATGTATGAATGCTTTAAGCAACATAGGAGAAACCAGTGTTTATTGGAAAATATAAAAATATGTAAACAGTGTTTTTTTTTCACATAACCTTAAAACAACCAATACCAGACGTACAGTTCTCTAGGTCTGCGCTAAGGATAAAACAAAGGAATCGTGTACTGAGTTGCGACTACCGAAATGTAGAGGGCGCCAGGAGCTCCAAAACTAAATTAAAGTGTTTGCCCGGTTAGACACGGTTAACCTGAGGTTAGCTGCCCAAATCAGAGAGTATAAAAATTGGCGACGCTACTCACCAAGCACCGTCTTTTTCCCGACCAGTGGCAGCACGAATAGCGTGACGGCGTAGCCACAGATGGACGTGAACGCCACCACGATAGAGTTCACGTACACCTTCTGGTTATCAACGTTCTGAAACAAATCCGGAGTCGACGCCGTTGCGAATTTACGTTGCCTTTATGGCCTTACGATCGCGCAAATCTCGGACGCATTTGCGGCTGGCTCCAGGTGCTTCAACATCGTGCACAAGCTGGCCGGCTCCGCGTGGCCATGCTGGTAGTCTATCACGGCCTGGAAAATGTGCGGTAGCCATAGCCGGAGCATGTTCATGCTGAAAACAGGCCCCGATAAACTTTAAGGAAATTTAAAACGTCTGGCAACGCCGCACCTAATTATCTACACGGTCGGAGAGATGCACCGATGCGAAATTTGGCATATAGGATGTTCCAAAAGTGTCCCCCTCCCGACATCAACTTTGTTATTTTACCCTATATATTTCGACATTTTTAGAATTCTTGATTAAAATAAAAGGCACGTTCTTGAGAAATTCCTATTGAAATCTACCATCTCAACAGTCAAATTTAATATGCAAAATGAAAGTTGTTCGGATGTGGCCAAATTATTAAACGAACATTAAGCCAAAAAAATTCACTCCGAAGAAACATACGTTTTTCAAAGGAAATAAAGTTTTTATCGTTTTGGGCAAAAAATATTTGGTCACTGCTGACTTTTATAGATCACAGACATCGTAATTCTTTAATCTTGGACATCGCCGACATCAAAATAGCACAGACCACGGGAAGGACTTACCTCGACACGATAAAGAAAGTGACGAAACAGACCAAAATAAGTCTCTGCAGGTGCGGCGGGTAGAAGATCGGTTTGATCTGGCTAAAACCGGCCTTAACTACTTCGAACTTGGTACGAGTTTCACCATCGTCACTCTTGGAGGGCTCCCGATCGGCTCCGGGTTCGTCGACTAGCTTTTTCACCTGCAACAAGAGAAGAATAACCTCCAAATCGGATCGCGAAACGTCTTGCGTTCTATACGGGGTAGGAATCCGGCGAACGACCTGTATTTATGCTGTATACGGTCCTCAGCACTCGAAGAGCTTGCTGGTCCCTGCCCTGGGCCATCAGGAACTTGGGACTTTCCGGCAAGAAGACGAAGACGATCGCGTTGGTGACCGACGGCAGCGCCGTGATGAGAAGGAACACGTTCCAAGAATGGAAGTCTGCAACCGTACTACATTAGCTGAGACTGTCCGGTGACGATGCAAGGACTCACTCAGCGATAGGAAGGAAAAATCGAGAGACTGCGAGAGCAAAGCCCAGGCCAGCAGAGGCAACAGTAGCGTGCCCAGCGAGGCGCTCGATCCTATCAGCAGCTGGAACCTGGACCGATACTTGGAGCAGTGGAATTCGGATATGTAGGAGTTGATGGCCGCGAACGGTCCGATCACCCTGTGTAAATCGAAATCGGGTAACATTCAGCGAAATTTCAATAGGTTTGGCAACGTTGCGCGTCGTGAGATGATTGCAACGTCGCGCCATCTACGGGTCATTGCTGCAGCTCGACTCGTCCGAGCTTCCACCTCCGACTCGTAGATGGCGCATAAAGCGAGACGGAAAAGTTAAACGCGTACTTTAACGTAATCGGGCAACGATTAGGAATTAAACAAAAAAGTTTAACAAGCAACAAACGTTTAGCGTTTTTCTAGCATTAGATTGGGTTTGACGCCATTACTGTTGATCACGCGAAATGTGGAAAACATTTTCGGGGAGAAAATTTTCTATGGTTTGGAGCTTCTAGGTATAATTTGTCGTATTATGCACTAAAAATAAAATATAGATCTTAGTTTCACATTTTTGAGAACATAATTTCTAACTAAAGTCAGTCAGTAAATGAGTTAGAATATCCTAGCCCAGTCAAAATTTCAAACAAGACAGAATTTATAAAAAAAAGTCATAACTTCTGAAAAACAAATCATAGTTTCTGAAAAGTAAGTTAGAATATCCTAGCTAAGTCAAATTTTCTAAAAAACTAAACGGAATTTATGAAAAACAAGCCTGAATTTCTGAACAATAAGTAAGATATACAGGATGAATCACAAAGAACGGACAATCTCTAAAACTGGAGGTACTAAATACTAACCAAAAAATGACGATTTGGGTTCAACATACCTCAACAAATGTCGATGATTTCGTACAGAGCGCTTAAAATTTAAATTTTATTCTGAATTTTCTCTATAATTGAGAAAGTTTTGATAGTATAATAATAAAAATTTGGAGTTTTAGGTTTTTGACATATCAAATCAAATACAAATTCTGATCTATTTTTCCGAAATTCTGACTTGTTAGAAATGATGAGTGGTTTCCAGAAATTCTCACTTATATTTCATAAATTCTGACTTAAGTCGGAATATATGACCTTTTTGAAATAAATTCTGACTTATTTTCCAGAAATTTCGACCTAAGTCAGAAATTGTGAACATTTTTTAAAAAATTCTGGCTTATTTTCTAAAAATTCCGACTTAAGTCAGAAATTATGACTATCCATAAATTGTGACTTACGTTAAAATTTCTGATTTATTTCTCAAAATTTTTAAAAACCCATATTTTATTAAATTAACCACAGATCTCTAAAAAGTGAATGTAATATTTTCCAGTGACGTTTTGACACTTAATCAGTTACGGATAAAGCGAAAGCAGTTTAATTAGGTATACCCACGCGAAACCTTGAAAAAACTTCGCGGCCAGGAGTAATGCGAGGTTTTGCGCGAAGGCGCTCATCACCACGAAAGTACCGTCCATAACGAATCCGATGAGCAGCAGCTTCCGCCTACCCAGGACGTCGAACAGGAACCCCCAGGCGGATGCGCTCGAGACCATCCCTGAAAAAACCGTCCATAAGGTTCATAGGCACGCGGAACTCCTCCACCTGTCGTTTTACACCTGCGTAAGTTGCAGCGTTTAGGAATCCTTTGTCGGAGAGCCCCAGGTTGAGGTCGCACTTGGCGACCACCGACGTGTACGACATCGACGTGGTGTCGAAAGCTACGCACAGGCTGGCGGGCACGCACACAAACGCCAGCAGCCAGTTGAATTTCCCGAAGCTAGTCGCCTCGATGGCTTCCTCAAAAGTGGCAGCCCCGCCGTAATCTGAAATTAGTGCAAAGCTGCTTAGATAATATGATTACCAACATCGGTTTTACACTACTCAACCTTTATCGCTTTGCCGAAAGTTGCGACGATTATAGAATTGTTGGTTTAATGAGTCACCTTCTTAAAATTTTCATAAAAATAATCCATAAGAGAATCTACAAGAGGAGCACATAACTCGCACACAGTTCGGTTTTCGAGACGTACGTGCACACGTGAGGCACTCCTCGCGGTTCAAGTTCTGTTCCAGCGCTGCAGGGACGTCAACAGCGACATATATATCTGCTTCATCGACTATCAGAAAGCTTTTGACAGAATAAAACATGACAAACTGATGTCGACCTTAGAGTTGGCCGGACTAGATGAGCAAGACCTCAGAATAATCGAAAACATATACAGTGAAAACTCCCTCTAGCGCAACTCTGTATAATGTAAGAGTCTGTATTACGTACAAAACTTGTACTATTAGGTCTCCATACAAAACTATGTATTAATCCACTGTCTATACCGAAAGAAAAGAGGGCACAACAGGTAACAAAGTAAGGAATGTAGGGCGGGTTGTAATTAATACCTTACCTTCTCAGAATTTCTTATCCTAATAATCTAATTACCGAGTCCTAAGCGTTTTTCCCGTTCAATGACGAAAAATTCTAAACATTTTTCTCTGGAAGTCACACCATTGTTCGAATTCTAAATTACTTAACATATGTGTTAACTTTTTGTAGAGTCCATATGCTTCCAATTCGAGCATACGTCGTTTACTTTGCAGGTATTTGATTTCCAAATCCAACCATTTTTCTTTTGCAAGATTTTCAACTCTTTTGGCAACAAGAGATGAATTTGTTACGGAAATGTTTACAAAATTTGGGAAAACTGAATGTTTTTTACAGGATTTTAGAAACCAAATGTCTGCTCCTATTAACCTAATCTTAGTGCTAACCTTATGGTATAAGTTAAGTTGCGTTGACCGCGAAGCCATCGTTATCAAACTCTTGACTGGAACCTTCGGCACTGTACTAACACACAATAACGCGTTTTACCACAGTCAGTTTTTTCACACACTCCTATCGTCATGCAGGACTTATTACCGAGACTGAATGCAAACAGGACTTGGAAGATGATCAACCACTGAGCGAGTGGATAAAGCAGTTTACAAATGAGGAGTTGCAAGATTTTATGGTGATAAGGATCAGGATTTGCCTACAACAGGAGACTTAACAGATGAAGCCATATCACAACAAGTAAGAAAGGGTGAGGAAGAGCCCCAACAGGAAGAAGAAGATGAAGAAGTTGATCTGGGACCACCACCAACCATTCAACAAGCCAACACTTAAGCTGCTAGAGAATTTTTTTATGAATCATGGGGACGATGCTCCTCTTGAAGAAATGGTGAAAATACAAGCCAAAGTACGAGATGCGTATTGGTAAATAATTTTTATGAAGCAAAGTCCAACGTTGGGCGTTGTAGTAGACCTCGAGTGGGAAGCGTCATCACTCAAACAAAACATCCATTGTACGGATCTGTGTTTACCGTCGAGAAGCAGGAACGGACTCAGCATAAACTACCGAATGATACTATGAAACGCGCAATTGGAGAAAATTTTGAAAAAATAGAAAACAAACGGCCAAAAAATAAATGAATTATCCCAATTAAACAAGGTTGCTTTCGAAAAATCGTCACTTCGTCGTCATGTTTTAGATTTTTTTGCCCGCAAACGACACACCCTGTATATAATTCAAACAATGTTCAAATAGGGTAAGTGGTTTTTAAGAAAAGACTTGTTTTCTGAAACCATGCATTACGTGGTAAATGACGTCATCGCGTCTATATTGAGCGCAAGAAATGGTGATTTTCCTTTCAATTTTTTCAAATATCTCGAACAGCGTATGTGATAGAGGAAAACAGTAAATACAAAAATTGTAGCTCTCGATGTGGCGTATAACACTGTTTAATTATATACCCACAAACAAACTTCGAATATGTATATACACGCTAAAGGTAGTATTTTAAACTCCCGGAAGAGGCGACACTCCAGCAATACAACTTAGGACTTTTTTTTGGGATTTGCACACAGATGTCGCATGACTTGAATTTCCCCAAAACGGAATACCATAGAATAATCTCGAATAGATGTGAGCATAGTAGAAATTTATCACGAACTTTCCGGTCAAAATTTTTTTAAAATTTTTTATTAGGAAACAATAACTATGCGGCTTTGATAGGGTTTCGTCGAGCTCTAGTCCTACAAATTTAGCGTGCTTTTTTATTTCAACGGCCTCCCCGCCCGACCAGACATTCACAGCAAGATATTTTTTGTATTGTGGGCATTTGAATATCAGTACACTTGTTTTTTTGGACATTCAAAAAGAGTTCGTTGGTGTTAAACCAGCTATTTAGCAGTAGCAGTCTTGAAGAGTTTGATAACAGTGTGAGGAGACTAAACTTGAATAGTCGTGCGCGAACTCTGATAGACCCAAACTAGGTAGGTGAGCAGAAAGTTCATTGATAAAAAGGATAAATAAAACAGGGCCAAGCACTGTACCTTGCGGTACGCTTCTAAAGATTTTACTTGAGATTCTTTAATTTCACACAAGTTGCCTCTCTCCTGCCTTATTTCAACATACTGCCTACGATTTGTTAAGAACGATCTGAACCAGTTCAGAGCTATTCCACGAATTCCGTATTGTTCCATCCTATTCAAAAGAATTCAGTATGAAAAAAACAATTTTCAGGGTCTTTGACATTTTTGCGAGATTTGAGTAAGTCCTTTTTCAGCAGATGGAATACGGGTGTGGACTTCTGCCCTTCTACCAAACCTGATGTCGATAGCTGCAAATTTAAGACATTTTTGAATATACGCTTAATATCTTGAACATCCTGCACAACCGGTGAAACCCTTAAAAACAAAAGTTAGCTATGTATGTGGGCTATATCGCCATGTAAAATGAACTGACATCCGAACGCCGTTATAGTCAATTATCGTTAATAGGGGGGGGGTCCATTTTTCGGTTTTTTTGAATATGCGGCGCACCCTGTACATTTTTCAAAAATTATCAATTACGAGACTATATGGAGCGGAATCTTCTGCGTCTTGTCGTTACAAATTTTTTTCTATCGAGTAAACCGTTTTCGGGAAATGATTTTTTTCTTGGACCCCTGTAATTTTTATATTTTTAAAAATACTTCCCGACCCCCCAGGCCTCCCAGTTTCAATAGGTTCCGTCCGATCGCCGCCACTATTAAATATCTCGTGTACCCCGTGGACTGTTAAAAAGAAGCAACGGACAGACAAAAAAATGCATTTTTACTGTTAACTAACGGGTAACATCATCTCGCTGTGGCAAGTGTTTTAGTGTTCTGTGACGAGCGTTTATGATCGACGTGGCAACGCCGCAGGCGGAAAACATTCAAATAACAACCGAACCCCTTCACACGTGTAACTAAATGGCGGTTTGACATTGAGAGAAAAAAAAGCAAATCGCCATTCATACTTTTATATATTCCGAATAAGTTTTAATTGTGATAATTTTCATATTATTTATAACGTGGGTGTGTAAAAATATGCGCTTTTTATGGTAATCGTAATTACCATTCGTTGGAAATTCGCTGACAATGAAAGCCACGCGACTAGGCGAATAAGCAAATATTTTTTCGGGAATCGCTTTCTGCCCGAATTTGTTTAGCAAATATTCGTCTTACACGTTTAACTTTATCTATTGTTTTCGCAGATATAAATTTTAAACTATGTAAAAGCGACTGCCGACGAGTTAACCGTTTTTGGTGCGATGATTGATGTCGGTGCTGCTCGATACGACCCAAGAGCTCGAGGTAGGAAATAATCTCAGCGTTGAAAAACCAATATTTGTCTTGGTTAAAGAAAATTCTTTCTAACGTGAACCGTATATGTCGTAACAGGTGTCAAGTACGCGGGGGTTCTTCCGTTTATCAATTTATCGCGATATACGTGGGGGTCGGGAACTATTTTTGAAAAATTTTTGGAAATTTTTCGGGATCGGAAAAAAACGTCGGTCCGATGGCAAAAATTCGAGCGAGATTCCGTTTTATAATTTTAGTGTTGGCGATTTTTTCGTTTTGCTACAGGATGTGGCTGTTATTTTCGAAAAACCGAAACTGTACCACTTCTATGGTGGTCTGTGTACCCTGTAACTGAAACACCGCACGTCAGTCGATGGTTTGCTTTGAAAAGCCAAATAGGCTTTCTCGACGCCTACAATTTTCGTATGATCCGTTTTCGTCTATAATACAGGGTGTTTGAGTTATTTATTTATATATTTATATATTATTTATATATTTATATCTCGAAAACAGTCTTAGTTCTACAATTTTTATTTGGAACATTTTTTTGTAATCCTACGGGATGTGTCAGTTATTCTCGAAAAACCGAAATTGTACCATTTCTACGGTAAAAAGACCACCCTGTAACTGAAACACCGTATGCCGGTGGACGGTTTTCTTTGTACAGCCCAATAGGCTCCCTCGACACGTACAATTTTCGTATGAACCATTTTCGTCTATCATACAGGGTGCTCAAGTTATTTGGCACTATACATATAAAATTGCGATTTTACGAGTTCAGAGAAAAATATGTATATCTCGAAAACCGTTTTACCGATCGAAATGATTCTCGAACCGGCGGACTCGTGAGATCTAGTTCTACAATTTTTATTTGGAACATTTTTTTGTAATCCTACGGGATGTGTCAATTATTCTCGAAAAACCGAAATTGTATCACTTCTAATGTACAAAGACCACCATGTAACTGAAACACCGTATGCCGGTAGACGGTTTGCTTTGTACAGCCTAATAGGCTTTCTCGGCACCTACAATTTTCGTATGAACCATTTTCGTCTATCATACAGGGTGTTCGAGTTATTTGGCACGATGTAAACAAAAATTGCGATTTTACGAGTTCAGATAAAAATATTTATATCTCGAAAACCGTTTTACCGATCGAAACTGAAATTGTACCAGTAGCTAGAAGCTAGAACTTACCGCTCACGAGACGTTCTATTTCGTGCCTAGAACGTCGGCTAGTCCTGCTGCCCTTCCTGTCTCCTGAAATGACCTTGAAGTGTCCGATCGTTTTGCTGGGAAACGTTTTTACCGGCCAGAGATTCCAGGTCGTCGAGCTTCGACAGGCTCTGAAATTTTTGGGTTTCCAAGATGTCGAGCGGCTCCATCACGCGCGTAGCACATCACACGAGTGCGCGTTAGATGAATAGGCATCTCGAGTGGCCAACGAACATTATCAGCTGATTATTGCTAACGTTTTCGGAAGTTTAAAGGGGCCGCGTAGTGTTCGAAATCAGAATTGATTACGTGCAAACCGTAAATCCAACAGGGGCAAATTTAAGCGACTTTTTTTTATTAATTATGAGTATGTTTCTTTACAAGTAGGCTTTAGTAAATGGTATACATTTATTATACGAGTATAAAAGCTAATAATCTGAGTCCCCATGTTCATATTCGTCGTTTCTAAAGCCAGGTTCTTTTCTTCGGGTGCTAACTCATCTATTTGCTTTTGAGCATCATCAACTTAAAAAAGATCCTACGTCATCCATGGAACGCAAGCTTAAATCTGTTATCAGACTCCGGGAACAAATCTGTCACCCCTCATGACTCTAAAATTGACTTATATGAATCCTTGAAATATGAACTTTTACCTAATATAACATTTCCATCGAAACTTTTAGCTTTAATATCATTATTCCTTTCTTGCCTTTTCATCATTAAGGTCATCGTTAATTCCTTGCTTGGTCAAATAACGTAAACAAACAAATACGTAGAATTCACGTTTCGGAAATAAAAACTAAAAATTTTTGATAATTTTGAACACCGTAGATCGATACCCTATTTTACGTAGTGACGCAATGGATTTTAGACGCACGTCGAACGTAGGATCGTAGGGGTTCGATAAACGATCGGAATTGAATAGTCGTCAAGGTCCAGATAAGGATGCAAAACAGCGACGCGCTTTTTGGACGTTAAACTCCAAATCGCGCAATCGATATTTCGAAAATCTGACCTCGCTCGTTCCAGTCCGATTATTTAGTGAAGAGTACGTTGACGTCATTTAGCGGAGCAAAAAAGCCCGTGTAAGTCGCATCCTTCTGATTAACTGCCCGAGTATAATACAAACTTGAAAAAATTATAAATTAATGCGTCCCGTCTGATGTTACATGCGATCATGAAATTCTCGCGCTAATGGGATATTTTTGTGCACATTTTCCACTTTTCCAAGACAAATACATATTTTTAAATTTTAATAAAAATAAAAAAACTATTTGTTTTTAAAAATTTTATTAATAGCACGAAACATACGTTCAAAAAAAATCACATTATTTTAATAGAACACATAAAAGTGAAAACTAAACTAATATGGTACAATGAAGTCTAAAGAATCATTATAAATTGTTCATGAACCCTCATTATGGCTATGAGTCTTGTAATAAAACTGTAAGGCTCATTGCAGATAATCATTTATGGCTGTATCAGAAAACTTGTGCTTGTATTCACTATGCGCTGAACTACCCTCATTGATCGTCAGGGACCAGCTGGATTTCTGCCACTTCATCCAGCAAAATAGGTTGGGCAAGCGGAAGCTCTGTCATGTTAAGCCATTCCTGGCGTTTAGCTACTAATTTTGATCTAGAAATAGAAGTTTGCCTCCGATACTCACTGAACTTCCTACAAAGATAGGAGACACGGTTTTCCAAGTTGGTAGTCTCGGTCTGTTTATTGGGAAAATTAACTCGGCTAAGATTTCGCGGATTTTTTCCGAATTTTTGTCTGCTTTCGTGGCTAACCAAGTATTAAAAAGGTACATTTGATCTGCAACAAAAGAAAAAAAAATAACAATACGTTTTTTAAATTGGTTAAGGCTTTCGCGGCCCGTTGATAAGCTATTATCTTCATTCGGGTTTAAAGGCCGTCGTCGATTGGAATTACTTCCTAACGTTTCGCTAGCACGAGTGGCGAGCTTCTTCAGAGGTCCTTCCATCTCCGATGTTGGACGTAGACTGACGATTTCTCCTGCGCAGGTTGTATTTATGCCGATTGGTGGAGGGCGGGGCTTGTTCCGCTTCGGTTGGTCTCGGGATATCGATCGGTACTGCTCGGACGTTCCTAAGGATCGGGTTCCAGATTTGGTTGAGTCTAAGGGTCTCCTCCTTTCGGTTGAAATTGTGTGGGTGTTTTTGAATCTCAATGGCTTCCCTGACTAGTCTGTTGTGATAGCCGTTGACCGATGCTAGTAACTTACAGCTCTCAAAGTGTATCCTGTGTTCCCCGCTGCCCAGTGCGTGTTCAGCCACTGCAGACTTCTCTGTATGTCCTAGCCTGCAGCTTGCTTTATGCTCCTTAAGTCTCGTTCCCATTGATCTCTTGGTAGTTCCGATGTAGACCTTTCCGCATGAACACGGAATGCGGTAGACTCCCGCAGCTGAAAGTGAGCCCCTCTTGTCCTTCGCTGACCTGATGGTCTGCTGGATCTTCTTTGTAGGCTTAAAGATTGTTTTGATGTCGTGTCTTTTCAATACTCTGCCAATCCTGTCGGTGACACTCGGAATATACGCTAGATATGCGTGGGAGGTGGAGGGTCGTTGTTCGGTATCCCGTGATCTTGATGATCTTGAGTTCATTGATCTCTCGATCTCCCTCTTACTGTAGCCATTTGCCTCGAACGCAGTTTTTAGGTGTTCAAGTTCCATCTGGAGGTTCTCCGGTTCGCAAATCCTTCGGGCTCGTTCTGTCAGGGTTCTGATAACCCCATAATTTTGACTTGGGTGATGGTTGGATAGAGCATGCAGGTATCTGTCCGTATGGGTTGGTTTTCTGTAAACTGTGTGGCCCAGCTTGTTACCTCGTTTCCTCACTAGTACTTCCAAGAATACAAGTTGTTGGTCATTTTCAGTCTCCATAGTAAACTGGATGCTGGGATGCTGACTGTTGAGATGCTGCAGAAAGTTGTTGAGCTTGTCCATACCATGTTTCCAAATCACGAAGGTGTCATCCACGTACCGGAACCACGTTGCTGGCTTGTACTCTGAGGTCTCGATCGCTTATTCCTCAAAGTGTTCCATAAATAAGTTGGCTATAACCGGGCTTAGTGGGCTTCCCATTGCCACTCCGTCCACCTGTTCGTAGAAGTTTCCCTTCCACACGAAATAGCTACCGGTCAGACAGACTTCAAAAAGTAAATATCGACAGGAAATATCCTGTTCACCAGGTCCAAGCAACTCTTCAGAGGTACTTTGGTAAACAGTGAGACAACGTCGAAGCTCACAAGGATGTCGTTTTGTTCAATATTGATATCTTGAATCTTGCGCACGAAGTCGGTGGAGTCCTTGACGTAACTGGTGCCGTGTCCTACGTGTGGTTGAAGCAGCGATGCCAAGTGTTTAGCCAAGTAATACGTTGGTGATCCGGGTGCGCTAACTATTGGTCTTAACGGGACACCTACTTTGTGTATCTTAGGTAGTCCATAGAGCCTTGGTGGAACAGTCTCCGTCTTCACAATGCGCTTCTTGATTTCTTCTGACAGTGATGATGACTTGATGAACCGGTTGGTAAGACGTAGTCTAACTTGCGTCGGATTCTTTAACAGGGGTTTGTAGCTTCCCGGGTCCAAGAAACGTTAGGAAGTAATTCCAATCGACGACGGCCTTTAAACCCGAATGAAGATAATAGCTTAATACGTTTTTTTTGTGTAGTCTTCGAGCCAAAGTACACATTGCCTAGTATTTCCGGGACTCTCCCTATGAAAAACAACAAAATCAAACAGAAATGTCAAAGTTTGTTATACCTTAATTCGTCAAAAAAAATATTAAATATTTTGATATTTCTTTGTTATTTTGATGAAAGATGAAACGAGCATTATAAGAGGAACATTTTTAACTAAACTTTATGGATCGAATTAACGAACTCTTTTTGTTAATTTCTTACCTAATTCTCAAGATTTGTTACATCTATTAAGTATAGAGCCGATTTTTTTCAAAATGTCTACATATTAATGAGCACCCTGTATTGTTAGCAATAGGTTTTATTCGTACAGTATTATATCTTCAAAAGAAGTGGCATCGTGTCTTTGCTATTTAAAAAATACCTAATATTGCCAGCCAGTTGTGGGCAGCTTTATCTTGAACCTCGAATATCTCAAAAAGTAAGTAAAATTACATTACATTACATTATTTTTTGTTCTAGAATTAATATCCGTATAAAAATATATGGTGTTCTATTTGAAAATCTTCAGATTTTGTTAATGGAATTCGCCAAAACGGCACCGCCTATTTGGGACACCCTGTATAAGCTGAGGCGCACCTGTCAAACTGTTTGAGTAGCGCATCATCTCCTTAGTATGTGGTTAAATTTTCGTTGCAATACCTACATCAGTAGCGTGACACACAACAACACAATTTTATATGGGACAATCAAAATATGAAAAAAAAAAAACACATAACCTCAATTTCTGCCTAAACTGTGTAAAATTCGAGTAGGAATTTCTTAAGAAGGTGACCTTTATTTTAACAAATATTTCCAAAAATGTCGAAATATACAGGGTGTTCCTTTTAAAAGAACAAAGTTGATGTCGCGTTTGACACTTTTGGGACAACCTGTATCAACGAAATTATAATATTTTAAATCTGCAGGAGAGTCCAAGAAACTTTTGTACGAAACTTTTCTCCTTATCTCCTATGGGTTTTATCTGGCACACGGTGTGCAGTTTTTTGCTTTTCTTACCGTTACGTATTCTATATCAAACATCAATCAATCCCAGCAAGTTATCCCTGTTCAAGTGTGTCATGTTCTTGATTTTATTTACTTCCAAAGAGGATCTCTGGAACCGGCGACCCGGACCGCTTGATTTATAGCCCTTGGTTTTTTCACTCGGGTAAAGTCTGTTCATAGATATAAGAAAGTGACTAACTGATACGAATTAAGTAAAGAAACATGTCCAATGGGATTAAATATACAGTGGTAAGGTGGAAGCCTTAAAACTGTATTCCTTTTGTAGGTTCAAGCTTTGTAGAACCTCAATTAATTGCTTTTTGGTATAATCTTAAGTAGTTTTGGATTGTTGCTTTTGTGTCACATGAGGAAGGGGTTCTAGTCAACTGTCTACTGTGATGTTTGGACTTAATTTGTTTTTAAACCAACTTCCAGTCGCCATTTCCGAATTCTAAAAGATTAAAACTTGCTTTTTGTAAATTTTTTTAAATTTGAAACCCATGTGTTGAATACACTTCCATAAGGTAGTTCTGCCACATTTAACACCGGTTTCATCTTTTTCAAGCCTCCTAATTAAGATATCTAATGTACGCACGCTTTGTTTCTCGTATAACATCTACATTCGAGAAAATGTCAGCATCGCTTCTTTTTTTCCTCGCCGAAATGGGATTATTCACAATTTTCCATACAGTTGATGTTGGAATTTTCGTCAATGTGACCGTTTCTTCTTGAGATGCTTGCTTGCTGGCACCACGTTCAATGAGAGTCAAATAAACATTGTTTATAACTATTTTAGTCTCAATAGAATAGTGTTTTCTACATTTGGGCGGGAGCATCTCCTGAGATACACTAGACTCGCACATATTTTTGAATAATTCGCACGCGATTCAACACACGCTGTATTACACACGAAATAAGAATGATTACTAATAAACTTAAATTAAGTAGTATACCAAACCAAAGAATGTTAAACACAGGTAGGTATACAATTATTTTCTATTACGGACCACAATTTTAACTGAATTTAAATTCCGAAACTTTAGGTAATAATCTTGTTGCATTGTATGTTAATGACCACCCTTGGATAATCCCATTCAAAATAATTGGTCACTTTCTTATATCTATGAACAGACCATACCAAAATAAAATTTTGATTTGCGGTTCCTCGATGTAAAACCCCGTTTCTGAGTCAAATAGTTGCCGATTTCGATAAGATCTTAGTCAGAATCTGCTTTTTCGCCTCTTATTATACCCAAATCTACCTTAGAAACGCAGGTATGTACTAAAAACCCTCTTTTTCGCGATTGCCCTAGAAGAAAATCGCGAATTTTTGCTCCCATAGTATCGGGGAGTGCCATGAAACCGGGTTATAATAGCGTAAAGGTGCGACGATTATAAATGTCAACAATTCAAATGAATAAATCTTGTCCGATTCCGGGAGATTTATTAATATTAATGCAGAACCTGATCGAGGCGCGCGGACATTTTGTTTTTCGGGACGTCTCGTCGCGGCGGTCAAGGTCGCTTGTTTATTTTGTTGGCCAATTATTAGTAGCGGCGAAAAAAAAAACGAAAACCCGACGCGTTGGCTTTAATTACGACAAATAGGAACGCGCCAGCCGCGGCCTGCTTCGATTTTAATGCGAGGCGTCGCGAAGATGCGTCCGCCAGGACCGTACTGGCACATCAGTCACATTGTTTCAATTAAATCTACGCAATTTAATTTATATGATAGTTATTTGTTATTATAATATATTAATAATAATTGTAAACATTTTTTTCCGTAATTCATCTAAGACCTTTTAAATTAAATTTTATAAATTCCAAAAAATTTTCAAAAAGGACGTAAATATAATTTTGATTTTTTTTTATATTCAAAATTCACGTTATAGATTTTTTCTTTTTCTTCAACAGCGGCAGTATTAAATAATTAATGAATATAAATTTTATAATTTCAAAAAAAAAATCAAAACCGAGATAAATAACAAAAACGAAATATGATATGGTTTCACAGATTTAAATTTTCCACAAAATTTTCAAAAATGACGTAAATATAATTTTTAATTTTTTTTTATTTTCAAAATTAAATTTCTAGACTTTTTTCTTTTTTTTTTCAACAGCGGCAGTATTAAATAATTAATAAATATAAACTTTATAAGTTCCAAAAAAAAATATATAAACGACATAAATAACAAAAATGAAATACGACATGATTTCTAAATGATTTTGATTAATTTTAAAAAGTTTTAGGTTATGTAGAAAATTTTTGTATTTCGTCGTAATGAAAAAAATATTAAGTGAAACTTATATACAAGACATATATTCACAGTCTTGTTTTTTAAGTGGAAAATAGTATTGTCGTAAAGTATTACGTAATTAATAAATTCAAGTATTCAAATTTCCAAAAAAATTTCAAAGACAACGTAATATTATTTTGAGTTTTTTTTTATTTTCAAAATTCAGTATTTAGATTCTTTTCTGCGGTGTTAAATAATTAATAACTATAAATTTTATAAATTCCACAAAATTTTCAAAAAGTACGAATAAATTTTGAATTTTTTTATTTTCAAAATTCAGTCCCTAAATTCCTTTCTTTTCCTTTAACCGCGACATAATTAATAAATATATATTTTAAAAATTCAAAAAAGACAAATATAATTCGATTTTTTTATTTTCAAAATTCCCTATCTATTTTTTTTCTTTTAATTCAATAGCGGCAGTGTTAAATAATTAATAGATGTCAATTTTAAATATTCCAAATTCTGGTTCTATTATTCCAATTACTTAAACCTTCTTCACGTGTCTTACAAATAACATATGGCTCCCAAATAAGCGTAGTATTGTTTTTTAAACTTTACGTCTAAATTTCTTGACCGCAAAAGAACCAGACACAAAGCAAAACGTATCTGGAATATTCCCACATAACTGCGCAATGATCACGAAATAAATGTTTTTACTACCTCTTTGGGAATCCCAGAAACCATATTTCATTTTAATTTATGCAAAACGTATGCCAGTGGCGTAGCAATTTCAATTTTTAGAATGATATGTCACACAATCCTTCTCGGCCCGGTCCTCGTTAACTAAAATGGGCTGCGGATGCGGCCCTGCGCTGTCAAACCATGCGAGGAAAAAAAATAAACATACCGAACGCATGGCGCGACCCTGGAGACCCTTGCGCGTTGCGTCAGGCGGATAACACGCCAAGTGGGGAGAGACAAACGGCGAGCTAGAGGGAGTCCTTGCGATTTTTGCCATCGATCGGCGATAAAGTCCCGTCATCGACGCGCGGGATTGTTCGCCAGTCCAGCCCGTGTCCGCGGACAAACGCAACTCGCGCGAAATGTCTTCGAAGTGAACGCGATATGGAGCACAAAATCAAAGAAGGCGCTTCCGACGCAGAAACCCGGAGACTGTTCGACGGTAAGGGCGATTTCTCGGTCGGCGAACTCGCGCGACCTTGCCAAGGTCGAAAATCCTCACCCCCGCGTTCGCGACTTTTCACTTTGGGGCACTTTCGTCACTGATCATTGGCGGTTAACCTTACAATAACATCGCGGACAGATGCAACACGATCTTGTCTCTAACGAACCACTATTTAAAACTCGTCATACCGTTCGAGACCTACGTCGACACGGGCGACTTTTTGGAAACGAGAAGCGAGAGTTTCGGGGCAGAAATTCGTAATAACGTCAAAGCGTTTCAAACGTACAAAAATCGCGGCATCTTGCGTCGCGACTAGTCCCTCCGACGCTGGTTTATGCGCCCGCTAAGGCGGCTTCGAAGATCGCCCGTAAGATGGCGCTCAGCTGAAACAAATTTTTATTATTCTTATAATAATACAAACCAAAAATATGGTGCGGTTATTGCTTGGACGTTTATTCTGCATTAAGTAGGTCTTGCCTGAGATGGACCGTAACGAATATTTCTAGAAGCTTGAAGTTTTTATTTGAAACGTAAATCTGATGAAGCGTTGATGCTGCGGGGTATTTTCGAATAAGTAGAATCGTTTATTTAAACATCAGGTGATATATATCGTTCTTAAGAGTTTAATCTAAATTGCAATATGTTCGTATATGACTATATTCGCACTAGATAAAGGTACGTCATGATAATATAGATAAACATTTATAACAATCTTACAATTAAACATTTTTTGAATGTTGCTGTTTTTTAACACTTTAAAATGTGGAGAGCGTGGAATGAAGCAGAATTTGAAGACGAAGTGGAGATGGTAGTCGAACCTAACGATAATTTCGAAGACGAACTACCTCAGCAAATATAAAATAAGCAGAAAAACAAGTGACGTGACCAAAGTCCTGAAGTCAACACCGCGTCTTTATCAAATGTGATAAAGACACGGTGTTGTCGAAACAATTGTCATGTCAAAATATATAATTTCGTGAAAATCTGAACCTTTAGTTCTTATTTATTTTGATAAATGGATTTTCATCGAGTAAAAGTTACCTCAGTTCCATATCATTTTATACTTAAACCGATTGAGATGATTTGGTCTGTTGGAACGTAATAAATTATTATTTTGAACTAATTTTTTTATGTACATCTTTCAAGAATTGAAGATAAAGTAGTGTAGGTAGATAAATTCCTAGGACCACTATATTTTTGGTAGAAGTATATTATCAGACACATATCAACTCTTTCTTCATTTGTAAATTGATTATTGTTTTCTTGATGATGAACAGAAGCAAAGCCACCTAAGCAAACTCTTCCAGAGCTAGTGAAGTTTTTGTCCAACGAAAACGTATTGTTCAAACAAGTCTCGTAGTCACTCTTGTAAGAACCCTGTTCCCAAAATTAAATATTTTAACGTTTCCCTCTCTCTTTATATTAAATAGCATAATTTACATAAAAAGTAATCTATCTAATTATTGCATGACCAGAATTGATGGAGATCACAATTTTAGAGTCAATCTTAATTTGCAGGTGCCAAGTCGTAAGTTAGCCAAAGTAGCTAACAGCTCTATGATTTTACCAATACAACTGTATAATAAGTTGCCTTTGTCCGTCAAACAGATATTGCCTGTCCATTTATTGAAGCAAACATTTTCGAATATTTTTTTTTATTTTAGTTTTTTATTCTATCGAAGAATGCTTTGATTGTAGTAATGCCGATCTGCCACTGTGATATACTTTGTGTATTTGTACATATCTGTTTTGTATGGAAAAACCACATAAGTAAATAATAATAATAATAATAATAGTAATGTTTATTTCCATTGACTTTTAGCAAAAGTATCGGATAATGTTAACAAGTAACATTAGAACACTGCCATTGAACGAGTAAAGAAAAGTTTCATTTACAATTGTACAATTTTTTCAATTTTCCAAAAATTAAATAAAAATTTAAAAAAAAAAACAGAAAAAAATGATCGTCCGTAGAATGATCTCGTCGATCCAAAAATGCAAAAAAAATAGGTTGTGCTATTTAAAATTTTAAAATAAATAATTTTAAAATTTAATTTGAACCGTGAAAATTTGTATGGACCTTTTTTCCAAAAATCAGTGGTTCCTGAGAAAAGATAAAGGCCCCTAATAAAGTGCGCACCCTGTACGCCGCTGCGTTGAGGTAAACGGCTGCTTTTCTGTGTCGCAGGTGACGAAGAGCCGGCGGGTTTCGAGAAAGCCATCACCGCAGCCGGATGGGGCAGGTTCAACGTCATCGTTTACGTGCTGTCCATTACGTCGGGATGGTCGTCGGTGTTCGAGACTAGCACGATGTCTTACGTGTTCCCCGCGGCGGAATGCGATCTGGATCTCCTACTCAGCCACAAGGGGTTGTTGAATTCTGCCACCTATATTGGTAACTCAAGTGTTCGCAAGTCCAAAGGGAGCTTGGACATTTTTTTAATTTTCTTTTTTTCTTTTTCTTTATACCAAACGTCAAAACTCAAAACCCAATATTTAAGTTGCAAGAAATAAGTCAAGATTGTGACGTCATACCGCTGCTTAACCGTGCAAACCTTTTCACTCATAGCAATGGCTCCCTGATCTATATAAAATAAAGAACACTTGAAACAATTTTCACTAATTAAAAAAAACGCTATTTATTTTTTTGGTTGTTGAATAATTTACATTTTATTTGATATACCATTTGAATTTTAAAAAGTAAAAAACTTATGAACTCAACAAGATAACAATAGCAGACCAAAACTAAAATTCAAACCACCATTGTCGTCCTCTAATGGATTCTCTATGCTACCGTTCTGCTGGCGAGTAGTCTAGCCAGCGGAATGACGTCACAGCCGGCTCTGCCAATACCATTTTTGATTGCTTATGTCGTTGCTATACAAGAGAGAGTGACCGAGTCCAAGTCCGGTGCACAGTTTTATTTGAAGATTTATGAACAAATATAAAATTCAATTATCTCTTGTATTTCTTTTTCATGAACTTTTAATTTTTTGAACTTACTTTTATAAGCAATATTATTGAAACTGAAATTTTGCATTAAGGGTGAAAAAGTTTCGCGTTTTCAGGCATGATCTCGAGCGGTTTCATATGGGGGTATTTGTGCGACACCCTCGGCAGGAAGAAGCTACTCGTGGTGGGGTTCCTGTTGGACGCGTTGTTTGTCATACTGGGCGCGGCGTCTCAGAATTTCGCTATGCTGGTCACCGCCAAGTTTTTCGGCGGTTTTATGTGAGTTTCGCACGAGTTTCAGTTCGATTTTTTTAGCGATATGTTGGTACAAATCGAATCAGCGTCCAAAAAAAAAAATTTTTTTTTATCTGTTCTCCGTTTTCCGTTTCTCCGTTTTCTGTTCCACGATAACTTCCGAAAGGTTCGAGCTACACACTTCAAATTTTGCTATTTTGTAACTGTCCACGGGTTGCATAATATATGTAAAAATGGGTGCGTTCAATCTTCGGCGTCCATCTTTTTTTTTCGATTTTCGACTTCAAATTTGGCGGCGCGTTTGCAACGGTTTACGCGATTGAAAAAATTCTTGACACATAAAATTCGGCCCCATAACATTCTATTCTAGAAAGTTTTTCAAAAATGTACAGGGTGCGACGCAAGTTCAAAGAAACTGAACCATAGGCTATAACTGAAAGACTGTGCTTCAGATGTCAGTCCGTAAACTTTTGTATTTAATGTCCTCACCTGTTGTACGGGGTGTTCAAAAATTAACATGTGTCTTAGGTTTGCAGCTACCAACTTCACATTTGGCACACCCACATTTCATCTGTTGAAAAGGAACTTACTCAAATATCGCAAAATATATTTTAAAAATTTTTGAAAATATTTTTCGGTATATTTTGACTGATGCAGGGTATTTCGGTTATAGATAAAAATCTTAAAGACCCTGAAAATCGTTCTTTGCGCTTTTAAATTGTTGTTTAAATCACAAAAATGGGTTTTGATTACATTTTCAATGTTTTCGTGTAGGTAAGCTGTACTGAAACGCAGAAATATGAGGAAACGTATATATTTTGAATTTTTTCTAGTATAAACGGTCCGTTTACAGCACTGACCACCTACCTCTCCGAGCTGCACAGCGCTAAGCAACGCGCGAGGGTCCAAATGGTCCTGGGCGTGATTTTCAGCTTGGCCACTGTCGTCGTGCCTATTTTGGCGCTCTACGTTTTGCCGATGGGCTTCAAGGCCGCATTCGGCGACCATTTCGGTAACTAACCAAGTTATCTACCGTCGATTATCGATAGAGGCGATTTCAACTTAAAAAGTGGGGTTATGGTGTGGTCTTCTTGTTTTTCAACGTAAAGAATTCGATAATTCGATCTGTATCCGATAACGGTTTCAGTTATCCACTCGTGGAACCTCTACATGTTCATATGCGCTTGCGTGCCGTTGACCAGTGGCGTCGCCTTCATGTTTCTGCCGGAGAGTCCCAAATTTTTGATGACGACCGGTAAAAACGAGAAAGCGCTCGCCGTGTTCCGGAAAATTTACCGGATCAACACGGGGAACCCGGAAGAAACGTACCCGGTATGTAGTCTTCTTCTTCTCCCTTCGTCTCTTCTTCTTTTTGTTGGTCCCACTTGCAAAGTCTGTACTCGTTTTGACAAATTAAGAAACAACTTTCACTATATTTATACCTGCACAATCCGGATTGTTTTTCTTTAATATACGCTTGATGGGCGAGTGGCCTTACCGAATGTGCCCCTTGGACGCGTGTTTCAGATCAAAAAGTTGGTAGACGAGATCGAACTGAATAGAAACAACAAACACGCCGGTAAAATGACCGCGAACAGATCAAAACTGAAGGCAGTGACCGAAGGATTCTCGCAGATCAGGCCTCTCTTTCTACCCCCGCACCTGCCGAAAATCGTCCTAATCTGTTGCATACAATTCTTCACGATGAGCAGGTAATTTTTTTTTTAACTTCTTAGTAGTCATAAAAATGTATTTAAAAGACTTTTATTATCCAGAAATATCTTTATAAATACTTGTTTTCCAGAAATACAAGTTTGAAACTTTTAGTAAACCATTAAAATAATTTGTAAAATGTATTAAGCTATGACTGCGTATTTTTCAAAATAGCTTTTGAATATTGTATTGCCCATAACTACAAATATAAAAATATGTTTTAAACTTTTTCGTTTTCCAGAAAAATAAATTCAAAACTTTCAATTTTAATAAATTTAAGATTTTTATTATCCTTAAAAATAACATTTTGCTTTCCATAAAAGTATCTTTATGAGCATTGGTTTGCCAGAAATATATCTTTTAAACTTTTCATCATTTATTAACCTTTTACTACAATATAAAAATATATTTAAAAGCCTTTATCTTCCAGGGAAATTAACTTTAAACTTTTGTTTTCCGGAACTATAGCTTTTAAACCTGTCCTTAACCATAAAAACAATTCGGCAACATTTTACTTTCTAAAAAAATATATTTTAAACTTAAATATTAATTATAAATCTTTGATCATCCTTAAAAAAGCATTCCGCTTCGTTTTCATCTATTTGATTTCCAGAAATATAGCTTTTAAACTTTTCATAATGAATTAAAATGATTTTGTAATAATTTAAAAATAAATATATATTTAAAAGCTTTTATTTTCCAGGAAAATATATTATTAAAATAATTTTGGAACCTTTACCTTTTTTACTTTTATTTTTCAAAAAAACGGAAAAAAATGGAAACGGTAGCTTTTAAACCTTTTTTTATCCACCAAATTAGCTTTGGAACGTAAAAATATATTTAAAAGCTTTAATTTTCCAGGAAAATATGTTGAAGCTATGTATTCTTTCAAGCCGTAGCTATCAACCTTTTTATTATGCATAAAAACAACTTCGAAACCTTTTGTTTTCTAGAAAATCGTACTTAGTAGTTTTTAAACCTTCTATTATCCACAAAAATAACTTCGTAACATCTTATTATATATAAAAATATATATTTTTTTGTTTTTCACGAAATTAAATTTAATATTTACTTTACTTTCTACAAAATTATTTTCAAAACATTTAAACATTTAAATTCTCATAAATATCAGTTCTAAGCATTTTATTAGAGTTAAAAATAGGGTATAACTTTCCATGACAATATATTTATGAGTGTTTGTTTACCAGAAATATAGCTTTTAAACTTTTAAAATATTTAAAAGCTTTTATTTTAAAGGAAAATATATTTAAACTATGTATTTTCCATTTTATTGCCCATAAAAATAACTTTGGACTATTTTACTATCTATAAAAATAACTTTAGTTATTTGCTTTCCGATAATATAGCTTTTATATCTTCATATTTCGTTAAAATAATCTTGGAACGTTTTACTATCCATAAAAACAAGTCTTATTTTCCAGAAAAATATATTTAAACTATGTATATTTGCAAAACTGCAAAAAAATATTAAAAAAATAACTTTGGAACGTTTTTCTATCCAGAAAATATATTTAATTTTTTTCTTTTGCGGAAACGTAGCTTTCTCCTTATAGAGCTTTAATTTCTTCAACTCCTCTGTATTTTATGCCCCGCATTTCTTTTATGATCCAGCCTCAACACGCTAAGGTTATGGTTGCCTCAGCTGTTCCAAGCTGTCAACGACTTCGAGCAGTCGCACAACGAGAGCGCCAGCCTGTGCGAGATGCTCGCCGTATTCCGCCCCAAAACCAGGTCCGCACAGGAAGAAGGATGCGTTGTTGTAAGCATCTATACAGGGTGATTCACTGCAAAAAATCCGGAACTCTTTGTCGCAACGTTGTCAGATATACCGGGAATCGACGCTACGTTGCCGTTGGTTGCGGGTAGGTCTGGCAACGTTGCGTGCGGCGATCTGTGCCGCATACGAAAAGTAAAAGTAGTAGCAGACTTGGATCGCCCTGTATACACTCCCGAAACGCCGCCACTGCGTTTTCAGAACATGAACAACATGTCGGTGTACGTCAACTCGATCGTCATAGCGGTGGTGTCGGTGGCGGGTTACGTGCTGGCGGGGCTCGTCATCAACAAGGTCGGCAAGAAGTGGTTGTACAGTGAGTCCCAAAACAAAATTATTTCGACCAGGTTTCCAAATATTTCAACTTTACCGGCAATATTGAATGCAAAGTTGGGTTTTCCTCATCTCGGTCCAGCGTTGTCAAACAATGCGATATTGCGCAGTATTTTGGTTATACTTCGACCAGGAATATAGTGCTTTTACAAGCGACCCCCGCGATTAACCATGCCTACTGTTAATTACTCCTAAACCGCAGCAGAACACCTTGCCGAGCGGACCCTTACCCGTAAGCATTCCAGGACCGTCCTAGGAATTTTTCTACCCATACTAATAAGCGAGATATTAGTATGTCTTCAATTTTTTTCGCCCAGCAATTCTTGAAACATCATTATTAATATACAAAATATAAAATATAACAATAATAAAGTATCCCTCGCTCAAAAAATCGTCACTATCGCTGCTGTCGTCTCCTAGTTCAATGACCAACTCCGCCACTAATCGTTCTCGATAAATATTTTCTTCTTTTATTACTCACAGTTAGGTCAGCAATGTAACAAGATTATTACCTAAAGTTTAATTTGTCCTCAAATTTACAAAAAAGTTTTTAACATTCCTCCACAAAGTTGGGCAAATTCTGTTAAACATATAGAAAAAACAGAACATCGTCCATATTGCAAATAATATAGAACAAATAATAATTAGAACAGGTGATGATGGCGATAGTGATACTGATATATTATGTGAATAATTTTAAGTAATTTAAGTAGGTAATAAAAATAATTTGTAATTTCATTTTTGATTTAAACATAAAAACATACATACAAAATATTGTTTAGCATCTTCACTAACAAAACCTCAAATAATTAAATTCTAAGCAAAGTACGGACCTGTCCGGCCATATTTCATTCTTACAGCTTGCCCGGGTCTTTCCTTAATTCGTAGCATTTTCTTATATCTATGAACAGACTTTACCTCTTGCCGAATTACGTTTATGGAACTATCACACTATCACTATCACAGGCACACAAATTTCAAGTTTCTACAAATATTCGATACGGTCCATTTCAGGGAAGACCTACTTAACGCAGAATAAACATCTGTTGGGATGGGTTTTACCACGGTCCTGCGAAAGTCTGTAAAATACTTAAAACGTCAGTACAATAAATGCACTATATTTTGGTCGTCGTTCGCGGCCTGATGTTTTAGCTACCCGTTACTAGATGGCGGCGGCGCGGCATTTCGAGCGTTTAACACTGGCAACGTCGCTTTTCAGTATTCCTCGCCAGCGCGGCAGGCGTCTCGTCGATGTCGCTCTTCGTCTCGCGGAACACAGCGACCACGATAGCTCTGGCGGCGCTGTTCGTAACTACGGGTAGCGTGATGATCAACACCCTGCTTGCGATCATAGTGGACCTGTTCCCGACTACTCTGAGGTACACCGCGACATCCAACATATTGTTAACGATTGCTTAACGAATATACAGGGTGTTTTTTTCGAATATCTCGATTATCTTCGAGAGGATTTGTGAAAGTGAGGGGATAGATTTAGCAGCAATTGGATTAAGGTTATCGAACGGCAAAAAAGCGACCGCCACACAGTGGAACGACCTTATGGGAACTTTTAATCTGGAAAATCTAGAAATGAATGTTATACAGAGTTATATTATGCAAAGAGCACCGACTTAAATTTAAGAAAAAATAGTTGCTTTACGTGATTTAAACAAAAATATAGTGCGTTTTACAAATATCTATTTTTTTATATGCATATAACTTTGCTTAAATGTCTTATAAAGTTTTCGTCTTGAATTTTTTGGGAAAAAGGAGTTTTCAATTTTATTTTGAAACTGCATTTTTTATAAAATGGTAAAAAACTAGACAGGGTGTTCAACAAAAGTGAGTCTTTGACAATTTTACATTCTAAATATCCGTGTAAAAAATAAAATTGCCAAAATCCAACCCAATGAAACCTAATGAATTATGCAAATTATTAAAAAGCATTTTCACCGAAAAACTTCATTATTTTCTATTAATCAAGACTTCAAAGTACTACGTTAATATTATAATAAAAAAATAATAATAATACAAAATATATAAATATTTTTTTCATAACTGATCTCAGCTAAACGAAAATTGAACTTAATTATACAGGGCGTCCCAATAGCCATGCACCACTATGGCTATCTTGGTAACCATAAGAACTACAAAGTTAGTCAAATTAAAAAATATAAAATTAAAGAACGTCAAAAAAAGGAAAAAAATGTTCCTTGCGAATTTTTTGTAAAAATTATTCTTTTTGACATTTGACCTTTAGAGGTAATACTCGTAATATATCAAATTTTGTAAGTACAAAAACTTAGATGTTAATATATTTTTACCAAATTTGTTCATTATATATATATATATATATATATATATATATATATATATATATATATATATATATATATATATATATATATATATATATATATATATATATATATATATATATATATATATATATATATATGTAATATTTTATATACTACATTTCTGATAAAAGGCGACTTATTTGTGTATAAATTTCAAGAAACCATTAATCAGTATTAGGCACTCATATAACAAAAATATTTACTAAAGTCAACATTTTATACTAGATTTGTTTTATATTTGTTTTTCATTGGCATTTCATTTAAGTAGTAGTAAAAGATAATAAATACCAATAAAGATACCAAAATTAAAACAAAATGATAATAATTGGAGTTTCCGGGCCGCCATTTTGTTTTTTGCTTCAAGGGCCTTCTCGGTCGCGATCGCTATGATGTGCGGCCGCACGGGGGCGGCACTGGGCAACGTCCTCTTCCCCTATCTGCTGCAGACCGGCTGCGCGCCGCCATTTTTCACGGTGGGCGGGGCGATGATAGGTATATATACATCGTATACGTGACGCAACGTCTGACGTTTGTTTGTTTCAGCGTGCGCGGCGATCGGGTGTCTGCTGCCACACACCGACAACAAGGCGCTCGTCTGAGCCGGACGCCTTTAGCACCCTAGTCTTACGTCAAATTTTAGCCCCGATACATACGTATATTTTTTGTATGGATTTTTGAATATGTTGCAATAGACTATTTCGTTAATCGGTGTTTTATTTCTCTGTGCTTTAGGAAGAGAATTGGATAGTTGTGCTACTCGCTACTAGATGGCGGCAGCTGCGACCAACGAGAAATCGAAAAGTATATTTGGTTGCCTATACACCTTTACCGGTTTGTTTTCGTCAATAGAGCTCATAAGCTCCCGGCAAACAGCGGATTTTTGTCGACAGACGCGGAAAAATCGCGTGTTTTTGTTTGATTGTTCGTTGACGCGTAAATCTACGACAAACAACATCGTCAAAATCGCCACAATAGCAAAGGGCTTTACGTAAAGACGCCGCTGATTAGCGTGTGTGCGGGTCCGTTGCTCAGGAACAGGGCATCGACCTTGGAAAATTCCAAATGGCGTGTTTTCAAACTTCAAATGGATCAGCTATATCCTCTTCCATTTGCAGTAGGCGGAGAATCTTCTTAATTGGTCATCTCGTGTTATTTTAACCTTGGAAGGCTGGCCCGGTGAACTCGGCACACTGAGCCACAATAACATTAAAAAAATACTGGCGGATTCGGCGCTGTATCAAAAATATCTAATTTGCCTCATGCTCACTAAAATAGTTAAAGTATACATACAAGTGCCTGTCATTAAGTTGGCTAAAAGTTGTAAAATTTAGAAACCCAAATTCACAGATTTCGTAATTGTTATTTCTGGTGTTATAATGACACTAATAACAACTAGGTCATGCAGCTTTTCAATACATTACAAGGGTTATGTTAAGAAATGCTTTAAATTCGACAATAATAATAATAAATATAATAATAATAATAATATAATAAATAATAAATTATAATAATTATATTGCTGCATGTTTTTTTTTTCAACTTGTATGACTTTTCATGTAGGTACTGCTTTGGGGGCGTATCTTCGCAAGTGATGGGAATTTTACAGCCTCATACTGTATAAATGTAACTCTCTGTTATCAGAAGCCCAAAACAACCTCAAAGCCTCCGTTCTATATATCTTCGTATTTCGCGCGCAAACAAACACAACTTAAATCGGAAATCTCCCGAAAGCTATTGTTAATTTTAGACGGGTTAAGCTTCTCGTCAAGATTTGCGAAATATCCGAATCAACAAGTTGACTTTTTATAAAATCCGCCCATATAAGCGAGGGCACTCGGCGGTCGGTATAGTAGGTGCCTTTCGAAGCCGCGAAATGAGGGGCGAGGGGAATCGCTACAGTGGCGGCGAAAAAGGTAACGTGAGCTTTTCCTAACATTTGAGTTCGTAATTTTAAACGGGCGTAAATGTACAACCGCTACAATTCTTCACAAAAATTGGAGCCTGTGGGTACTTCTCGAACGCTTTCGACAGGGTAAACATTGCTTGAACCTAGTAGACAAGGATTGGGTAGAAATTGTGTTCCTTTTATTCAACATTGCAATCGTATCACCAACCATTAGTAGAGTTCAGTGTGGAGTATTATGGTGGGCAACAACCACAAATTTCGCCGCCAGGGTTCAAATTTTATCCCAACAAGTTTCATCATTTCATGGTAAGAATTGAACCTTCTTACTTATCTGGACTTCCAAAAGACATATGACAGAGTACACCATGCGTTGTTGGTTAGGAAACTCCAGATCTTGAGTATTTCCGATAATTTACTGGGCTGAATCGAAAGCTACATCCCTGGAAGGTCCCAGATGGTGATGATTACGATATTAACCACTCAAAATGGCTGTGTAGCAGTCCAGGAAGACTTGGATTGACACTCTAATCGTAAATTGACGTTTTTTGTAGACTGTGACTAGCTGTTCCCAATCTTTGGCCCATATTATGAATGTGTCGTCGACATATCTCGTTTTGGTTTGTTAGTTGTTGATATTTGCTACTACCGGAGTAAGTAGTCATCTAATCGACAAACCATCGTCTTGTGCGTAGAAATGGTCTTGAAATTGAAAATAAAAATTACCTAGACAGCATTCCGATAGTTCGATGATCTCTTGAAGTGGTAGAGTGGTTCTTTCTGAGAATGTTGAATCTTTGTGAAGCTTCCAATGCGTCTAAAGGTACATTGGTGTATATCTCCCCTGATTTAAGACTTGTCTTCATTATTTCAACAACATGGGTAAAACTCTGAGCGATTGTCTGCGATTTTTCTTGTAAAGTCAGCTCACTTGCTGGCGAATTCCTGAAGCTTGTGATTGGGCTTTGGGGCACGTCAGGTTTGTCGATTTTGGTGTACACGTGTGGTGATTTGCTGTGGTGTAGTGTGAACAATCGTTTGATGCTTGCCATAAGATAACCCTTGTATTTACTACTACATTAGTACATTTTATCATCGTAATCGGTGGTATATAGAATTACGGTATCATTGCCCGGAAACTGAAAGTACGTCAGTCAGAAAATTGATGTTTTGTTTTATATGTCACTTGGAAAAAAGCCTTGATACCTCTAAAAACAAACAAGTTACAGCCAATTAAAATGTCATCGAGACAAATTGAACGCATTGTAGATTTTACTTGCAGTAATGAAGAGTTTTATAGTAGTAGTAGTCATATGGGGGATCCGTCCCGCATGGACCAAGCGCTTCTCCGTTTTTTTTTTTTTTTGTAAAAACCCTTCGTTTTCAGACGACGCTGCGGATTTTCAGACCGCAGTGAGCGCAACCGGCTTCGGCAAGTTCAACTACGTGCTGCTGGCGATCTGCCTGCCCGCCACGTGGACCACCCAGTACGAAACCACCGGCATGTCCTTTGTGGTACCTGCGGCGGCCTGCGATCTCGACCTCACGTCTACCCAGAAAGGCCTGCTGAACTCGATGACGTTCGTCGGTCCGTGACCCCGCGGTCACGGACCACGAACGCGTCATCCCCGGTATTTTCAGGCATGGTGACCTCGGGTTGCGTGTGGGGATTCCTGCTCGACACCCTCGGCAGACGCAAAGTCGTCCTCATAGGTTACGGCGTCGAATCCCTGCTAGTGTTCGCTACCAGTTTCGCTCCAAACTTCGCGTACCTCGTCGTCTGCAAGTTTTGCTCGGGGGCGGTGTGAGCTAAGGGGGCGGTCGTCCCGGCGGCGTGTCATTAAAACCCTGAATAATTTTAGATCGGGCGGCCTCTACGTGGCCATAAACACGTACTTGCAGGAGTTTCACGCGACGGAGTACCGCGGCAAGATCCAGATGGCGTTCGCGTCGATGTATTGCGCGGCCAATGTTGCCGTACCGCTGACGGCGTCGTTATTTTTACCGCTCGATGTAGACGCGCGTCTATTCGGCGCTATCGGTAAGTCGAAGCCCATCTGACAGGAGGTGTCTACCATCACCCCATCGCAGGAGAGGGACAAATGTACCCTTTGGTCTGTAGATGATCGATATCTTTTTTCAGAAAAACTGCCACGGGCTACTGTTTTTAAAAAACTTCTTCGGAGATTGACTGAAATTGGCACACATTTTACTCTGTAAGGTCTGTTCATAGATATAAGAAAGTGACTAACTGATACGAATTAAGGAAAGACCCGGGCAAACTGTAAGAATGAAATATGGCCGAAGAGGTCCGTATATTTATTTATTTATGTATAATAAATATAAAAAATAAAATTACAAATTATTTTTATTACCTACTTAAAATTATTCACTTAATATATCAGTATCACTATCGCCATCATCGCCTGTTTTAATTATTATTTGTTCTATATTATTTGCAATATGGATACACGATTGTTCTGCTTTTTCTATATGTTTAACAGAATTTGCCCAACTTTGTGGAAGGGATGTTAAAGACTTCGGTTTCTATAAGTTTGAGGACTTTGGAGTTAAGACCGGGAAATACATTGTTACGACGAATGGCGGATTTCAGTTGGTGCCGAACATGTTCAATGGGATTAAATATACAGGGCCTTTAAACTGTATGCCCTAGATTTTTTGCATAATTATCACAGACGTATTCCTTTTAAATTAAAATTAATTAAAAAATTAAATTGATTAAAGAATTATCTGGAGCAAATAAGCGACAAGCACCATATAGACTGTTTGATAATAACCACCAGCAAGCAAAAGACATCTCTGAGGAAATAGTCATATGGAAAAATTATATCCGAGACTTATTTGCCGACTTAAGAGAAGAGCCGTCCACTAGCAATAATAACGAAGGTCCTACCATAATTAAATGTGAACTTGAACGCGCTATCAACCAACTAAAGAACAATAAAAGCCCAGGACCTGACAATATTTACTCAGAAGTTATTAAGTTAATTGATGAAGAAAACTTGGATCTCTTCTTAAAACTACTTAATCAAATATATAAATCTGGCAAAATTCCGACAGAATGGCTGGAATCTACATTCATTCCCATTCCCAAAAAGCCGAATCCTCGTCAATGCAATGACTTTAGGTTGATTAGTCTGATGAGCAACGCCCTGAAGATCCTTCTCAGAATTATCCACAATCGAATCCGGGAGAAATGCGAGCAGGTAATCTCAAGAGAACAGTTTGGGCACTCGTGAAGCACTGTTTAGCCTGCAAGTTTTGGCTCAGAAACGCATGGACCAGCAGAAGAGCCTATACATATGCTTTGTTGACTTCGAAAAGGCATTCGATAGAGTTCCACATACAGGCCTTCTAAACTCCCTTGTCAACGTGGGAATCGATGGAAAGGACATTCAATTAATAAATAATCTCTATTGGCATCAAATAGCAAAACTAAGAACAAAAAATACTACATCTGCGGAAATAGAGATTTGTAAAGGAGTACGACAGGGATGCATATTGTCACTGATTCTTTTTAATGTTTTCTCGGAGGAGCTGTTTAAATTCGCATTAGAGAATATCTCAGATGGAATCAAAGTAAATGGGGAAACTGTCAACAACATAAGATATGCCGATGACCCGGTTCTGATGGCCGACACAGACATCGGGCTTCGGAATATTATTGATAGCGTTCAAAGAGCATGCTCACAATATGGGATGAAGATCAACATTAAGAAAACAAAAACAATGGTAATTAGCAAAAATCAGAATATCCCGATTCCATTGCAAATCGACGGCGAAGTCCTAGAAATGGTAAATCATTTTAAATATTTGGGTTCCTGGATTGAAAGAGACACAAACCCCGATTACGAAATAAGGACTAGAATTGAGCAAGCGCGCCAGGGATTTATGCGATATAGGCGGCTCCTCTCTGATTCATATTTGGACCTGGGCCTACGTCTGAGACTGGTACGATGTTACGTCTGGCCTATCCTGTTGTACGGCGTTGAATCATGGACGCTGAAGGCGGCCATGATGAATAGATTGGAGGCGTTTGAACTCTGGTGCTACAGACGAATGTTGAGGATCCCTTGGACAGACAGAATTACGAACGATGAAGTACTTCAAAGAGTGGGTGGTGAGCGAGAGCTACTACATATCATAAAAGTAAAGAAAACATCATACTTAGGCCACCTACTCAGGCACGAAGAGTATGAGTTGCCACGACTGATAGTTGAGGGAAAGCTGGAAGGAAGGAGGGGTTTAGGAAGAAAGCGACTGTCCTGGATGCGAAACATCAGAAACTGGACCGGCCTGAACTTTGAACAAGTAATAAGAACGGCACAGGATAGACAAGCATTTGCCAATGTGATCGCCAACCTTCACTGAAGACGGCACGCGATGATGATGATGATATTCCTTTTTTAGGTTCAAGCTTCATTACAATGACGCTGTTAGGAGGAATGTTTGGAACTAGTTTGTTTTTAAACCAACTTTCATATAAATCAGGGGTGGTGTCTTCATGGTAATCCCGAGAAGAATCTTTAATATTTTTCGCAGACAGAGAAAGTCCATTTGGAATCCAACCATCTTTAGAGCCAGCACGCAAAATAGTTATTCTTTTACCTCTTTTTGATGGCGCGTTTGTTTTACACTTACCAGTTGAGTCAACCCAACCCTTTTCCGGGGTATCATGAGTGTCGAACCAGGTTTCATCCAAGTAAATAATTGGCCTTTGTTCTGTGTAAATCCTAATTTTTTCTAGATATTCCAATCGCCATTTCCGAATTCTAAAAGATTCCTAATTAAGGTAGGCACGCTTTGTTCCTCGTATTACTGGTAAATTTTACGCCGTATTACATCTTGATCACTTTCATCTACACTCGAGAAAATGTCAGCATCGCTTCTTTTTTTCCTCGCTGAAATGGGATTATTCACAATTTTTCATACAGTTGATGTTGGAATTTTCGTCAATGCAAACGTTTATCCTAAAGATGCTTGCTTGCTGGTACCACATTCGATGAGAGTCAAATAAACATTGTTTATAACTTCCTTAGTCTCAATAGAATAGTGTTTTCTACATTTGGGCGGGAGCATCTCCTGAGATACACTAGACTCGCACATATTTTTGAATAATTTGATTACTAATAAACTTAAACTAAGTAGTATACCAAACCAAAGAATATTAAACACAGGTAGGTATAAAAATATTTTCTATTAAGGACCATAATTTTACCTGTATTTAAATTCCAAAACTTTAGGTAATAATCTTGTTGCATTGTATGATAATGACCATCCTTGGATAACCCTATTCAAAAGCAATTGGTCACTTTCTTATATCTATGAACAGACCTTACCCTCGTATGTACATAATATAAAAAATACATATTACCACATATACCTAAATCTTTATTTTACAATTTTACCATTCTTTCTAATTTTTTTCTGCGAGTTTCTTTTTAGACTAACGTTATATTTTGATTTTAAATTTCTGTAGTTCTGTAGTTAATGCATTGACAGAATCCACGAAAAAAACCGTTAGAGGACTTCGCTTACGTCACAAGCGACCACGTCCGACCGATAATTTTGGCGAACGTATATCTTATGGGATTGGGAAATCGTATTCTTGACTGAAACCATGTAGTATTCTGTGCCCTCGCTTCCTCTTTCAATGCCTCCCTCGATGGATATCTTTTTTTGCAGATTACCACGCGTGGAATTTGTTCATCCTCGTAGGCGGCGTCTTCAGCGTCGTGTCGACGGTTTGCTTCTACATGATGCCAGAGAGTCCGAAGTTTCTGATGAGTGCGGGCGACAACGACGCGGCTCTAGCCGTGTTCCGCAAAGTGTACAGCGCCAACAGCGGCAACTCGGCGAAGTTATATCCCGTACGTTGACGTTTTAACCGACAGTTGATCTCTGCGCGCGCTTAGAATCTTTGGAAAAAGAAGAAGTGTTCCGATTTATAGTTGTCGCTGGAGGTCTTTTTCCAGTCAGCAAGACAAAAAGCGCAAAATATAAATCAAACGCAGTACTCTTTTACTTGATTTGGACCCAGATTTCTGAAAACCAACAAATCAGTCGCAAAACCCGCTTACCTCCGGAGGAATATGGGTAAATAAACTCACATATCCCAACGCCTGGTTAATTGTAGAGGTATCATCAGAGACAATGGAGATAAGATCATAGAAAAGGACTTTTGCTTGGCAGCAGAAGCTTTAGTTACATTCGGCAATAGAGAAAAAGTTTACATTCTGTATGTCAGATAGTGAACCCAAAGGGGAAGGTTGACTTTGGGTTGACTTTAGGGTTTTAGCTGATCAGAGTCGATTTCCCTTTACTCTGTCCTATGTATAATGGGGATAGGATGATTTCTCAAGAGGTGGCGACACTCATAAATAATTCATATCTTGGTTCTTATTATGATTTTTACAAGGTACTATAGATGAGCCCCTGGCTGCTGATAAAGATAGAAAAACTTCTGCTCCTGGTAATGATAACATTCCATACAAAGAATTCCTATTATTCAACCAGGGACGGATCCGGCCGTCGTCTCTTCTCATAGGCCTGTTAACTTGTACTCGTATGTGATTAATATTCTTGAGACCATCATAAATAATCGAATCGAGTGGAACTTGGAAAGACAGTGCAAAATGGCTCTATTCTATTGTAGCTAGCAGTTATGATCACTTTAGCCCAAATTTTAAAGCATTTAGATCATTAAAGACTAGTTTTGGGGTGCCCCAAGGGTCGCCTCGTCGTAGGGTCGGGTATTTTATTGAGGCTTTTTTGGAACTTGGAACTCTCAAATTCAGTATATTTGTGGAACATGGTGGAACGAACATCCGTTGCAGCTCTCCTGCACATTTAGGAGAATTAGAGTCAAAGATTGTTTGAATGGCCTCTTCGTTGGGGAAATTTGTGGGAGTGGCCAAAAGTGTGTGTGGCTTCCTTACAGCATGCAACTCGAGCTTGTGAGTTTGCTTTTGCTGGCGTGTTTGCCTATTTTCTGGCCCCTTATTGATCATTGTCTTGGTACTAGTAATAATGCTCTTTGTCTGAAAGGTGCTTTCACCGAGAAGACTGGCAGTAGTGGCCAATAGCAGCAAATTAAAAAAACCACAAAGACAGACTCGGTTATCGCTTAGGGAGGAAACCTTTTTTCCTTAGTCATCGATAAGCAGATAATAGTGAGGGTAGTTTGCAGATACGAAAGCTGATAGATGAAACGATAAGGACGCAGGAGAAGCCCGCCGCCAAGGATACACCATGGACGAATTATTTCAGGACGGGCTGGCGGCAAACGGCCCCGCTCTTCGGTAGAACTCACTTTCCGAGGCTGGTGCTCGTTTGTGTGGTACAGGGCACTTTTCAGATGTCGTGAGTAGTAGTTGCATAAAGAGAGTTCAGACGAACATAACCTCAAAACGCAATCACCCCCGGCGGGGGGTCCCGGTCCTTCTAGGGGGTACTCCGCCCGCGAAGTGGGGCTCTGGTGCTTGTCGGCTGTGCTCCGCCCCAGAAGTGGGGCTCATGTTAAACGCTCAGATCATAACCTCGAAAAAAGTGATGACTCATTTTTTTTTCCCTACCGAGGATCGAACCCGGGATCCGTCCGTTGTTCAACGCCGACTTTAACTTCGAACTAACAAGCATATTAAATCAAATAGGTAACGACCTTTTGAGGTTATGTTCGTCTGAACTCTATGCAATTACTGTGAGTGGTTAGGGGATCACTACGGCGAGAATCATGACCGTCCCGTTTCAGGATAAACGCCTGGCGACTGTACATGCCGCAGGTGTTTCAAGCCATTCACGAACACCAGGCGGGAGACAACGAGAGCTCCGATTTGTGCGCCATGATGGCTGGGCTGAAATCCTCGGAGCCGGGGGAAATGGTCATCTGCAGCGTGGTAGGTGCGAAAAAACGTTTACTTTTTACGCCACCCTGACAGAGAGAACAGAAAGATGTTTTTACCACTCAGTATATGTTTTTAGCGATTTAATTTTCTAATTCCCACGTCTCTTTTGAATAAAAAAGGTACACTTTGTTTGCAGTCATTAGAGAGATAGGGCCCAATGACAATATACTCTCGAAGGTTCACTAGGCTAACTATTAGTACATAAAAATTTATTTCGATTTTCGTTTTATAACGAAATATTTTTGTATTTAACAAAAACGAAATACACACTTTTATATTCCTACACAAGAAAAAGAACATATACAGGGTGTAACCAAAAGCAATAAAAATACAAGTATGGCGTCGTTTGACATTTTTTCTTATATTTCTTCATTTTGGAAAAAAAAGAAATGTCAAGAAGCAAACTAGTATTTTTAGTTTCAGTTATTGATGTCCACTATTAATGTCCAATAAAAGAAGTCTTCTATCCATGCACTAGAAACATAGCAGATTTCGTTCACATCTGCCACCAAGAGAGCGTTTTTTAATAACAAAAAAAAATTCTCTTTTATATTTTGTTGCTTTTTGTTTTTTTTAAATTTAATTAAAACATAGTATATTGCAAACTGATATCATTAATGTATCTTCATCAAGCAAAATTCTACAGAAACACGTATTTCTCTACTAGGTGTTGGTTGTTACGTCCCCTAGGCGTTTTTCGTATTCATTTCTTTTTGGCAGCTTTGTTCAAAAAAACTTGGTGGTTATCACGCCATTTTTTATAGATATGTTTTCTTTTCTGAAAAATGCAAAAAGGGTGAAACAAATAAAAGCCGACAAAGCAGACGCAATTCCTAAATTACCACATACTACTTTCAATTATCTTAGCGGCTTATAAGAAAATCACCAACATTCGTTGACGTTTATGAAACAATAACCCCCTGCAAATTCTTCTGCGTGCTTAAGGTTTGTATAAATATAAGGTTTTTTCAATAATACGATTGCAAAACTGCCTTTCTCAACTTAGTTTGGTTAAGTTGCTCTCTGGATTGCCTAATCCGCCAAATCGGTCCGTTCGTTATATTTTGCTTTAAATTTAAATTTAAAATGTTCATACGAATTATCGTCCTCAGCTTAAAAAAATCTCTAACAAAACTAAACGGTAATTCTTTGTTTGTTTTAAATATTTTTTTGCTAAGTTTTTTACTACCCCTTGCCCTTTTCGAAACGAATCACCATGATGGGATTAAAAAAAAAGTTCCATTTTTTAATTGTTTTCAAAAAATGATCAGAAGGCTTCGTAAAGCCCCCATAACCGTTGTGCCCAAGAGGGAATGCTGTAATGATGGTCTGTGATAATTTTATAAGTATAATCTCCTAAATTGGGGATATCTGTTTTGTTTTTTAGCTAAGTAGCCCGCAATGTACTTTTTTGGCATAACTATTTTTTGATGTAACTTATTCCACTGAAAAAGGTAAAAGAAATGTATTTCTTACCTTTATCTATATTATTATGTATAATATTTTGAGCTTATCTCCTAACTAATAACACGACAGACAGAATACACAAAAACCGTTAGAGGACTTCGCCTACGTCACAAGCGACCACGTGCGATCGATAATTTTAGCGAGGTTTACGATTCTTGAGCAACCACAGAAAATATTGTTTTTCTTCTTTACGTTATACTTCACGTCGGGCAAATCGGCCAAGGCCGCTCGCGCATTTTTCATGCTTCCCTTCATCGTTGGCACTGTTTACCGGGTGTTCTAGAATATGGAGGACAATTTCGCGGTGTACCTCAACTGCGTGATAACCGCGATCGCGTCGATAGCGGGATACGCGGGCGCCGGCGCTCTGATCAATACCTTCGGCAGGCGTCACATGCTAAGTATATACAGCGACACGTTAACGTAAGACGTGAGGCGTACGACGTAACGAAATTTCAGACGTGCTGACGCTCGCGGGGGTTGTTTCCGCCACGTGTATGTACTTCGCGAAAAATATCGCCACCATCTTGACACTGAGCTCCGTCTACCTCGCTGCGACTAGCGTGTGTTATGACATAATCGTCACCATCGTGGTGGCCGTGTTCCCCACCACTTTAAGGTAGGGTACGGACCGATGGGTTCGGTGGTTTTAGGGGATTGAATCTACAGGGCTTTGGCGTTCTCGTTTACCATGATGTCCGGCAGATCGCTGACCGTCGTCGGGAACATGATCATGCCGATTTTGGTCGACTTGGGTTGCGCACCTCCCTTTCTGACGCTAGGCGCATTTTTGACTTGTAAGTACGCGGGGGACGGGGAAGAGAAAACGTACCCACGCTGTGTTTTTAGTCGCCCTGCTGTTGTCGTGTCTGCTGCCCGACACGGATCACACCGATTTGAAGTGATCGCGTGGATCGCGCTATCCGAATAAAACTTTATAGGAAACATTAGTTTTTCTACTTCCTAGCCAAAAATATTCAATATTAATCCCTTTAAACGGACAAACCAGATGATTTATTTTATCTTCCGCGCTCCTCTTCTTTTTAAAGTGATGGCTCGCTGTCAAGCCGAGTGGACCGCCACAGTCGAGCTGCCGCAGTGGGATTCCGTTCATACTCATTACTAGCTTTGAACGGATATTGTCGCCGAAAGCATTCTGTGTTGTTGTAAAAAACGGTATTAGATCGTTCGTTTTCTTTTTGGAAAAAATCAAAACGGAACAAAACTTACCAAACCCATAACCTAACCTAAAAAAATCTGCGTATATGTTTGTTATCGTTTAGATCATTATAGTACGTTAATGTTATTTACATGAATAATATTTGTATATAGGAAGCGTATCTCCAGCGAGAAGTGATTGTGTAGTGAACTGTTACGATTTTAGGAAATTTTGCCATTTCAAATCTTCAAATAAGTTAATATAGCATGGCATGAAAGACGAAGCACTATTAGACAGTTCAGTCTAGAGAGACTAATGCAGAGATTGGATGTGATCCATTTTTTTTCGCAGCAATTTATAGCTCATTTTGGGTTAACACAGGATATGTTGTCTTTCCCTGTATAGAATAAGTAGTCTCACATTAGAACCATCTAAAAGAGTTTCGATAAGCCTGGCATTTTATGCATCCGGAGAGTATCAATGTTGTTTACGAAGTAGAAGAGAAAGACGCGACTTTCATTAGCAGGAAATTTATTTATTGATTGATATATAAAGTTTTCCCTGTTCCGTGCCTCAAGAAATGGTTGTTTTATTAAATATACTGCCATCTCAATGTCTAATTTATAATAACAATTAAAATTTATATACTCAGTCGCAAATTCTTTTAATTACAAACCGTTTTCCTTTACCGTCCTCCTGGTCTCTGAATATATAGTCACAGCAAAGAGCACAAAACACTAAAATTTCACAGTTTTTTATCTTCGCCATTGAATTATTTGCCTTGGTCTGTGACGTCATTGATTCACATTTGAAAAAAAAAACAAAATAACCCACGATTTAAACCGGCCTTACTTAAAATTTACTTATTGAAAACTTCGTTTTTTAATAATTAATAATTCTAATTATTCTTTACGTTATGTGAGTTTACAAATTACAACTTACAATTTACAAATTTTTGTTTTTTTTTTGTGGCAATAAATGATTTAAACTAATTACCTCATAAATTTTTATTTCTATGATAAAAACTAAAAAAAAAAACACTTCGGGTAATGTTTTACCGGTTCAGTAACTTTTGTCTTCGAAATTTAACGAATTTCCCAACTTGAATTTCTATTTTGTATTTGTATTTCTATTTTCCATAAATGGGAAAATCCAATAGAGCGACCATAAGAAAAACGAAAGTTAAGGCGCGCTGCGAGATAACAAGGCGTCCCGACAATGTCACATTTTGACAGCTTTCGCCGATATTTTACAAACCAATCGAGCGATCGCAAATCTAAAGCCGGTTATCCAGTAATTTATTAATTAAAAATATTTTTTAGCCCGCCCCTGGTAAGTCTGGTAGCCTCTGAAGACTATTTATTTAAAAAAACTTAATCCTCATTCAACTGGGCCCGGCAAAACGTAGCGTATGCTGCCATCTCTCGGCGAGTAGCGAAACCAAAATTAAACTTTGGATGACCTAGGAACCTGCTTCGCGCGCTTTTGATAATGGGGAATAAAACACAAACGCAGAACTTATAATAATGGTTTATTGGCCTTAAAAATTCAAAGCACGTTTTGTTTCCAGAAGTGAAGGTTACAGCAAAAAACGATACACGGTATTACGACGTAATATATGTACAGAGTTAACCATCGATTTTGAAAATAATTATACCTAAAAATGAAAAAAAAAAAAAAACTCCGAGTTAAGCTAAAGGACGACACCGACTGGACAAAAAAACGCGCCCCTCTCCTAAACCTAGAGCGTTCCGATTAAAAAAAACTGACGTCACGCCTCCTACCTACAATGAAACTAACAATAACGAAAAAAAAAATGAAATGGAAGGTAAAATGAAACATCACAACAATGATGACGTCGGGACGCTCGCGTTAAACAAAAATGGTCGATTAGCTTGGATTGCACGTGAATTTCCGAAACAAAACAAAAAAAACGCGTCAATGATCCCGCCTGGTGGGGCGTTTAAATTTATTTTCTTTTCTCCCGAGCTCGTCAAAACGTTAGGCACTAATAGAAATTTGAACAGATCGTTCGTTCTTCTTCCTGCGTTACGACCCAAAGAACGGAACACGGGACGCGAAATCCTACGGGAAAAACAATATGGGGGCGGCTGGTGGGGGGGAGGAGGGAAAAAAATCGGCGCCGACACTGCTTAGCCATCTTCTTTCGGCGGCGTGAACCATCCTAGATCGGAGAGAGAAGACACCGTATTAAAAACGTGGCAAAAAAAAACTAACAAATTCAATGAAACAACTCGCTATAACCGCCGCATCCGCCATATATATAATTGTGTATTACGGCATTTGTTAATTTTTTTTTTTTTCGATAAAAATACACACAAAAGGCTCGAGCTCACAAATTTGCTTAAAATAAACTAGCTTTTTTCGCGAAGGCAAGTCCTGGAGTTATGCGAAATATGAGTGGTGTGTTATTTTGCTTGTCGATAGGTTTTATGGACACTAGGGTAGTTAAAAATATCCCAGACCCCGAGCTTTGCATTCTGTCCCGACGATCCGTCAAACCGTCACTTATAAAGGATGTCTACAGCGCGTGTCGAAAATTATAGATAAGACTAAAACTTACGTCCTTAAAATGGATTGGATTATTGGATTTTATACTCGATCGCCCAAAATGAAAAATATGATAAAAATATACCTAACTTCAGTATTTTTTTAGGTGTGCACATTTTTACGAACAAAACTTGTCAAATTATCAGAAAAGTCAAGAAAAATAAATACAAACAGTTACATTTTCAATTTTGTGGGAAAAAAAATCAATGAAATAAAATAATGTTTTCAAATTGAGTTTTTACGTTCGACCTGGAAATATATAATGATTTCAAATCTGGCAATTTTGTATTAGTCTTATCACACAAAAGTTGCTTCTCATTATTTTGCTTTTTCAATGGGGCCACAAAAAAAATCTGTAAATGTAAGGTTATAAGTCTATATCTGTAGGCGCCAGGTTCTATCTTTATTTATAAAAATTTAAACGGAATTCCGTTCAAAACAAATTTATTATCATCATTATTATTATAGAAACGTGTTAATGATTTATTAAGCAATGAAACAAAATCATATTTAATTTTGATCAAATCTTACTAGGTCAGCTGCACTAGCGAATCGCTTTTCGGACCAACTTCACTTCTTCCAGAGTGCAAGAATATTTAAAAAAAGAAATTAAAGACTGCCGGTAAAACTATTCCGCGTTTCTTCGCAATAGTATTGTATACCATTGTGTTGGTGCCTCGCTACTCTTATAAGTGTCCTTACTGTCGTGTCGACTAACTATACCAATATTTAATATTTTGGAAAAGCAATGTTTCTCGCATTAGGGTAATGTCTATTTCATTCTGATTTAATTTTGCTTTATTTCGTTGTTTACTATTTTGTTTATGTGAATCCTATTTTATATTTGATAAATAAATAAATAAATAAATAAATCGTTGGCGTATTTTAAATTTTGCAACGTTTTTTTCTCTAAGCGTATTACCTCTTCAAGGAATACAGAAATACCGTACTAACCAAATACCCAAATTTGACCGGTCAATTGACACAAATTCCACAACCCCAGACACAGTACACCATGATGGGCATGTAAGTCTGATATTTTTCGATTTCGCGGATATTTAAACCCGACACCAACCTCTGGCGACGTCGCTTTGGGGGATGAAAACCGTCACTCACCGTTTTTCTCGTGGATCTGCACGAGGGACTTGAAGCTCTGCTGGGCGCGCGCCAGGCTGTACTGTCCCTGCGAGCACACCTTCTGGGGCCCGAACTGGATCCTCGCCTTGCCCTTGACGAGGGTAGCGGAGATCTGCATAATGACCGCTTCGACGGTGTAGGCGCTCGACCAGCCCTGCTTCGTCAACAGTTCCATACAAATCGCCCCGCCCACCAGCACATAGCCCCCCGATATGATGGGGTGCACGACCCTGACGAATGGCGGCTCGAACGGGTACGTGTCTTTGAACAACATGTTCAGCAGGATGGCGTCCTTGCCCTCTTTCTCCTTGAGCATCTGGAGGTCGTGGGATAACGGGCTGTCGGGATCGACCGCCATCAGTCTGACGTTCCACTCGTACAGCGAATCGTTCACCAATTCGATCTGGTACATTTTGTTTTTGAACGAGTCCGACCTGTATATGTCGCGAAGTTCCTTCATGAGGCGGTCGGTCGCCTGTACGGAACCCGACACGGATCCCTTGAGGTAATCCTGTCGTTGGTTCTGCCGCAGACGCTCCAACGTGGCGAGATGCTCCACGCCCATTTCGTCCGCTTTCGGTCTGCCGCTCTCCTCCATTTCCATCGCGAGGTCCTCGTCCTCGTCGTCGTCGGTGTCGTCGTCCGCCGCGCCGTCGCTTTCCGGCATTTCGGCGTCGCTGTCGAGACCCTCGTCCTCCATCGCTTCGATGTTACTCTCGATTCTGCAATAACAATCAAGTCGGCGTTCTTCTTCTTTTCGACGGCCGGGCCGCCACGCACGCGTCACGGATATAAGAAAATAACCACGAATTAACCCAAGGCGAGTTTTGATTTAACATTATATATTTTGAGTTTGTTTTGTTCCATTTGGGAAAATCGAGTTAAAATACTTGATGACTTTTAGTGTTTGGTCTGCGGTAATGATATTTGAGCTAAAACCAGGTCAAATAAAGCGTGATGTATAGCGGAATGCCATAATCGGAAGTTATGGGTCATGAAGTTTTTTGACAAAGGTTGAAATTGTTGTTTATATGGCACAATAAAATATTTTACATTGACAACAGTGTCCATTTAGAGATATTGGAAGTTCCAAGTTTTCCTTTTACTGTCAGCAGAATAGGTTATGATCAAATAAATTAATACAAAAAAATTAAATCCCCATAATCCCGCAATTAAAACATTTGAGCAGCAGTTCCCCCTTTGTTTATTTACATTACGGTGATAAAAGATTGAATCATTTCAGTTATATTTGACATCGCAATATTTTTAATAAATATTTACTAAACATTTCTGCGAAGAGAATAAAAGTAGTTGAGGGTATGTCTAGATTAACTGTAATTGACATTTTTATCGGATTTAGTTTGATTTTTCTTAAAAATTTAATATTAATAAAAGTAATTGTATTTCAGAGAGAATAGAAAGTGCTTCAAGAAAAATAAACAAACTCAACGTAGGATCGCTTTTTGCAAACAATCACAAAGAAAATCTTGGTTTGGTGACTTTACAAACAAAAAAATGTAAATTAAAATTATTGTTTTCTATTCCCCTCTGGAAAATGGCTAATTATACACTGATCCAGCGTGCGGAAAGGGTCATTTTTTTCTCGAATTATGACATTTTGACAATTCTGACGACCATGTCACTGAATGTATTCGTATTGTTTTGCAAAAATGTACCAACTAACGGTTCTAGAAAAAGCACAGTATGCCACACGGTAAGGTAAACTTTTAACTTAAACAAATGCTCTTTACCACTCTCGTTGCATCCATATACTATTCCATGTGCAGAGATCAAGAAAAATCTTCGCAAAAACAATGCCGCTATTTCTTTTTACCTGTTCAAAGTCTGGATATCGAGTATCCGAAGCCTGTCGATGTCGGGTGGTTCGGAAACCGCGTGCAGCCTACATAGTTCTCTAAGCAGTATTATCACTTGGTGAACGACGTGGTTGTCTACGCCCTCGGTGTTGCTCAATATTTGTACGGCATTTGTGATACTGGTCTCCTCCGAGTCGGCGAACCACACCGGCGGCACTGACGGGTACGTTTCCTGGCACAGCAAAAGAAAAACTCAAATAACACCGAAAGTTTATTTATTTGTAAACAACATAACCGAAAACGCTACCGTGCTCCGATATGTACGACGGCAAAGTGCACGCCTCCTGCGTTTCGTCGTATACACGTCTCGCACGCGGAGAGTGCCTTGGGAACTGTACCACCCAGGATCGGAGAGGGCCTTTTGTCATCCACTTACCTGCGACGCGCACGTTTGGCAACCGCGGATAATTTTGCGATATATATATATTTTTTTGTGAGATTAAGCTAGGCGGACACGGATTTCCAACGCGCCTCGCGGAACGATCGTCAAAGTTTGACGCTCAGCTGTTTAGAAATCTGGACCGTATGTTAAACGTCAAAAATGCATACTGCACGATCCTTTGTTGCGGGATCTGTTTACGCGACGGCCAGTTTCACGCGATCAACGGAAACGGCCCCGACTTACCGTTATGTTGGCGTGGATGGCGTACTTTTTCCCGTTTTTCCCTATAAACCTACAGCTGAGTTCGTCCACACTGGCGGAAACAATCTGAAACCGTTCATGAGTCTTGCCGAATACCGATTCCAAAGTCCGAATCTCTTGTTTCAACGTGTTTAAACAAGCCATAGGATTCACGAACGCGCAATTTCGCACGAACCCGCCGCGGTTAATCCGTCGGAAAGTCTGCAATTTCCGCGAATACACTCCCAACTACAGCAAAATGGCCGCCTGTCAGCGCCAGCGACTCGCCATCGGACCAGCGACGAGAGAATCCGAATCGATCACGTTCGGCGAAATTCGGTTATCAAGGTTGCGAGGCCTCGGGAACGCTTGGAAAGAAAACGAGACCCCCCACCCCACTCCCAAAACGAAGAATAATATTGTTTTGAAATTGGTGCTTGTCCCACTTTTCATGCAAACGAAGCGAGATTGAAGGTTTACATCGTTTTCTCCTTAATTTATTCCGTTATACAATTTTGCGTTTGTTTATTTCCGGCCGAACGGTATTGCCAATGATTTAAATTTTTCATTATCACGACGAACCTTAAAAAATCGGTGCGTTGTGATAAAACACCCAACTTGCGTTCGAAATAAGAAGAAGATAAACGAACGCATTCGCGATTTATGGCAAAGCGTCAAATGAAAGGTTCATTCGGGCCTCATCAATTTCTTATGGCGAATATAACATTTTATAAATGTTCTAGTGCGCAGCATTTCAAAATTACCAAATTGGGCGCAGGTAAATAGCCAGCACGCGATAAGAAGAAGAGACGCGAACTTAGCCGCATTGACTGTTGCGGTTTTACCGATAAAATGTGCAATAACTGTAATAAGGTGCAATTTGCGATGGCATAAATGTCCACACGCCCTACGGAATTGTCGGATAATGAGCTGCAAAACTGCGGCGCAGTGTTAAGGCTTCATGGTTTATCGTAGCATGTTGCTGCTCATATTTAATAAATGCCGTTCGGAAAGCAACCGATTTCGGCGCTCGTTTAGTCGTTTTTCTCCTCTAAATAGCAACGCGCTCGATATAAAAAAGCCGCCGTACAAGGTGTTGTTTTTCGGCACAGACGATTTTTCCCTGCACAGTCTGGGTGCGCTTTTAAAAGAACGGTGAGTCCGTTTTTGGTCGTTTTTTCATGCTCGCCTAGGATTCTCGAATGTCGTAGGGAACGTAGCGACGAAATATTGACTTCCTTGGACGTCGTGACCAATTCGGAACGCAGCCAAGTCGGAAAGTACTCGCTAGCGAGGAAAATCAGAGTGTTTCTATGGCCTCCCTCGTTCGAAGTAAACGAGTACGACGTGGGTCTAGTAGTTTCGTTCGGTCGCTTGATACCGTCGTGCGTGATCGACAAGTTTCCATTGTAAGTAGTTTGGAAAATGCCGGAAATTATTTTAATATCGGAACTAATTTATGTATTACGAGCTTTTCACAATCAACTTTTGAGATAAGACCCAGTGTCCTTGCTTTTGGCTGATTAAAAAGGTTTTCTGTTTCGTTTCGTTTGATAACAAGCGCTGTATACTAATTAGAAAGAAAAAACCACCATGTAAACACACAATTTTTTTCAAGAGGCATGCTAAATGTGCACGGAAGCTTGTTGCCCCGTTGGAGAGGGGCCTCGCCGGTTATCCACTGCCTGGCCGAGGGAGATACCGAGACAGGTATAAGTATAATGGGGATCGAACCCGAACACTTTGACACGGGCCCAATTTTACTTCAGAAAAAGATCGATATACCTCCCACCACGATCATGCCCGACTTGCGTTACCGACTGGGCAAACTGGGGGCCGAGTGTCTAATCGAAACGTTACGGGATTTGCCGGGCAAACTGGCAAACGCGAAACCTCAACCTACCGAGGGCGTTTGCTACGGTAGGTTTTATAAAACTGTTGGGCCGGGGGAGGTTTGTTTAGTGGTCGGAGGTTTTTGCAGCGCCGAAAATAACCGCCCGGTTCGCCAGAATCGACTGGGATTTGATGACGGCCGCCCGGATATATAACTTGGAAAGGGCGGTCAAATTTTTGTACCCCTTGACGACTACCTGGAACTCTCTACCCGTGAGGCTGTTCGACGTCGAAGTCTTGGACTGGCGTACGACCAGTAACCGGCCGGGTTACATCAGTTACCATCGGAACAGGAGGTGCGTCGTGGTCGAATGTGCCCAAAAGACTTGGATCAGCGTGAAATACGTCGCGGTGGCGCAGAAAAAACCGATCAGGGCCACCGATTTTCGCAACGCCTACGTCAAACGCACGCCGGACCCCGAGATAGGCAAAATGTTTAAATAAAATTTGTTAATACTGGTTCTGTTTTGATTAAAAGAATCATTCGTGTTTTTTTTTTGTTGTTGTTTACTGTCAAAAATCATTGTTATCGTTTATCAAGGTAGGTTGTTACGATACATTTGTGGTCTGTGCAGGACGGTTATTATCAAGGAGCATCTGTCAAGGTCCTCGCATATTGGCCCATCGTCGGAAAAAGCATTGCTTTTTCTGTGGTTACCGTTGAGCATCATATTTATGACAATTTTTAAAAATGGATCCCTGAAAGAGTACAACTTCTAAGAACGGCGTGATCTGTGGTTATGACCTTAATCGTTTTTCTCTGGTTTTGAATATGGTACGTGGGATGTATGATTGAAATTAGCTGTTCAAGCGTTTCGCGCTTCATTTTTTAGACAATCTGATAACTCCGGTGATTTAAAAAAGCATAATATTAGGAGGTCGACAATGGCTTCTTTGAAAGGTGCACAATTAATGCTTCAATTAGATGTAATTAAAAACAAAGGAAAATAAATACATATGAATCTTATCTCCCAGACTTTGTATGAAATCATAATAACTATTAATCTGATCTCATACTAATACTAATCATATACTTTAAGGTTTCTGTCGATCCTTTCGTATTCATAAAACCTGAAGAGAATTTCCAAAGATTCCCGGTTTCTTTGTTCATCTGGGAGGTTTATGAAATAAATCCTTTGTGATTAAGATGTGCCTTTTTTTCGACAATAATTCCTTCAAAAATTAATGAAATTATGGAGTACCGTACGCGCGCCATCTATTGGTGTGTGTTTCAATTTAATTTAACGAGCGGTGAAGTGGTTCCGTCATCGGATGCGCTTCGGCTACCTCAGCTAGTTAGTTCGACAGATTGACGAGAGATGGCGCCACGCAGAAAACCAGCTGAAGATTTCAAAAACGTTCTAAAAGACAATATAAAAATTGCTTTGACTTCGTTTTGAAATAGAGAATCAAATCACACCTTTTACTACAGGAAGCAAATATATGTATATGCACTTTTAAAAACCATTTTTATCTAAGTAATTTTTGTGAGTGTGCGTCATAGGAGCGACAAGGCGTTACGAAAGCGCGATGATTGATGAACGGGCAATCGGAACGACAGGCTGGCCGAGAAAATAGAGCTCCTTTGAGCCACAAGCTTCTTCTCGCGTCGTTTCTTCTCGATTGAAAATTTAACGTAAAAGAAACATCTACCGGAAACTTAATTACTTTTCGGTTTATGTACATACCTAAGTTTGAAATCTTTGAAGCAGGGGATTTATTCGGGCTTCGAGCGGGGTTGGAAAATGATAATCGAACTTCTTAAAAAAACGTGCTCAGAAATTTAAGAACAATGCGCCTTTCTGACGTTAAAAAAAAGAAATAAACGACCGCGAAGTTTCATTAAACCAAATTAATTTCTGTAATTATCAAAAGAAAAATTAAATGAAAGTAACTTTTTCACTAGGTTCTCCTATGTATGTAATTGTTTTAAATTGTTCGTGTTCTGTATTAGTTTTCGGGTAAATAGAGTTTACTGTTGTCTGAGTTTGTTTTTTATTTATAATTTTATCTATAATGGTCGGATTGTAGCCGTTGTTCAGTGCAATTTGTTTAATGATATTAAGTTCTGTGTTGTAATTTTCCGTTGAGAGTGGGGTATTAAGAAGTCTGTGTATAAAAAAGTGAAATGCGGCCATTTTGTGTGTATAAGGGTGATTTGAGCTATTATGTATGATTGTGTCCGGGTGTGAAGGGTTATGATATATTGAAAAATCTAATTTGTTTTGCGCTTTCGTGATAGTTAAGTCTAAAAAATTAATAGAGTTATTCTGTTCAGGTAGTTTGTAAATATTACGTTCGATATTGTCGAAACAATTGTCATGCAAAACTATATAACTTCGTGAAAATCTGAACTGTCAGTTTTTATTTTTTTTTTCAGAAATTGTAACGTACCTCCGAACTTCTGACATGTTTTTCAGAAATTCTCACTTATTTGCAAAAATTCTGACTTGTTTACAAAGATTCTGCCATGGTTTCCACAAATTGTAAGTTATGTCACAAATACTGACTTTTTTAGTGAAAATTTGACGTACTTTTCAGAAGCTGTAGATTGTGTCGGAAATTCGAACTGATGTCGCAGAAATTATTTCCCAAAAATTTGTCTCATTAAACCAAAACGTATATTTTATTTTTGGTCGCGTTTCGACGCTTCCGGGCAATCTATTAAAAACATATTTTATTTTTTCAGCAGGTCGACTAAACTGACGGGTTAAAGTTTCAGGTCTCCCCGTTTCTCGCGTCTTAATTAAAGGCGACGCGTCACGCGACGTTTCGATCCCATCAAAAAATAATTTCCATAGTCGGACCCCTTTTAATATATCGGACCTGTCGTAACTTACGGGGAAACGACGTCAAGGTCACGGGAGGACCTCACGCAGGTCGGAAGACGTGACGGTAGGTCCGTGCGATCTGCGTGCCGTCCGATAAAACATGGCGACCTGTTGATGCGGCCCGGTCGAATGAGGAAAGCGCGGTTCATCACTTTTCCTCCGTCTACTATCGCGGACGTCTTAAAGGAGACGCGAAAAATCGTCTTTTGCCGACTCGGCCCTCGCGGCGAAAGTTTCCGTTGTGCGTTCGACGATCGGCACCCTGAAGATGTACGGGATGTTGCTCGAGAGCGTGCAGCACTTCGTGCAAGTAAGCAACATGTTTTTTTTGCCGATAACTTTAACACCCTGTATTTTAAAAGTCAGGACGCTTAGGACAAACGTTGATACCAACCTTTTTTTCTCAAAAAAATTAAAAAGGAACAGCTTTTATTTGAATTTTAAAAATTTTACTTAATTTTATTTTATGTACGATGACGAGGATTTCCGTAAGAAAATTCGAAAACATATTTATATATTTTTAAATATTTTTCTTTAAATTAATTTTAATTAACACGGATCAACTATTTTAATAATTTTAATTGATTGTATTGCACGTCCGAGAGCGGAAGGACTTTGAAGGAACATTTTCCTTTTGTTCGTCGTTTATTGAAAAGATCGAGTTAAGCGAGGAAATAAAAATAAATTATAAATTAAAAAAAAACGTTAAAGGGAATACTTCTATTTAACTAATTTTAATAAGGCGTAAGTAAAATTTTAATAATCTTAATTAATTTTGTTTCGGACGCGCAAAACGAAGAGGATTTCGATAAGAAAATTCGGAAATATTAAAGCCTTAAACTGGGGAAAGAAAAAATAGCGAAATAATAAGAAAAAAGAAAACATTTTAATTTTGTTGGTTGTTTAGAAGAAATAAAATTAACTAATTTTAATTAATTGTTTTCCAAATTCGTCATTTATGTAAATGGCCGAATTAAGAGAGCAAATAATAATAAATTGTAAACAAAAAAATAATCGAAAAAGGGGATAATGCTTTTTATTTAATTTTAAAAAATTAAAACAATTTTAATATTTCCAATTATTTCATATTTAATTTATCTAGAACATTTTTCTTTTAATCGATTTTAGTTAAGCTCAATTAGCTATTTTAATAATTTTAATTAATTGTTTTGCACTTTTGAAAAGAAAAAGATTTTGACAAGGAAATCCGAAAAAATTAAATTCTTAAACAGGAACAATGGTAAAAAAAAGAAAAAAAAGAAATTATTTTTCTTTACTTTGTCATTTGTTGAAAGAGTCGAATTAAGCGAGTAAATTAGTTATTATCATTATTAAAAATAAAAAAATAATAATCGTAAGTGCAATTTTAATAATTTTAATTATTCGCTCAGGGAAAATAAAAAAATGTATATGAATAAAAAAGACGCAAAAGGAAGGACTTTTATTTTAATTAAGCCGTAATTACTAATTTAATATTTTTAATTAATTGTATTGGACTTGAAAACAGAACATTTCGAGTATAAAACTTAAATTCAAAATATTAATGCCGTAATCTGTCAAAAGAAGCAATAAAAAAATTAAAAAAGGAATAGGAAAAGGAAAAATATATTTCAAATAAAATAACGGAACAGGAAATACCCTAATTTTAATTAATTTTAATTAGCCGTAGTTAAAGTTTTATTAATTTCCGTTACTTCTTTGGAGGCTTAAAAAGGAAAATTTTTTCTTTTAATCGTCTTTTATTGAAAAAAAAATGAACTGGAAATACGTTTGTTTTAATTAATTCTAGTAAGCGGTAATCGCCGTTTTAATAATTTTAATTAATTTTTCTGAACTCGGAAAAAGGAAATATCGAATATCGGGGGACATAAAAATATATTGAAAAGAAAAATTAATTAATTAATTTATTTTAATTAAACAGTAACGATTTTAATGATTTTAATTTGATAGATAATTTTTTGGACGCATAAAAGTACCTAATTCAAAAAAATTACCAAAATTGGGAAAATTGGCGGAAGCATATATAAAAATTCGCAAAAAAAATGTCTTTCTTCTATTCAACGGGCTATATATTTAAAAAACGCCTGTTTTCTCTTGCAGACTTTTCGTGAAATATTTAATATGCAAGAAATGAACGTAATACATATTTAACAAACCGAAGCCAGGAAACAAGGTTTTAAAAAGTATCGATTAAGGGCCAAGAAAAGAAGAAATAAGAAGAAGGGGGGGAAAAAAGCTAGAAAACAAAAATAATTAAATTTATTATTGTTATTAATATAATTATTACTAGGATTGAAACATTTTTCCGTTCTTTATGACTAAGAAATACGAATAAAACGCGTGGATAATAAATATAGGGGAAAGCTCGCTCACAATTGCGCGTGTCGTGGTCCTAGTGCATTATTAATAGAATAATTTTCATGCGACTCGGGACTTTTTTAATTGCCGGAATAGATTTTTTTTATAAACGACCTTCTATTTCGGAAGCGTTTCTAAAATAACTCAGTGGCTACCCGCCGTGTACGGCATGTCGCTTGAAAGTGTGCAGCATTTTGTAGAGGTACGTGTATCTACGCATCATCGAAATTTGGATCAACTTCAAGTATCTCCTGAACTGCCTACTCGATTTGGATGTATTTTGGTTTTTTTCAATTGTAGAACGACGCAACCAAATACAGTTTTTCGAAGTTTACTCGAAAATGACCTCAGAGCCCGCTAAAACATTTTACTGTTTCAATTTAGTCTAAGTCGCCTTTGGAATCGGATTCCATAGTAACGAAATAAATAAAGTCCGATATTTTGACGTGTTACTTTCTCCAAATCGTTGAAATTCTTTTCGAAAGTATACACGCCATTGGTGCAGATGCAATCAGAGTCGAAAAAAACGTTTTGGTTAGTTTTGACCTAGACGAATTTTGTCCCTTTAGATATGTAAAAATGGCGGCGGTCAGATTTCTTGTTTTTTTTGGTTTTCGATTTATGTTGAACATCGCGTGCGCACGATCCGCGAGATCCGGTAGCACAAATCTTTGTATCTGTAATTTTCAAAAATATACAGGGTGTCCCCAGTATTCGAAAAAAAATTGAAAATTGGCTATAACTAGAAGATTGCGATTGAGTAGTCAATTTTGTATTTAAAGTTTAAAGTCTCCACCTATTTTACAGCGGGTGAGTGTCCTCAATTTGTAGCTATCGACTTCAAATTTAGCAGAGAAGCAAAAAAAAGCAAAAAAGTATAATTTAAAAATTTTTGAAAAATCTTCTTTTTTGCTTCTTTTGGTTTCCAGACAAACATGGTTTTGTCAAAAATAGATCACAAGATCGGCAAATTTTTTTAACCACGGAACGTGGGAGATCCGTGGCCATAACTTTTGTTTAATTCATTTTTATGATTATATACAGGGTGTTTTGGTTACGGACAAAAATCCATTCCAAATGTATACGTAAATGAAACTAACGTAAGAAAACTTTCAGTTGCATCCCACGACTTTTTTTTCTACGATTTGGAAGGAAATACAGTCGAAACTCAATACAGCGAAATTGAAGGGACTGCTTTTTTTCGCTATAAGGAGTTATAGGCACTTAAAAAATAACAATACGCGTAATATTTAATTATTTTATTTTCATCAAGTAAAAGCCACCTCAGTTCATTTCAGTTCGATAGGCCCAGAGAGTGGTACACTTTTAAGACGTTGCTGTTGGAACCACTGCAACATTGCCCGATCCAAATCTTCAAATTTTGGCTTTCTTAGTTTTTTACTAGAACTGCCTGCCGCTTCAGCTTGAATGATTTTTTCTGCACTTGTAAATCGCGGATACAGTCGACGGTGTAAGTCCGTATCGACGTCCCACGTCGCTTTTCTTTTTTCCCCGTTCTATCTCCCGAATACAAGCAATTTTATCATCATTTGTTCGTAATACAGAGTTTTACGATATACAGAGTTTCGCTATAGGGAGTTTTCACTCTAAATAAAGTTGCAAAAAACTGTTTGTCATAAAATCCGAGATTTAAGCTACAATTACAAAAAAAACGTATATCCGAATGGAGGCTTTGATTTTCGATGCCTGGAACAACGGTGATTGATAAAATAACGTCGGTCTAAAGGCTAACCGTTCTCGCTGTGCGTTAACACCCACAAATATTCTCAGATGCCGGGCGTCTCTGACCCCCCTACCCCCAACCCCCCAGCCACCCTCCGCGCGATCGGAAAAACGGGGGTCCTAAAACTGGGACACCGTACATAATCCGAAACTTCTTGGTTATTGGAAAAGTTTTCTTTCGTCGCTCAAAACAGATTTTTCACTAAACTAACCAAAACTAAGCGGTCCGTCAACTGTCGTAAGCGTCACTGACGTCATTTTTCGATGTGAGAATAAACCGTGTTTATTTACGTTGTTTTCGGTCTTCTGGGTCATTGCATTTGATAGTAGATAGTTGAGAGCCGAACACTGCTTGTTACTTTCGAAAATCGATGACATCGAATTTTCGAAAGTATCTGCGCTCGTATAAAAATTTTATATCTCGGTAACGGCAGGTCCTATGGGATCGCCGTTGGTATAGTGCTTACCAGAAGTGCTTCGAGCATTGAACACGGGACCACGGGCGATACGACCAACGAATTCCTTTTTTTTAACGTCTAAACTTTCCCCACGTCTAGTTTTATCAAAATTAATCAAATATTCACGAACGTTTAAAATAAAACTGCAAAAAAAAGCGACCAAAATCAACCGGTTAAGATGCCACCCAGTGGTAACGATAATCCTCCAAATATGGAATTCTTATTTTGATCTACTTAACCAAAACTTACCAAAGGCGACGAAGGGAAAGGGCGCTGTGTTATCGGGAAAATGTTTGTCAAGCGTGAGCCAAGCTGCGTCCCAACATGGCGTCTAAATTAACGTAACGACTCGGTATTATCTATGGGGCGTCCCCTGACATCCCCGAGGAACGATATCCTGCCATTAATTTGAAAATTACGTCCCTACTACGGGGCATCAAATTTGCCCGTTGTTTTTATTTACTGAATCAGCTAATAAGATTTTCATCAGCATCAGCACCAAGCTATAATTAGTATAGCGCAGGGTGCGGCATAGGCGACCCACTTAATTATTTATTATTATTTTATTTATTATTTTTGTGGCTTAATTTACCCAAATTTTGTAATGTTATATATATTATTATTAGTAACTATTTTTATCGGTATTTATAAGATTTTCGCAAACTCTTTTAATAAATTAATTTACGATTCGGTTATAATAATATGGAATACCTTTTTTAGAATTTTTACGCGGTCCATTTTACCCCTGGTA